CTAGACAGATGTAGATGGCCGGTAGGACGTGGGTGTATAGCACGTATCGGAGGTAAGGAGTTAACAAAGGAGCAGAGAAGGGAGAAGGCGAAGACGGCGACGACGACGACAACGACGAGCGAGAGTCAAAGACGCGTCGCTTTGAGGATGCAGCGTCAAGGATGGTCTGGCAGGCGAGGGCTTCGCGGGACAAGACGGGACCAGGCATCAGCGAATCTAGCATGCTTGTGCCTGGCCCGGTAGAGGTCTCTGGTCAGGCCAGCCATGTACCGGTCAGTGATGACATGCGGCACCGACACTCTCCCTTCGCTCTGCAGACTCTGAACAGCAGCACTTCCTCCTCGTAGTGTTTCCTGGCCACGACCAGCAGCAGCAAGGTCGACCAGCTCGTCTACCCACTCCTGCATCTCGATGCTGAGCCCACGCTTCCGCCGAAGCAGGGAGACCAGGCTCCTAAGCTCCTCGAGCTTCCCGCCAGCTTCGACGAGCGCATCATGCACCCGGACAGCTCGCTGCTGCAGCCTGCGCAGCCTGCTGCGGTCCAAGCAGCCCGCCACATCTTGCGAGGCAAGGCAACCAGCCCGTGACCGAGCAGGTAGATGGCCAGCACGAGACCCCAGGCGTAGGCGAGGGCCATGACCAGGCCCCGGAGAGAGGAGAAACGCAGCTCATGGGTGACGGCAAGGTATATCAGTCCCAGCAGGCCGGACGAGAGCACGATGAGCTGGTACCGGGCGTTGGAGCGGAGGGAGTAGAGCATGCGCTCCCGCGGCGACCTATGGCCCGAGTCGAGATACTCCCCTAGGAACGGCAGTATTGCCCTGAATCGTAAGTCAGTATACTATCATCAAAATATCTAGGAGTAGAAAAAGAAGTAGTAAGGTAGACTGTACCAGGTGAGGACGAAGGTGAGCCAGTAGGCGATGCGCCAGAAGACGAGCACGAAGCGGGCAGAGAGCCATATCCCAGCAGGAGCCCGGCTGTCCGGCGGGCTGGAGGCGAGGTCGATGGGCACGAGCAGGACGATGCTGGCCGGCAGAGCGAGGGCGAGGAAGACGGGGACGAGGACGAAGGCGGGAGTCGAGCGCAGGGTGAGGTAGCGCCGCAGCAGGGCCAGGACGAGCAGGCTGATGGCCGCCAGCGACAGCGCCACGAACACGCTCGAGCTGGCCGGCGTCGCCATCACTCCATCAGCAGTAGACGTAGCTATAACAGGATGTAGTTATGAGTTGTAGAAGGTGTAGCAGGAGAAGCTGTAGTCGTAGCTGTAGTCGTAGCTGTAGTTGTAGCAGTAGTTGTAGGCGTAGTTGTAGCTGTAGAAAGGAGAACCATCTATACTTCCTAAAAGGGAAAACCTGAAGCTCATCTCAGTCACGTGATATCGAATTCTGGAGTCGCTTTTTTCTTTTTTCTATACAAAAATAAGAAGAAAGAAAGAAAGACAAATAGATATAATTAATCGATAGAAAGAGATAGTGTGAGAAAGGAGAGAAAGGAAGAGAAGAGAGAGAGGAAAAAGGAGGCGAGGCCAGGGGAAGAAAGAGGAAGAAAGAGTCCAGGGAGAAAGAGGCCAGGGAGGCAGGCAGAGTCATGGTCATGGTCATGGTCATGGCTGTGGTCATCATCATGATTAATCAGGGCGCTGGGCCGAGATGAAGACGGCGCAGGAAGAGCTGAGGCTGCAGATGAGACGAAAGGATGAAGATACGAGTAGAAGCAGTAAAGTGGTAGAAGTAGCAGTAGTAAGAGTAGTACGAGTGTCAAAGTAGTAGGAGAGAAGAGGAAACAGGAAGAGGCAGAAGGCTGAGAAGGAAGAAAGAAAGAGAGACAAGCAAGCAGTATTATCCACGGGTCAAGGCAGTAACTCGACTCTCTTCTCTTCTACAGTAATAGACATAGCCATAGACATAGACACTTCTCTTCTCTTCCTCTCTTCCTCTTCCTGTCTATCTTCTTCTTCTCTTCTTCTTCCTCTCTACCGCCTGACTGTAACTACCTGACTGACGCCTGACCTGGCCTGGCCGAGAGCGCGAGAGACGCCTCAAAAGACGCCCAGCCCAAGCAAGCCCCGTTTCACCTTCGCTTCTTCTTCTGCCTCAACCTCGACTCCTGCTTCACTTCCCCTTCACTTCTTCACTTCTACTTCTCTTACTCTCTTCTTCTTCTTCTTCTTCTTCTCTTCTTCTGCACTTCTGCTATTCAACATCTACGAACCAGCTGTCTCAACTCGACTGACCTCGACGGCCCCTTGTCCATGCAGCTGGCACCCGCTCGCATCGCCCGGTCTCACCACCGTCTCCTCCTCTTCCTCCTCCTCCACCGCCTCCTGCTGCTGCTCGTCTCACCATGAACACCTTCCACCAGATGCCCGCGCCCGCGCCCGCGGCCGGCGCGAAGCCGCAGGCAGGCCAGAGGGCCGCCGACAGCCAGTCCATCTTCAAGCTTGTGGTGCAGGCGCTGCAGGCCCAGGGCCCCTTTACCGGCTGGCGAGAGGCCTTCCCCATGCGAGACCGCGCCTTCAAGACAATGACTATGTGCGTGCCTACCACTCTTACCACCGCTTACTCTTTAAGTAATCCACAGTTCCTGTCTGCGGACCACGCCTCCCGGCCCTCTACCCGCCATCGCCAGCTGCTCGGTTATTATTCATCGTCTTTATTCTGCTCGTCAATGACGACATGAACTGGCTTTGGTTGTGTGTGTTGGTGCTGCGGTTCCGTGGTTCGGTGTCCAGTCGCTGCTTGCCCACCCAAGTCTCCCTCCCAGAACGAAAAGGAAAAAAAGCTCACTTTCTTCTTCTCTTCGCAACAACAGCATCTCTGCCCTCCGTCTCGCAAAGCCAAGCTGCGATCTAGCGACGACCATCCGGAACGCCCTCATATTCGAAGAACGCACTTTTAGAGAGGCCAACGAGAAGGTAGTCTTCTTCCTCTTTCCTCTTCTGCTTCCTCTGCTTCTTCTGCCTCTACCGCAAGACTAAGACGTTGTTGACACGGATAGGCCGATTATGAACGCATATTAAGCGAGAGACACACGAAGATCCGTGATTCTCGGCAGCAGCAGGCCATGATGATGCAGAATGGCATGATGCAGCATGCAAACCAGCAACAGCAGCAACAGCAGCAGCAGCAGCAGCAGCAGCAGCAGCAGAACGGGGGCATGCAGGTTCCCCCCTCGCAGATGAACTTGCTCGCAGCGATGCAACGTCAGCAACAGCAGCAGCAGCAACAGCAACAGCCGATGCAGGGTTCACCGCTCCCAGGACAGGTGCCAAACGGACGTATGAATCTTCAACACATGCAGCCACAGCAGACACAAGCTTCGCCATTCCTCCCACAGCACATCGCACGACAGCAGTTGCCTCGCCAAGGACTTGGTATGCTCCAAGACCTGGGAAATCTCGCCCCTAATGAGCTCCAAGATGTCAACGCTCTGGCGGATCAGATGTTCCGTAACACCTCCCCCGAAAACATGGAGAAGATCAAGATGAGCCTGCAGAACATGCCCCCAGAACAAAAGGAGATGTTCGCTCAAAGAGATAGATCCCGTTTTTCACGTCTTTCAGATCACAGGCCTGTCCCAGCTCAGAAAACGGCGGCTGGAACGCATGGGGCATGGCGGGATGGATCCCGCGCAGCAGGCCACGATGATGGCCCAGATGAGTGGCCAGCCTATCATGGGAATGCAGCAGCACAATATCCCCATCAGTCAGCCAGAACTTGCCTTTAACGGCAATATAGACCAGATCCAGGGCCAGCAGGAAGACGGTCTGCGTTCACAGGAGGCTGGCCAGCTTGTTGTGCCTGCGACTGCTAACCCGCCCAACGCTACAATGCTAAACCCCCAGTTTGCTGCAGCTCAGGCTCAGCGCTTCCAGAACCAGCAGCAGCAGCAGCAGCAGCAGCCAGGAACTAGGCCTACTATGAATCCTGCGTTACTCGCACAGCAGCAACAACAGCAACAACAAAATTCAATGAACAAAGGTGCACATTTCCAGATACCGCCTGAACAGGCACGTAACCAAGCCGCTATGAACAACCAGCTCGCCATGTCTTCACAGCCAAATCAGCCAAACCAGATAGCACAGCAACTACCGCCTCAGGGGCCAACTCCCGCCATGCCTATGCCCGCTAATTCCACCGGCCAGCCTCCGCAACAGCAACCTGCCCAGGCTGGCGGAGCAGCCCGTCCTATAGTTCCCCCTAATTTCCCCCAACAACTCCGCGACCAGCTCTCACAGATGACTCCGCAGAATGCAGCCGCTTTCCTGGAAAGCTATACCAAACAGTTGAGATTTCGACAGGCCGCTGAGAACCGCGCGAACCAGCTAGGTGTTGCCGGACAGAATCAGGTCCCTCAGCCAGGTCAGCCACCACAGCAACAGCCCGCGGATCCAAATCAACCACCCCAGAACCTGAACCAAGGCCTGCAATTCGGCGCTGACCCGAACATGCGCAATACCATGGCAATGCAACAACATATCATGGGCCCAGGTGGAGTGCCCATGCGCCCACAGACATCACAGCAACCACAGCAACAACAGCCACAGCCAGGCATGCCGCAAGCTCAACCCACCCAGCACCCTGCATCATCCCCCTTTCAACCTCAGGCTCAACCTCAGTCTCAGACAGACATTGCCCGCCAACAATTCATGCGAGAACTTTCCGAGGATCAAATCCGCGAAATGGACCGCCTTCCTTTCCCTCCAAGCATCTTCAACCCCAACATGGCAGGCATGCCAAATCCTCCTCCTGTTCCCAAAATCCTCAAGACATGGGGTCAGCTTAAGCAGTGGGCTAGCCAGAACCCCCAGGCTATGGGCCAACTCACAATGCAGAGACTGCTTGCACTTCAGAAGATGCATTTCCACGGCGTGCAGAAGGAGATAGCTAGCCGATACCAGGCCCACGCTCAGGCCCAAGCTCAAGCTCAGGCGCAGGCACAGGCACAGCTAGCAGCAGCACAGGGACATGGCCCGAATTTCATGCCCCAGCAGCTTCAGTCGCCCTTCCAGCCACCGGGACAACCCCAGCAGGCCCAGCAGCAACCTCAGCAGCAAGCCCAGCAACAGCAAAATGCCAATGCTCAGCAGCCGGCCCCAGGGTTCAACCAGCAAGCTTTCCAACAACAGCCCAGAACTACCCAACCAGGGCAGCAACCGGGACAGATGGGTCAGTTCGCTCAGCAACTGGGTCAACCAGGACAGCCAGGCCAGCCGGGGCAAGTACCGGCAGGAATGTTCCGGCCTGTCACCATGAATGACATACAGATTGCACGGCAACAGCTAGGCGTACGAGCACAGAAGTTTAGCGATGAAGCACTGAGGGTTATACTGGAAAAGAACCGACAGAAACAGATCCTCAAGGCCCGCGGTATCCCAACGGGCCAGCCTCAGAACCAGGCTCAGCTACAGGTTTCGGGATTCATGCCTCAGCAGCAACAACAACAACAACAACAACAACAACAGCCGCAGCAGCCGCCGCCACAGCAGCAGCAGCAGCAACAGCAATCACAGGCAGGTCCTATGCAAAACCTTGGCCTTGGAGTCTTACCCGAATATCCCCCAACTTCTCAGCAGCAGCAGAACATGCAGCCGCCCATCTCCTCTAGTCCAATGCAGCCAGGCATCACTCAGCCAAACTCCACCCAACCCATGGTCAAGCCCGTGGTAGCTCCTACAACAGGGCCCCCACCAGCTAAACAACGGGTCGTTCCAACAACCAAGCCTACACCAGTCCCGGTCTCTGTTCCCGCTCCACCTCAGGGCCTAAAACGACCTAACCCATCCGACACTGAATCCCGGCCTGGCGCAATGGAATCAACCCCCCAGCCAAACCCCAACGTCAAACCCATGCCTATTCCCATGCCACAGTTTACTCCAGCCCAAGTAGCGGCCATGAACCCCCAGCAACGGGCCCAGGTCGAAGCACACCTTCGCCGCCAAGCGCAAATGATGGCCCAAGGCCAACTTCAACTGCCCAACTTATTCCAGCGACGCACAAAGGAGGCAACGGTTGAAGCTTGGTCACGGCTTCCCGACCCCATCAAGCGCGCGTATGATGACGAAGTTCGAAATGATACTGAATTTGCCCCTGTGCCTATGACGCCAGAGGAATACGCTACTGCATCTCAGCAACTTAGAGACGGTGTTGATATGATTGCTAATATGGATGCCTTGATTCTTTGGTTTGCCAAGTTTAGGGAGCAGGAACGCTCCCTGAGAATGCTGATGCAAATGGTAAGCACCGTCATTATTATTCACTTATTCGTTTCTTTCGCATTCTCCCTCCCCCCTCCTTTTCCATACAAGGCGGCTGCTAACTATTAAAACAGAGGATGAAGTTGATAAAACAATTCAAGCCGAATGACTGGACGGTCGCGGACCAGCTTACTTGCAAGTCCGAATACGTTGGCTCTGCTCTAACATTTATCCAACGCTGCTATATGGTAATGATCTCCCGTCGACCAAATGCACAAAACCAGCAGGGAATGCAACAGGCTCAACAGGTTCAACAGGCTCAACAGGTACAGCAGCAACAGTTCCAGATGCATATGCAACAGCAAGCTCAAGCAGCCGGACAAGCTCATATGCTACAGGCGCAGCAAGCTGCTGCTGCTGCTGCTGCTAATACCGCAAGAGTTTCTGCTAGCCCTCAGACCCCAGCTCAGACAAGCGTGCCTCTCAATGCTGTTAACCTCCAGCAACTTGAGCAACAAGAGCGAGCCAAACGAGGGCAATCTCAGAACCCCGTCCCACCGACTGCCCCCACTACCCGACAGCCGCCATATCAGATCGGCGCCACGTCTCCACAGGGCATCCCTCGCGCTTATGGGCCCCACCATGTAACCAAGGAGAATCTCATGATCCCAGACCCGAAGAGGCGAAAGAAGCGTGCCAACGAGTCACCCGTTAAGACCAACAAGTCTCCCGCGAGCAAGAATCAGCAACTCAAGGCCACTCCACCTGCCACAACACCAGTGGCCACCACTAAGAACGCAACTCCACCAGCACAAGTGTTCAGATGCAGAGTCAGTGACTGTTTGCAGCGTTTCAGGGGCTTCCCGTCCCAGGCGGCATTGGACCAACACGTTCAAGAAACGCATACAGCTGAAGAACCTATCGGAAACCCTCTTGACTACCTTCTGGAAAGCTTCAAAGTTGGGTTCGGTACGAACAAGGCTGCCAGCCGGTCCGCTGGAGCCGATGCGAAGGCTGTACCTGCTACTACGGGTCCAAGCTCCGTAGCAATGAAACCCTCGCCTTCTCAGCAGGAGAAGTCGTCTGCCCTTAAGAACTCTGCCAGCACCGGTAATGACAAGAAAGATGCTACTGCAGCAGCCACATCGCCCGAGCTACCTGCTACTACTAAGGGTCCCTGGTCTGATATTCCTATCACCCTCGAGATGATACGCATCGCTTTCACCGATCTCGGCGACGAAACCTCCTGCGGCCTCGTCATGGATCCTGTGGATCAAGTCATTGCAGACAAACTCACTGCCCTTGACAGTGAACTCTTTGCAGAAATGACTGCCAAAGACCCATCCTCTGGTCCACGTCAACAACCGTCAGACGATACCCCAGCATCCGCCTCATCTGCAATGATGCAAACCCCACGAGACGGCGAGATGAAGGACGAAGAATTGGCTACTGACACTGATAGCTGGATGCCACTCGATTGGGATAATCTCCCCGAAACTCTCGACGACGACATGCTCATGGCCGACGGATGGCAAAGCGTCAATTGGGATGCAATGGAACTCAACGACAATCTCACCGATGATTCCAAGATCCGCCCTGAGAGACCGATCTACTCTATCTAACTTACTCACGGATTCTTGCTTCCGTCATCTTTTTCACTATTTTCTCATCTCACTTTTTGTTTCTCACTTTTTTTTTCACCCGCTTTTACTCGTTTGACTGGGTGTTGACCACCGCACAAAAATTTGAACAACTATCAAAGGAACCGGTTAATTGGATTTGTTGACATAAATACCCTGGGTTAATCACGTTGGGATAGGAACGGAGGAATGGGGTTGGCAAACTAAAAAACATGCTTTTTTCTTCTTTTGGTCCGGATGGGTGTTTTTCTTTTCCTTCTAGGTTTCTTGCTGTTTACTGCCATATCTCGTCTGTTTCAAATGGCTTCTACTTTTGCCAATCTGCCTATTTAGGCTTCTCTAATTCTCTATCTACTTTCATACTTTATCGCAGCAAGGCGTTTTCCGGTTCAGGAGGGAGTTTTTTCGTCATGATACCTCCAAGTTCGATCGTTACTGCTTTTAACTACGGATAACTAATACCTGGCTTCTATTCAGTTGGTTTTTGATATTATCGGCTTTTTCAACTGTACTTCTGTTATCCAACCTTGCTGTCTGCGTTCTGGTTTCGTTTTACCTTGCTTCGTTTTCATTGAGCGGACAGGCTTATACAGGCATGTGAGCTATGCACGGTCATGCACCGACTAATAAGCTACGGTTAACCAGCTCTTTTTAATGTTCACCGTGTTTACCAGATGCACGCTTGTACGTTTTGTATACTAGTTCTCTGAAATAGCGAATTCGATATCTAAAAGTCCTTTTTGCATGACGTTTGTTCACAATATTATGTAATCCATTCATCTAAATCAGGTGACTATCTCTTAAACTTCCTTGGCATATCCACTTTCCAGGTCAGCTGATCCACCTTATCTCGGATCACGTGACAGTGCCCTTGCATTAGACTTTCGTCACTTTGCATCGTCGCGTGCCGAATGATCGGAGGCTCAACCCAACCCCCAGCTTCTGCTCCTTCGGCGGTAACGACGACAGCAACCAGCACACCCACAACCACAACGACACCAGCACTACCTATTCTTCGCTCTCTTTTGGCCGTACTAACCAGCCAGGAGAAGAAGAAGAAGAAGAAGAAGAAGAAGAAGACCTACTATCAGCTTTTACTGAAGGAGCAGAGGAGAGCTGGCCACCATGGTCCCCAAGGCTCTCGTTCCTTTCCTCGTCACCATGATGTTGGTGACGGGGGTTTGCAATACCCTTCTCACCAAGTATCAGGTAGATTTCCCCATCGGTTTTGCATGTCTAATAGAGCTATAGCTGACAGAAAGCAATAGGACATGCAATGTGTGAGGAACTGTGACTCACCCAATCCCAGCGAACGGGTTGCCTTTGAGCAGCCCGTCCTCCAAACGTACGTCTGCCCCTTACTACACATACCTACGATGGCTTCGTCGATGTCACTCAGTTCATAGCTAATGATGTAAACAGACTGCAGATGTTCGTAGGCGAAATGGGCTGCTGGCTGGTCCTTTTCTGCATCGACATCTGGAAAGGCTTCATCGCACCTCGATTCTCCTCCGCACCGCTCTTTACCGACGGATACCAGTCCATCGATAACGATGCAGATGATGAAGCCGATGCCGAGGCTGACGATATACATAAACCCGACGAAGATACAAGGACGCAACTGAGTGGGAACAAGATCTTGCTTCTTGCCCTGCCAGCTTGCTGTGACATCACCGGCACTACGCTGATGAACGTCGGTCTACTCTTCGTCGTTGCTAGTATCTACCAGATGACCCGTGGTGCTCTCGTGCTGTTCGTCGGTCTGTTCAGCGTCATCTTCCTTAAGCGAAAGCTTTACTTCTATCAGTGGTTTTCCTTGGTCTGCGTCGTTCTCGGAGTGGCTCTAGTTGGTCTTGCTGGTGCCATTTTCCCCGATCACCATAAGGCGCCGGTAAACGTCTCCCCCGGTGATGCTGATGCAGTTGGAGTTTTGGTAAGACGAGTTGTAGAAATCATCACCTCCGAAGACAAGCACGTTGATCCTCTCCGTGTCGTTCTCGGTGTTTTCTTGATCGCTTTTGCCCAGATATTCACCGCCTCGCAGTTCGTATTGGAGGAATGGATTCTTGAGAAGTATGCCATGAACCCACTGAAGGTCGTTGGCTGGGAAGGAATTTTTGGATTCCTAGTCACTGCTTTGGCAATGGTCGTTTTGCATTTCACCATCGGTATTACCGAAAGTGGTAGGTTTGGATACTTTGACGCCGTTGAGGGATGGAGAAGCATGACCGGCAACAAGACCGTTGCTTTAACCAGTCTCCTAATTATGATCAGTATCGGGTACGTAATACCATCCGCACCCTGGCTAGAACTGACGCCAATTACTAACTGTTGGTTTACAGGGGCTTCAACTTCTTCGGTCTCAGTGTCACACGCTCCCTATCTGCAACTTCACGAAGCACCATCGACACCTCTAGGACACTCTTCATCTGGCTTGTGTCCCTTGGCCTTGGCTGGGAGACCTTCAAGTGGCTGCAGGTCCTTGGTTTTGCCATGCTTGTCTACGGAACTTTCCTTTTCAACGACATCATCACTCCACCGCTTAAGGCATGCCTACCTTCTGATGAAGAGACCCGTCAACCACTCCTCCCCGAAGAGCCAATTGAACATATATAAACCTAGGCATCCGGATATGGTTTGAATCAATAGGAATATGTTGCGTTTCTTCTGTTGCGTTTATCGATGGGCGTTAGGCACAAGTTTACTTTGGAGTGCGAGCATATTTTTAACATGTTTACTATCGTTATTTCGGGGTTTCTGGTTCACTTCCTATCTTACTTGCATTTCGCTGTCTATGTCCTGGAACTTGCTATGTAGCCCTTTTATTCTTGGATTCATTGCATCATGGCATCATCACATTTGAGCAATTTCCTCACACTGTTATATATCTCCTATTTTCTCTATATCTTCAAACTGCCTTTTGATATTTCAACCAACTTGTATTCTGTTTCCTATCATTTGAAATTAATATCTCACAACCAGTGTAATTTACCTAAGATATCAAATCTAACAGACCAGTAGCTTAGGCACATGACAATTGAGATATAAGCATGGTTAATGAGTATGAAAGAGCACGAGAAAGGTACATTGGCAGTGTAATGTATACATGGTTAGGTATTCTAATTTCCGCGAGCTGTCTACCCCAAAAAAATCCAGGCAGAGTGGGTATAAATAAATGAAATATAGTTATATAAGAACATAGAGTGAGCAAATCTATTGGTGCTGATTAGCATGCTTGATCTAGATGTAAAAACTTCACTACAAAAGGTACACTTACCAAGGATAATCCAATGATCATAGATGTCCAGAAGCAAATGTTCTAAATTTTATGAGATTTAGTTGACAATCCTTTTGCGTAAACGGACTAACAACTCACGTTAAAAGTTTTTCGTCCCTTGACGAATTTTGATCTCTGAGCTGCCACAATAGGCAATTGCAGCATCATTGCAACGAAGCCATATCCTCGCCACTTTTTAGTGATACACACCAATACCAACTCATGCGCAATCGAGCTAACGAGAAATGTAATGGCCATTGCGCCTGGGGCCGAGAAGCGTGTAAGGGAGGAAAAATAGACATGGCGCCGAAGAAAATGGTGGACCGGGAGATTCCATTTCCTCGAAAATTCCAACCTATGGCTCCAATTTTAGTAACGACAGAACATATAGAGATACGCGAATAAAAGCCATAGGCCTCACATACCAGTCACAAGAGTTCCACCAATCAGAGTAAAACCGTCTGTCTGCAAACCGCGTGATTTCGGCAAAGGCCCCCAGTACATACTCAAATATCACAAGGAAGACCAGTAAGAACGTCACCATGAACGGGAATAGGAGCATGCTAATTGTTTCGGCCAGGATCAAAGCCCTTTCGAAGTGTGACGATTGAATTGCACGAAGTCTGGATGCGGAATCGCTCAGAACAGGCACAATGAATTCCTCACTAGTTAGCGTTAAGAGAAAAATACAGCCAAAGACTGCTGCAGCTTTGATAAGCACTTCGATCCAGCGGGTATCCTTAGTTCGTGGGTACTCCAATTCATAACAAAGGGTTGGAAAAAATATGAACTCAATATAGTTCCTCCAAGTGAGGTTCTGAGGGTAAGTAACGCGACCAAGGGGGGAGGTAAGTTCCATAGCTAGGTCTGCCCTCAGTTTTCCAACGTCTTGTTTGGTGTCAGTATCAGAATCATGCGAATCTGCATCGCCATTTGCTGGGTTTGCGGCATCCACTACAAAAGAGGATCTCGGGTAATGGATTGCAGCAGGGTAGGCTTTGGCCTGTGGCTTATCCAGGGCTGATAATCGGCGCTCAGTTTCGCTGAGATGTCCGTTGTAAAATGCATATGAATGCATCTTCATCAAAATGGCCAGGCTATGAAGGGTTAAGAAAACTTGAGATGTCCATGTCCAATTAAGCTTAAACGGTAGTCTAGTTTTCGGTCAGTAATTTGCCCTGTTAAAGCTAACCAGAAAGCGGAATTGCTGGAAAATGGAATTATACATACATGACCCAGAATGAGAGCCACGCAAACTGATATATGCTCTGCACGATCATCCCTCCCACTCCCCACCTAAGGAAGCCCTTACTGCTTCTGATTACTTTGTGGAGTGGCACTGTCACTGCAGTACTAACCACCATAGCCAGGTCGACAAACGCAAGTTCGATCACGTTTGCCGAGAGGAGAGACCAAACATGGACTCTTAGTGGGTATCCAGTATCTTTGATGTTTCTCAGTACGGTGGTAATCACCATAATCACCAAGCTAATCCAAAATAGAACAAAAAAGCCATGAAAGTCACGGTGGTCACTATTGGGATCAAAATGTGATAGTCGTGGTTGATAGTCGATGTTGTAGAACATGCGCTGCTTCGCCTGAGCGCGCACTTGTTTCCGAACATGCGATATTGAGCGAACAGAAGGAGGTGCATCTTCTGCCACAGGAGTTGAGCGGCCACTTTGGGGGCATCAAGTTAGAACAGCTGTAGGTCCCTTCATGGACGAAATGCGACAGCGGATAACTGGCAGAGTATTTACCTTGACAGGCCCGACGGCGTCCTATCCAGCGCCAAATGTGGTCGGTCCATATGGTAGTCAATTGCGCCGCGCAGAGCTCGAGGCCGAAGAACGCCCGATTCTTCCGGATCATTGGGAGTTGGTGCCATGGTTGAGGACAGCTATTATCGCAATACCATGAAGTATATGTATATGTGGCCGCAAAGATGCGCGATAGGGATGCGCGGATATATGTATACCAGCTATTGAATAGCACAAAGCCTAAGGCACAGCCATTGCCAGGATTTGGGGCGGAGGAAAGAGTTTCATATAAATATCTAACACGGAGGATTACAGGTATATACAAACCACGGCCTTGCGGTCGAGTTGGACATATCATGTCAATTGATTCGACCAGGGAGGTTCAGTTTAGCGTTGTTTGTTTTTCCCGCTGACGTCAGAGGATGACTAAGAGCTTACTGTCTACGGAAAGTATTAACATATATCCGGAAAGGCTGAGTCAGCAAAATGTTGGCCCAACTCGAGACACATAGACTGTTGATAACGGAGCAGCGAAGAAAGGCCGTTGACACTCCGTAAAGCATCCAGCATCAATTCGGAGCAGCAGACGGCCTTGTTTGCAACTCCTGCTCCATGTTGAGCACTCCCTAGTCCCCATCGACCTGCCCTGACCCAGCTTGCTCCCCGCTAGGGGTCCTTGCCGTCACCATGACCTCTCGTACGACGCCCCGCAAAACCCCTTGCCTGCGTTTGCACACGCTGATATCAAGCTTTTAGTCAAGCAATTCATCCGCAATGTTCGCGCGTCTAAAACCATTGCCGACGAGCGCGCGGTTATTCAAAAAGAGAGTGCTGCTATCCGGGCAAGCTTCCGAGAGGACAGCACAGATTCTGGCATCCGGTAGGAGGCAGCTATCTTTAACGTACTAGTAGGCTAGTGTTTATTGAAAGGACGCTGACAAGGAGACTAGGAGAAACAATGTTGCCAAACTATTATATTTATTCACATTAGGGGAGAGGACGCATTTTGGGCAGATAGAATGCCTCAAATTGCTTGCCTCGCCACGCTTCGCCGATAAACGACTAGGTTATCTAGGGACTATGTTACTGCTAGATGAAAACCAAGAGGTTTTGACTCTAGTGACCAACTCCTTAAAAAAGTAGGTGATGCTGTGCCCTAAAATTAGGCGCTGTGGAGTGCTAACTTCTATCTGGCAGTGACCTCAACCACTCGAATCAATATGTCGTTGGCCTTGCTTTGTGTACCCTCGGAAATATTGCGTCTGTCGAAATGTCCCGAGATTTGTTCCCTGAAATAGAATCCTTGATATCTACTGCAAACCCTTACATTCGACGAAAGGCAGCCTTATGCGCAATGCGAATCTGCCGTAAGGTACCTGACTTGCAGGAACACTTTGTTGACAAGGCAAAGAACCTTTTGGTGGACCGAAACCACGGAGTTTTACTCAGCGGCCTCACTCTCGCGATTGAATTCTGTGAATATGATGAAATTGAGGGCACAGGAGAAGTCATGGAAAAGTTCCGCCCAATGGCAGCGGGACTGGTGCGGACGCTGAAGGGTTTGACATCCTCTGGCTATGCCCCTGAGCATGACGTGTCGGGTATAACAGACCCATTCTTACAGGTCAAGATTCTGAGGTTCTTGAGAGTTCTCGGGAGAGGAGATGCGGCTACCAGCGAATTAATAAACGATATCCTGGCTCAAGTAGCTACGAACACGGAGTCCAGCAAAAATGTTGGCAACTCTATCCTGTATGAGGCTGTTTTGACAATTCTGGACATTGAAGCCGATTCAGGTCTTCGTGTGCTAGGTGTTAACATCTTGGGAAAATTCTTGTCGAACAAGGATAACAACATTCGATATGTTGCTCTCAATACCCTTGTCAAAGTGGTTGCTGTAGAACCAAACGCTGTTCAGCGGCACAGGAACACAATTCTAGAATGTCTACGAGATCCGGATATCAGCATACGACGGCGAGCTCTGGATCTCAGTTTCACTTTGATCAATGAAGGAAATGTTAGGGTGCTTGTTCGTGAGCTCCTGGCCTTCTTGGAGGTCGCCGATAACGAATTTAAGTCTGCCATGACCACTCAAATCGGTATCGCTGCAAACAAATTTGCTCCAAACGCAAGGTGGCATGTGGACACCATGCTCAGAACTTTGAAACTCGCTGGAAACTACGTGAAGGAGCAGATAATATCGTCATTCGTCCGTCTGATTGCTACCACCCCCGACCTGCAGACTTACTCTGTACAAAAGCTGTATGCAGCGCTGAAGGAAGATATCTCTCAGGAAGGTCTTACCGTAGCCGCATCCTGGGTAATTGGTGAGTTTGGAGATGCCCTCCTCCATGGAGGCCAGTATGAAGAGGAGGAACTGGTGAAAGAGGTGAGGGAGAGTGATATTATCGATCTTTTCATGAACATCCTCAACAGCACATACGCTACGCCTATCGTGACAGAATACATTACTACGGCTGCCATGAAACTCTCTGTCAGGATTTCGGATCCTGCCCAAATTGAGCGAATCCGCAAGTTCCTAAAGACCAAGACTGCAGATCTGAGTGAAGAAATCCAGCAGCGTGCAGTGGAGTATAGCAATTTGTTCGGGTATGAGCAGATAAGGCAGGGAGTTCTCGAAAGGATGCCACCGCCAGAAATACGCGAAGAGCAACGAGTGCTTGGTGAAGTGACCAACAAACGGCAGAGCAGGCTACTGAAGGACAAATCCAAGAAGCCATCTAGGCCCACTGAACAGGACATGCTACTCGACCTCATGGGTGGTGGTTCCGATGCCCCAGCGGAAAGCACATCCGGCAAGGCTAATGGCAGCCAGAACACTGCAGACCTTCTCGCTGACATTCTTGGTGGAGGTGGTGCATCTCAGTCTGCACCACAGCCACAACCCACATCCAGCAAAACGTCAAATGTTAATGACATTATGGATCTCTTCGGTTCCAACGGGTCTTCCCAACAGCAGGCTTCCGCCGGTCTACCGGGGCGACCAACCCCAGTGGCCGCACCCGCCACCCCATCTCCCTCCGCTCACGAGGTCTTTAACAAGAATGACCTCCAGGTAACCCTTCAGGTGCAACGAAACAATGCTGGAACATGTCAGATACTGGCGAAGTTCCGTAATCTTTCTGCTCTGGACAGCTTTTCGGGAGTTGGCCTCCAAGCTGCCGTGCCCAAGACCCAGAAGCTCCAGCTGAGCGCCATTAACAAGCCGGACCTTGATGGGGGTGAAGAGGGCGCACAATCAATGAGAATTGCAGCTGCATCCGGCGTAAGTAAACCCTTTTTGGCCCAGGGCTATACCGTTGTATCCTTACTAACATCACTCTACCTTAGTCTCTTCCCCCTAAGCTTCGACTACGCCTTAGGATAAGCTACTCTAAAAATGGCGGAAACCCCAGCGTAGAGCAAGTTGATTGGACCGAGCCATAGATATGCCATGTATGCAATTGTTGTATTTGATATCAATTTCACCACCCCTCCTAACCCTACTACTACCTACCCTTACCCCGACTCTTGGTTTTTGCATAGTGCAAAAAGCATCATTGAACATATCTATACTTGCGTCAATCATGACTTTAATGAGCTGAGAACAAAAAGATATACCTTTTGCAAACGGAGCTACAAATGATTTGGTGAAGGGTTGATACGACTGACACACGCTCAACGTGCATACCTGGGCTACGAAATGACAAAAAGTCTTACTAGACAACAGATAACACGACCTTGACTTCTTGTCTTAAAATAGCATAGCTGAGTCCGTATCAGTAACCAATTCGAGGCCATATTCGCTTTGTAGAATCTAGTATAAACACCCCACCAAGCGAGCTGCAGTGATAACCACCGGATATGGCCGATTCTCACCTTAGTCACCAAGCTGTATATGCAGCTTTCACAAGAGCATCGACAGAATGACGGTCAGAAACCTGGATGAAGGTATGGTATCCAGATGACCCGGTCAAGACTTGCGTTGATTGAGATGGTGTAGAAAGCCAGCCCACCAGGTTTTAGGTAACGGTGTAGCTATGAAACGGCCATGTTGATTTGATCACCAGCAAGACCGGGATATATCGGTAAATAACCAGGGAGATTGAGCGGGTAGTTAAGTAGCTGATGTATATCCATGGATGGGCTGAGAGCACGGAGTACAAGGGGGGCAAAAAGTGGTAGCGGTGGCAGGCAGGTCACCCCTGAGCCGCGCATGACCTGCGTTGCACTCGATCACCGGCAGTTACCTTATTGCCTGCCTGTCTTGAAAACACAAGCAGCCTCGGTGAAACGAGGCAGTCAGTCAGTCAGCCAGGCGGTCAGTCAGAGTCAGGGTCAGAGTCAGGTATATCGACTGGGAAAGCGAGACATGACTGCGGAAGCCTGGAGATGTTCGGGGGTGTGTTGCGTTGAGCCTTGCTTGTCCTTCGTCGGCTGATGGGGGCCATCCTTTGTGGATTTACGTGCATAGCCTGCAGACTACAGACTGCAAGGGAAGGAGGATCATTCCTTCATGGCAGGCAAGTAAGTAGTAATCGTACTCGGGCTTGCTTGGTCTACGTGCCTGTGTTCTAATGATAGATGGCTTTACGCTGGGTTTTACTGGCCATGTATGTATGGTGTGATACTTGGTTGGACATGGAACGGAAGAGAATGATATTGTAGAAACAAATTGATAGATAGCCAGGGCTGGACATGGCAGCCGACTGGATGTATAGTATTGACAAGATATGAGCTGTATTGAATCCCTCCATTCCAATCCATTCCAATATGAGTTCCCCTTGATAGACTAAACAAGAGTGACAATAGAGATATTCGCCCCCTCCCCACCGACCGTTCATATCCAATGAACATGATAATAATGATGTGATGAATTCCTGGAACCCAAACGAGAAAAAACGGACAAACTGACAGAGAATAGCAGGGTAAAGCAAAGCAGTAGTGTACGATATATGTATAGGTAGTGTAGGGGGGAATAAATTCGTATAAAATCGTGATGTGGGAAATAAAATGAAAAAAAGGTAGAGGAGATGGGCAAAGGGGAGAGAAGAAACGGGAAAACGAATTGCAGTATAATAAAAGTCATAAGGTCGTGAATAGTGGTAGTTAAAATATTGTGTATGGGTAGAATGTTATGCCTCGGGGGGAAGACATGACATGGTATTCGAATGTTAGCTTGCAGCCATTGTCTGTTGTTGTCTCCAGCAACAGAGGAGCCGGCCGCACGTATATGTTAGCAAAGAAGAAAGAAAGGGTCATGTCGACAAAGCAAGAAGCAAGCAACAAGACACCGGAAACAGAGAGGAGAAATGGGGGGGGAAAAATGGGAGGAGATAAAGAGATATTAACAAGTGTGTAAGAATAGATAAAGCGGAGAGAGGTTGATCAAGAGACAGCAGAGGCTTTCCTGAAGAAGGCCGGCTTCTTTGGTGGACCACCAAAGGAAATGTCTTCCGTTCCAATGCGCGGCGAATACCGCACTTGGCTGGGAAAGACATGGTAGTAGTTCGGGTTCGGTTTCAGTTCTTGGAACATTTCAGAAGGACGACTTCTTGGGGGAGCAGAAGTAGGCTGGATTGTGACTGGGTCTCTGTGTAGAGGGGATGTGCTCTGAGTGCGCCGGTGGCCGGAGCTACTGCTGCTACTACTGCTGCTGGTGCTGCCGCTTGTTGGCGTGATGATTTTGGGCTGGCGGGTGTTAGGGCGCAAGAAATCACCAGATGGGATGATGGGGGGACTGCTTGCTGGACTGCTGTAGCCAGAATCGTACAGGGTGCCATTCTGTCTGACTGATCGAGGAACAATTGGTTCAACATGGCGGGTATCAAAGGTGGCTGGCACTGTTCCTGCTCTGCGGAGAGTGGGAGGGGCGCGCGATGATGTGGAGGAGGACTTTGAGTGTGTGCCTCGGGTTGGGATGCTGTATGCACTTTGGAAGCGAGGAGGTTCGAAGGTATCCCTCTCTCTGTCTCTGTCTCTTTCCCTTTCCCTTTCCCTTTCTCTTTCCCTATCTCTGTCTCTCTCTCTATCCCTATCTCTTTCTCGCTCTCGTTCTCGCTCCGGCATGCGAGGTCTGGCAGAGGAGCGACGAGCGGTGTCCTTTTCTCGACGGGATGACCCTAGTGGAGTAACATATACTACATTTGGCTTTCCTTCTGCGGCCTTTTGCATTCCAGCTTTGGATCTCATGTATTCACAGGCTCCCTCGATGTCGGCAGCCATCTTGGGGCTCTCCCAGCTGGAAGAGTAGCTTGCATCAGGGTATCTAGCTTTCTCGGTAGGTCTTCGATGTTCTCTGTACGGGCGAGTGTACTCCGGTTCGCTGTAGTCAGAGTCAGAACCAGAGTCAGAAGAGGACTCATCGGAGTACTCTTCTTCGACAGTGGCAGCGTAAGCCGTACGGCTGTGCTTTTCCGAAGTATCTCGACGACGCTCAGTGTCACGGAACTTGGCATTTCTGGCACGACTACTTCTAGTCGATTCTCGGGTCTCCTTTGCCCTCTCCTTTGCGAGACGGTTGGCTTCGCGTTTGATGTGGTCCTTGCTGCTACTGCTGCTGGACTTCCTCTCGTATGTGTCTCTGCCTCTAGTTCTAGAGTGGTGATGTCTTCTCTCGTACTCAGCGTACTTTCTTGAGCTCGCGCGGCGTTCCTCGTAGGGAGAGTCGTCGTCCGAATAACGAGATGGTCTTGGATTTCGGTCTACCGAGACTGGCGAGGGATCTCGAGGAGCCCGACGAGGTTTTGAAGAAGAAGTAGGAGGAGGCGGCGGCTGCTGTCGAGAATCGTACTTTGAACCTTTCGGGTATCCCCTGGGGGTGATATCTTCGAACACACAGTTTTCTCTTGTCCTCGCCGAGCCAGATGAGTTTCTAGCCGCCATCCGCTCCTTTGCAGCAGCGGCAGCTCGTTTTACCTGGTCATACTGAGCACGCTTGTTCTCGTCAGAGATGAGCTCGTAGGCCTCCTGTATCTTCTGGAACTCAGCTGTGCCCTTTTCCCGGAGGGCCTCATCCTGTATCTTGTCGGGATGGAACTTGAGGGCTAGTTTCTTGTATGCAGTCCGGATCTGGGCTGTCTGGGCAGTCGATGGTATCCCAAGGACATCGTAGGGATCATTAGCAGGCAGATCGATCATCTTGGGATGTAAAGATAATGCGTCTTCTCTCCTCTAAAAGTCTGGTTCGAGGGTCGTCAGAGGGAACGGGAAGTATAACTCTATGGCCGCCCACCACTTTTTATTACAACAGGAACGGGGCCGTGGAAGCGAATGCCTGCAGCGAGCGATCGAGGGTGAGCGAGAGTGAGTAATAGTGAATGGCGGAGAATGTCATCTACGGGAAATGACGGGCGAATTAGAAATATAAGAAAGGAGCGTCGGAGGTTGGTTTCGACTGTCAGCGGTACGGACGGCAGAGCGAGGGCGCGAGGTAGCGACAAGGAACGGAGATAGCGAGGGAGAAAAAAGCCACCGCTGATGATGATGATGACGAGGGAGTCGAGATGCTTGCCACCTCGACAGCCCCGAACGATTCGTGATGGGCTGTGGCTGTGGTGTCGACGTTGCTGTCCGTAAGTGTAGGTATGTCCGTCTCTCTGTCTGTCCCGAGTTGGCAGAAGATGCGAGAGAGAGCGGGCGAAAGCGACGGACAGAACAAGGAACGAGGAACGAGCAGGGCCCTGGCTATTAGTAACTCCCAAGACGACTCGAGAAGCGCAAAGTAAGGCAAAGCAACGCAGCTAGAAGATGCGCCACGCTTTCCCCCGTCGTCTCAAAGCATAAGCAAGGGCAGAGAGAGAAGAAGGCTTTCGGGCCTTATTTTTTATGTAAGGTGGCCAACACAGCAAGTACGGAGTAGCAGCAGAGGCCCTAGGGGGGTTTTGGTGGTTAGTTAGCCACAGGAGTCCCTTTTCTTTGCTTTTCTTTGCCTTTCTTTGCTTTTCTCTCGGAGAGGAGGAGGAGGAAGAGGGTCGGCTTGGTACTTTATAAGTATCTTCCCGGCGACGGGATGAGCAGTGAGTGTTTGGCAGCGAAGTAATGGTGAGTGAGATGGTCGATTGATAGAAGATGTCCCTGACAACGATAGTGATGAAACAGGACTTCACGACTTCACGGCTTCACGGCTTCACGGCTTCAGAAGACGGCGCTGCAGGCCTGACCAGTGGATCAGATCAGACCAGAACAAGACGAAGACGACGACGACGAAGACGAGAGGAAGCAGCGGTGTGGAGAGCGAGGCAGTTGAAGCATGCTAAATATACCTGAAATACGCATACAAGTGCATGTAACTAGGGGCAGTTACCATGCTAACTTCATGCAAAAGGGAAAAGCAGGGCGACTGGTTAACCAAGCAACGCGCCCCGAGCCGTCAGGTCTGAGGCAGACAGATATACAGACCGTCAAGGCGCCGGACTGCGCAGCTAGTGCTATAACTACTTGAGAGCAAGGCTGGAGAGCCCCTTATTACCGCCCTGGCAGCGACAAGCGCCGACAAATTCCAGCTAACGAACAACCCAGCAGCGTCTTCTGTGACGCCGTGATGTGATGGAAGAGGAGGGTGTGAAGGCCCGGCGCTTCGAGATGTGATTCGACTGGGCCTTTCCACCCTCCATCTCACTCCCTCTTCTTTCTTTTTTCTACACAAGTAACTCACTAGCCAGCAGGTTAACTGGTTAGTTACTAAGGAGGGGAATGAAGCGTGCTTATCGATATATGATATGATAGATAGGCGGCTACTGTCCGCGGTGCTGATCGGTGGCCTTGATGGAGCGTTGCTTTCAGGCTATCAAACTCTCAAAGAAGTGCATCAACGGTCATTAACTATCAACACCATCATCACTTCTGCTTTCCGCCTGACTGGGCTTGACATGAAAGCCTTGCAAGTAACTATCTATAGATACTTACTAACGAGTTGGCTAGTTATAGGGTACAAGGGGTGCGCCTTTCAGGCCCTGCTGGCCACTTGTCGAGGTCGTCAGGCATCAGGATAAAATAAGAATTAAAACAAAAAAAAGGGAGAAACAGAGGGGAGCATTTCATTCTTCTTATTTCGTCATCGATGACTCCCTGCTGTCCAATCGCCAGGCGCTTGCTCGACTGCGTTCGAAACAGGGGCTGTGGTTACATATACGTACGGTAACTCCTGAAGATGTTGAAGAAAGACGGAAGACGAACACCTGCAATTTAACGGCAACAACAGCAGCAAACTACGAATGACAAAACGGGTACATCGATATACATCAACTCACTACGCCGGAACCGTTCCTGTCTCGAAAAAGGCAGATTTAGTTACGGTTTCCTCATCTTTTTCTTTGCCCTCGGGAACCCGGTCCGCCAGAACCGTCCCCATAACTAGTCGACTACCTACATATGTCAAACGTTAAGGCGAGCCCGTGGAAATGCTGCAAGAAGTACACTTACACTATCAGATGGCCGGGCTGGTGGCCAACTGATCGATGGGGGAGACCCAGTGGGAACTCTCAAAACGAGCCAGACGTCGGCTTTTTGCCATCCAGCTGACTGTGAAGCAAAAGTCAGCTAGTCAACGACCGGCTACAGTTATCAAAACAGCCAAAGAGGCCCATGGAAAGATCGGACTAGACCCGAGAAACTTCCAGTCGTTGCTTTTTTCGTCTTTCTCGATGTGATGGAGAGAAGAAGAGCGGAAGCGGAAGTCTTGTCTGACTGAGTACGGAGTATAGGTACCTGGTTGCTCCTTTGTCGCCGCAGATGAGAGGGCTGCTGCTACTAGTTACACAAGCCGAAGGGAGAGAGAATCCTCTCGAGGATCCAGGGACCATAACTTATACACATCATCTTACATATAGATCCTCCCGTGGCCTTCTATATACGCCGGTGGCACGGGGCTGAAGGCCTCCCCCGGACCCTTGGATTACGGAGTTATTCTTGGTTTCTATGCCAGAGAACGGATACGCAGCTGTGGGGATGCCAGCCAACTACGGAGCAACAACGACTATGTATACGGAGCAACTATGTCACCATTTACTTACACGGTTACTCCATGTTGTGGCTGAAGCGAGATGATCGTACTCGCCCTGACGTAACTCACAAGCCCGATCCACGTTTCCCGTTCCCTGTTCGCCTCAAGGAATGGAACGGGCCTCAAGTCCGCTTCTCCTCCTTCTTCCGCGAGATCACGATCACACTCCCCATGGTATAACTAACTACTACTAGTAGCTATATGTATGCTCACCTAAGCGCCTCTCTTTGACTGCTTTGAGTATGGAACAGTGTTACGGATAGCCCGTCCGGCAGCCAGGACAGCGAGCTAAACGAGCAAGGGGGGGAAGGCCCAAAAGGAAGGTTATGCAAAGCATGAAGAACGCAACAAGCAAACCTTCTCCGTCTTGTCTTCTCCGTCCTGTCTGTCTCTCTTTGCTTCCTACTTATCCCTTTGCCTTCCTCTGCTTCCTCTGCTTCCACAGTGTTCCCGGACGACCCGCTCCTCCTCGCCGCACCCTCCCCTGGGGGGCGGCGTGTAACTATAACTAACTCTTCCTCCTCCATCGACGCAAGCTGATATATTATATTATATACGCCCCCTTCCTTTACACCCTTCATCCCTACCCCCTACCTCCCTAACACACCCCCTCTAAAAAACGGCCCTATGCCAGCATTGCAGCAAGGCACTGGTGCCCCTTGCATTCCAGACGTCTTCTCTCCCCCTCCAGAAGAGAGCGAGAGCGCCAGAGTGCATGCACGCTTTGCGCAAGGGGGTGGTTGATGCCCCTCCTCATCAGCAGCGCCGGCGAAACCTAAAGGCAAAAAAGCAACGACATCCATTAAAAAGAAAAAGAAAGAAAAGAGAAACGGAAAAACGAGCATTTAGAGTGACGAAGATTAAGGGCGGGACGATAACGATAACTGCTTGCATATAACTAGGAACTAACTTACTCAGTTGTCTGGAGGCCGGAGCAGTTATCGATAAGTAACTTACTAGTGAAAGTGGCACCCCCTCGGACGGGTAACTGCTCGGTATAGATTTAGATACTTACAAAGACAGCTATGTCCCCCCTCACTTTAGCAGTTTTAACTAGTTGGTTAACTGGTTATCCGGGGTTGGATATCATATTTCTTACACAGCGCCAACCCCGTCTTCCAAGGACGAGCAACAAGTCACCTGCATCATCCGCTCAGCAAGCCGTGTTACATACAGTGAAGCAACCGCCCAGAGCGATGTGATAGGTAGTCGAACCCTTCGACGATAGTTACCGAGAAAGCCCATCTTAAACCATCCCAGGTGCTGTTCTCTCTCTCTCCCCTTCCACGCCCTGAATGGCGGTGATGAAATGGCAACGCCCCAGACAACAGCCAGCCATACAGGCCGAGCCAAGGCGTACGGAGTGAAATAAGTGAAAAACCAACCGTCCAATCCCTCTTTTTATTTTATCGTCTCTTCTCCCGATACGCTGCTCTCTGCCGCTGCGGTTCCAGAGGGCGAGGGAAGTGGAGGTTCCAGGTCCGGGTGCTGGATGTGGTTGTGTCCACGACAGCGAAATGGATGGCCTCTACGGCCTGCGGTTGGCTGGATGTTCTCGCCTGGAGCTGCAGGCCATGCGCATCGTTGCTGGGCATGGATTATATGCTGCTCGTCTCATTATTACGCTCGTTCGTGCATGATGCAGGGACTGATTGGCTGCGGCCATCGATCTAAGGTGATCCAGGACAGGGTCGGCTTGCTCCATGCCCATCCGTCTGTGTGGAGCGAGGGAGAAGAGAGGGGGGGGGGGGGGAAAGGGGTGGGATGGGCCCTTTGGCCTTGACCACTCAGCTGTTAGCTGTCGCGCTCGAGTTCGTACAGCGAGTTGGAGCATGGGGAAAGAAGTCGAGCTCCTTGCGCCCCTCCCTTGCTTGCATGAGCATGAGAATCATCACCGTGGTAACTCCGTAACTACCTATGGCAGGTTCACGTTCAAGTTCTGGATGACAAGGGTTGGACGAACAGATAGCTAGCTAACTAGTTAGATGTCTCCCCCACGGCGATGATAAGTTACAGTATATATCGGGATCATAGGACAATATCAGACTGTTGTCAATCTCCCATGCTGATGCATCATGGGTTGTCTGATTATAAGAGGAGACACTGCACCAACACTGCGATATTCAAAGACCGGATCCTTATTCGGGGAGCTAACCGGTTATCCATCTTCGTGCAGCAGCTGGACGGGAATTGTCATTCCGCTTCAAGGCCATGCATACACCCGAGGTCACCCAGGAAACCCTTCTGTGGAGCAACCTGTAGAGGCATTATTGTCATCGCTTGACTGAGCCATTCGCTGTTGGCCATATGGAGTTCTGGCTCCCTATAGAGCGAGAAGTAGTCCTCAGAGATAACTTTTCAAACCGTTGGCTCCTCGGCATGGCCTAGCTCTATCGAAGTAAATAAAAACGAGGCGACGTGCGTGATATAAGAGAGTAAGTTAAGTGCGATAGTTATGAAGAGAGGTTGTTGTAGGTTGGTGAACTTAAGGCTAAACGGCTCACCGTTGACCGGTTAACCACGCCACACCCCTTTTTCTTTGTCAATTCGTCCGAGCATAACTCGGTAGGAAAACATCACCAAATATACCAATGGCGATTTAAATGATACCCCCCGAAGCCCGTGGAAGATACGAAAATATCTGGCCTCTGGAAATGACATGAAGGATTTTAAGCGCCGAAGCTCGGCCGGTCATGTTCGGCCGGGCTTTTAGCTTGCTAGCCTCGTGCGAGCTTGTATCTCGGGGCCGTATTGAATGTCGCGCCCGAGAGATATAGATGCCCCGACGGGTATTTGATATCTCGCAAATTGCAAGATGGCCCTCTCTAGCTATTTACATAACTGTGTTCTCCCCTTCTCCCTAACCTCAGCATCAAATCCCACGAGTCATGGAAAATGGAGCGATCGAATTCTACGTCAAGGGTTCCCGTCTCGTCTTCGGCTGATTTACACTCATATCCAACAAAAGATCTCTGCCGTCGGCCATCGATGGACATATCAGGAAACTCCGTCGCCTAAGAACGTCGTGGTGCTCGGAGGCTCATACGCTGGTGTCCATCTTGCGCAAAGGTTGACGGAATCACTACCAACAGGCTACCGCGCAGTCTTGATCGAGAGAAATTCCCATTTCAATCACTTATTTGTGTTTCCCCGGTGCGGTGTGGCATCTGGCCTAGAACAGTCTGCCTTCATTCCCTATGATGGTGTCGCCAAGTCTGCTCCCCCGGGTATATTTAAACATATACATGACTCGGCAACAAGCATAACAGATAGTCAAGTTACTCTTGCTTCCGGAGAGAAAATTGACTACGAATACCTTGCGATTGCTACCGGATCATGGCAGCCGTCTCCAGCAAAGCTCGCGTCAACGGAGAAAGCAGGCGCTTGTAAGGAAATGCATGCATCTCAGGAACGTATTCAACTCGCAGACCGCATTGCAGTAGTTGGAGGAGGCCCTGTCGGTGTACAGGTTGCAACTGACATCAAGAGCTTCTTTCCTCAGAAAGATGTGACATTGATTCATTCTCGGAAACAGCTGCTACCTAACTTTGGTCCCCGGCTACACGAGCATGTGATGAAGACGCTTAAGCAGTTGGATGTTAATTTGATCCTTGGTGAGCGACCTCAGACTGTGGCTGAGAATGTTGCGGTGATGGCCAAGGGCAAGACGCAAGAGGCTCTAAGTTTTGCGGACGGACGTAAGGAGGCATTTGATCTCGTGGTAAGCAATCTTCCCGCCATCATCTAGCCCCCTTTCCTTTCCCCCGTCCTATTTTAAATATGTCTTATATAAAGTTGCAGAAGCTCATACTTAAAACAGATCCGTTGCACCGGCCAGCGACCTAACTCTAGCATACTTGCCAACTTATTCCCCTCTGCCATCTGCGGACAAAGCGGGCAGATTCTGGTCCATCCCACCCTTCAGATCAACAATGGTGATAATATGCCAAATCCTAATATCTTCGCCCTGGGAGATGTGGCCAAGACTACCGGTCCACGAATGGAGAGGACGGCACGGTCACAGGCAGAAATTGTAGCCGCAAACATTGTGTCCCTGATTATGGGGCATACTCCATTGGAGACCTACCGTGTCACAGAAGCGCATGGCGTCATCAAGCTGACGCTAGGAAAGGTACGGCTTATTAGTATATTATAAAACAATCTTTACACCTTGCTAACCATCTTTTTAATAGCACGATTGGGCTATGTACTATAGGGAGGACAGTGGTCGCGAATTGATGGTTAGTGGAGCGGCGAAAGGTGATAATATTGATGTTGCTCCAGTTTGGCAGGCTATGGGAGCAAAATACCCTCCCAATCCCTCCTGATGGCTCCCTAACACCCGCCTTGAAATCTACTTCAAATGACAAAAGATGTAATAATAATAATACTATGGCGAACTCATAATAATTCTAGAAAGGGGGAGTTAATGTGGGACAGTGCTTAAAATAGAGTTTGATATCTTCCTAAGCTACCCGCAATAGTCTATTTTTACTCAATATGAGCAACGGCTTTTCTTCGCTACAGTGATTTATCAAGAGCACAGTTAAAATATGGACGAGGATAAGGAGAGAACTGATTATGAATTACGAAATGATACTACAGAGTACGAAGTGATACTACGGAGGATATCTGCCGTTATTGACTTAGGGTTGCTTAAAAGGATTGTTAACTGAATGACGAAAGAATGAGACACGGACGGGTTCGACGGAGCACAGCCATACACCATCATTGAATGCGACGTTCCTCCAAATGGAGTGACAAAGGAGCCATTAGATATGACAGGTTTGAATTAGTGGTACGACTTTTCACTTGGTTGCTAGGATATATTACGCGATGTACATACCCGGAACGCCGCGGGAGGTTGACATCCAGTACCCGAGTTAAGCGTATCAAGAAACAAAACTTATCCAAGCTCTTATTTCGGGATTCAAGCCACGATGAGAATGACGATTTGCGGCTCCCATCCTGTGTCGAAAGGCGATACAGGATCTGGAAGTAGTATGCCTTCATCCGTATCTCCGCCTTGCATCTACTGGCGCAGGGCAATGGGTTTTGAGACACAATGAGCTGAGATGGCTTCGACGGTGACCGCTAAGTCGCAGCGTGAGGCTGATTGCTGGTCGCTGCTGGGCAAAAGGCGGACACCAGGCAGCTGAATTATGGAGTACGATCCCCCTTGTTAGATCCTGGAGGTCGCAGCGATTACCCGAATTAGTCGATATCAGAAGCGAGGACAATCTTCCTCTTGGGGCCCTGTGGTTACATCGTATTCAAGTTGCGGTACTCGGGCCGCTGCGTTACCAGATGGATTGTTGAGATGGATCGAGAGCCTAATTGGCAGCCTCGCGTGATTTAAGCATAGATACATAGCCTCACATCTCTAGGAAGTATATTTCCTGCATATCGAATCATTACTCCAAAACGACCTGTTGGATACCGATGCTCTGCGTGGCTGTCGTCCAGGTGACGTTTTATGCCCGAATTCTCGACTACAGCTTCCCTTTGATATTCAGACTTTCGTTTACACGGTGGCATAGGATATGATGATATACGCCTCATTTTATGGCACGCTATGGTCAACGCTTAACTATATGTTTATGAGAACGATGGTAGAAAATTGAGTCACAGGACATGAGATGAGATAGGTCAAGCGAGTGGTGTATTTTTTGCTAGGTTAGGCTAAGACATACTTAAGCCGCTATTCAATAGAAACATAACGATGGACTTCAACTTCGTATCGTCTTGGACTGCTACGCCTATGGGTGGTTAACATGTGTATGGCTGATTGGTACCATACCCATTCACGTGTTGGCGAGGTTGGGTAGAAGTGAGCCCGACAAGACGAGGTTGACTATTATCGGTGAACCATGGAGATGAAGCGGGGGCTTCAAGAAATTACTGAAAGGATTGTTGGTTGACGATCGCTAGATCGTGCTAGTAAAATCACTAAGAGATGTCAGCCTGTGGTCTAGAGTGTGGTGGTTAAAGTCCACGGATGGGAGCACTGGGACATACATTTAGAAATAATTAAACGAGTGTCCGTAACGACGGTATCAAGCGCCAGTCTGTTTATGGCAGCTGGCCGGGGTAAACCTGTCTAGTTTAGGCATATTGGTATGCCCTCAATACTGCAGCAGTGGAATGTCCATCTCTAGTACCCTTCATGATGTTAATTTTGTTCTGATTCCTGCTCGTTATCAAGCGGGAGGTCGATATCGATCACGATTGGGGCGTTGAATTTGCGCCCTCCTACGTGAGGATAATGAGTTGCCAGGATAGCAGCATTGATGAAGCAAGTTTCATTTCTTGCTGGATCCATGGGTCCTTCATTTGCCAGTCTGGGGTATGTCCTGCCAGTCAAATCAATGCGGGACATTTTCTTGCTCTCACGAGGGGGTAAGGTGCCAGTCGTCGTGCTGATTTCGCCAAAATCTCCAGCTTCGGTATTGTTGATATCCCATTTGACTCTTTCATACCCTCTAGCCTCATGAACATGGCCACAGATAGAGAGTCTGGGTCGAATTTTCCACAGAGTCTGGCGAAGGTACTCACACCCGATGTTGCCATGACGAGCAGTCAAGTCAAGATGACCTTTAGCTGGGGTATGGGTAACAACAACGTCTGCATCAGATGGGATATGGCTCCACCATTGACGTGCATCATCTGGCGAGTCGACAGAGTAACCAAAAGGTGCATTCCATCCAAGGATCCTGCGAGTGCTGGTGGGGTGTCGAGCTGAGCCAAACACCTTGAACATCGTCTTTGGCCCGTTCTTGCGCTTAAGGCGGATGGTCTTGGATGTATGGTCCAAGTAAGTTATCCCCTCGGCGGAGATAAGTTCAAGGCATGTATCGGAAGAAACGGCCGCCTTTCCATGGAAGAACTCCTTGTGATGCGAGTAGAACTCCTTATCCAACGGAGCATCATGATTGCCTTTTTTTTAACCCGTCATGTCAGCCAACTCCATGTCATTGTCATACGGACATGCGAGTAGCAGTGACACGTTACGGGCACCAAGAATGGTAAAGATAAAAAGGACGTCAACAAACCTGCAATAACGATTTTGACTTCAAAGTCTGCCTCTTTGATCCACTGAGCCGACTTGCGGAACTCCTCTACCGTTCCTTTGTTGGTGATATCTCCAGCATGAATCAGGACATCTCCCTTGGGCAGTCTGAACGCCGCCTCGCGTGTCCCGTACCCGTGGGTGTCGGATACGCAGACGAATCTTGTTTTAACCATTGTGGCTGGTGGATTGATCAACGAGACATTGATAGTATAGTAAAGTTGTTAGTTGATTGTATAAGGTGAAAGGATGTGGTATTCCAAGCGAACAACGGTAAAAGACAGTCTTTATATCTTTCTTCAACTTCCGTTTCAAAGTTGGATGCTGACTCTGTCCCGGCTATGAGTCATGTTTGAAATGAGGCTTGCATGAATCCTCCGCGCTTGGGTGACTCAGTCATCTCTCCCGTGGCCACTGAAGATGTCCCTGATAGCTTGTCTAGGGCACTGCCGCTGCCTGTGTATACGGGTCTTCCGTCAAGACAGGCTGTTTATCCAGCTATAGGCATGTGTAGTTAGGTAGATGTCGACGGAAGCAGCCAAGTAGAGCCACCACAACATCACCACCAGGCTTCTCTCCAGCCTCTCTCTCTCTCTCTCTCTTTAGCTCTCTTCTTCTCTCTTCCCTATTTTCCTCTCCTTTCTTTGTCTCCCTTGTCCATCTGTATCAAAGCAGAGTCATGTATAGTCGTAGGCTTGTGGTTTGTAGTTCTTCTAGGCTTTTCTGCTCGTCTTCGTCATCCTTGAAGTTGTTCACGTGACCTGCTCTTATTGGGCAACTTAGGGCTGGGACCCCGACTCCGCCCACAAAGAGTTTTTCGCTTAAGCATCGAAACGACAAGAAACTTGAACTTGGTGGTTTTGAGCGCTCATCAACGACATCAAATTCGACAAACTCTCCAACACAAGGTGTATTCCTCGAGCAGAGCTCCTCTTCTCCCTGGGATATTAGCCTCGTGAACCGGTGAACAGATCAGGATGTCCACCTTCGAGCCAGTGGTGCGTTCCCTCCCCCGTTGCGTGTGGCAGATGGACATTTCTTTTGGGGATATTTGATTCCATTTGATATTCCAACCCTGTAATTCCGGTCGCGGTTTTTACTGATTATGCGATTGTGTACAGGTCGTCATTGACGGCAAGGGACACCTCCTTGGTCGCCTCGCCAGTACCGTGGCCAAGCAACTTCTCAACGGACAGAAGATCGTCGTTGTTCGATGTGAAGCCCTCAACATCTCCGGCGAATTCTTCCGTGCCAAACGTATGCATACACCGCTCCCCAGCAGATATAGGAAGGAAGAAATGGCCGGAAAGAGGAAGAGAATGTAAAAATATGGGGAAGAATAAATACGGCCGAAGAGGACAAAAGGAATGATTATGCGAAAGGAAGGATGGGAGGGCTAATTCGACTTATCTCAATAGTGAAGTACCATGCCTACCTCAGAAAGATCACTCGCTTCAACCCAACTCGAGGAGGTAAGATCAAGCGCACCTATCCTGGCTGGAGAGCAAGACAGAAAGAAAGAGGAGAGAGGATATATAGATATGGAATGAGGGGAGAGGTTGGCTAAACCGGTGATTCTCTTAGGTCCCTTCCACTTCCGTGCTCCCTCGCGCATCTTTTACAAGACCGTCCGGGGCATGATCCCACACAAGACCGCCCGCGGTGCTGCCGCCATGGAGAGACTGAAGGTCTTTGAGGGTATCCCAGAGCCCTATGACAAGAAGAAGCGTGTCGTCGTTCCCCAAGCTCTCCGTATCCTCCGCCTCAAGCCTGGCCGCAAATACTGCACAGTCGGCCGACTAAGCCACGAGGTTGGCTGGAAGTACCAGGATGTTGTCGCCAGGTTCGTCAACTTCTCTCTTGTATACTTGTCACGCAGTGATATCAGCTTAATACTAACCTGTGCGTGTTTGTGCCTACAGATTGGAAGAGAGGAGAAAAGTCAAGGGTGCTGCATACCACGAGCGCAAGAAGGCTGCCCGGAGACAACTTCTCCAAGCCCAGAGAACCGCCAGTGTGGACAACAAGACCAAGGAGCAGTTGGCTCAGTACGGCTACTAGATACCTTCTCGGGGCTGATGTGGATGGGTTCAATCCAGGATGCACTGTGGGCAATTGACGAGCACTATGTTGTACACGGCGCGCCAGTTGATTTGTACATTTCCAGCTCACTCAAATACACCCCTTTTACGACTTCAGGGATAATTTGTGACGGAAGTGAAAAGACCTCTTTTTCTTTGCCCGCCCTTTCCTCTTCCTCCTAAAAACAAAAAGACCCTTTTTTCATTTTAATTTGTACACTTTGCGGCGTCCATCTGGGATTTGAGAAAAAGAGAGGCTACTTTTCAAATAGCTGCTGTTTCTTTTTTCTTCGTCTCTCCTGAGTTACTGCATCGCTCCAAGTTGCCCCTATAGCAGCCCAGAGAAAACGCCTTCAGACACGCAGCCGCGACTGGGGAAAATAAAGAAATTAAATATAAAGACCTTTTCCCTTACAGTTTTATCCATGTCTCTCTCCTACGACTAGGTAGTTATTAATATTGAACATCTTCTGTTCTCGGATCCAGCTCGGTATTAGTAGCTACTTATACTCCGTGCGAGCCGCTGGTCGGAAGTTCCTCGGCAATCGAGGCGGCTCGATCGAAGAAGAAACTCTCCCCTTGCGGCCCGGGGTAGCCTGTCTGAGAAGATCCAATAACACATTCATATGCAATACACAGGTATAAAAGGGCCATGGCTGCTGCTCCCTAGCTGCAAGGTTTCTTCTTCTCCTTCTCCTTCTCCTTCCTCTTTCTCTTTTTCCTCCTCTTCTCTCTCTCTCATTGTTCTCTTTCAGGTACTCCGTACTTTGACTTCCACCTAACTAGTTAGCCATGTCCGGCGCAAAGGCCCGACTTGAGAACATCTCAGCGCAACTCCAGCGCCAGCAGGCAGACACAGCTTCGCTCAGCAGAAACAGACACACCCTCTCGCCGACCTTCTTCCTGCCTCGCGCAGCGGAAATTGAGCCAGATGTACGTTGACAATCCCTTTATTCAGCTGGTTCTTTGTTGAACTTTAGGAGGGGGCCCGGCGGCAGCTAAAGACATAGTTTGCTCAATAGGCCGAAGCCATATACCATCTTACGACGAACAACAAGATTGTACGGAAGACATACCAGCAGTTCGCAGACAGAGCGCGAGGGCTTGCGTACTACATCAAGAAGCATGGATACAAGCGAGTGGGAATACTGGCTCCAAACACGCCTGGGTTTTTAGAGTCGATATTCGGCATCGCTGCAGCCGGCGCAGTCAACGTCGGTAAGCTCTCCCGAACACGCAGGAATGTTGAGAGAAATGTGATTTCTAACTGGGGGAGAACTATCTGGCTGCAGCTATCAATTACCGTCTGAAGGCAGAGGACATTGCGTACATCTTCACTCACGCCGACGTCGACTCCATCATTGTCGACAAGGAGTTTGTGCCTTTGCTGGACAAGTTCCGCAAGAGCAGTCAGCACATACCCTTGATAGTTGACACAGACACCGACGCGGACGAAGGGGAATTAAGCGGAGAGCTTGACGCGGCCGTTCTTGAGGGGCTGCAGTATGACGGACAGCAAGGAGGACTAGGATGGGGCGGCCTAGAGGCTCAGGCGGCAGACGAGGAGTCGCTAATCGCGCTTGCATACACCAGTGGAACGACAGCCAGGCCAAAGGGGGTGGAATATATCCATCGAGGATGTTATCTTGCTGCGCTTGGAAACATCGTCGAGTCGGGGTTGAACTTCCAGCAAGGACGATGTGGCTACCTGTGGATTCTGCCCATGTTCCATGCCATGGGTACGTTTTTTAACTATCCAGACACACTGTTTAAGTGGTTACTAGTTAATCAGTTCATATTCAAAAGTGCGCTGCTAACTGGAACAATATAGGATGGACGTTTCCCTGGTCCGTCACTGCGGTCAGGGGGACACACTACTGTCTTCGCAAGATCGACTACCCTGAGATCTGGCGGATGCTGAAGCAAGAGAACATCACTCACTTCAATGCTGCTCCTACGGTCAACACTCTGCTATGCGCCGCAAAGGAGGCAGAGAGACTGTCTCGGCCGGTCAGAGTTACTGTGGCTGCCAGTCCGCCAACCGCCCATCTCTTCGAGCAGATGACCAGCGTTAACCTTCACCCCGTTCATGTCTACGGTCTCACAGAAACATATGGCCCCATCACAAAGGGGTATCATATGCCGTCGTGGGATACGATCCCCCTCAAGGAGAAGTACAAGAGGATGGCAAGACAGGGACACGGCTTCCTGACCAGTCTGCCGGCCCGGGTAATCAAGACGGATGTTCCTGAAGGCACCATCGTCGACGTCAGCAAAGACGGCAAGGAGATTGGCGAGATCGTCTTCACCGGTAACATCTGTGCCAGAGGCTACTACAAGGACGTAGCAGCCACCGACAAGCTCTTTGCCGGCGGCGTTCTTCACTCCGGTGACTTGGCCGTGTGGCATCCAGACGGCGCCATCCAGATCCTAGACCGCGCAAAGGATATTATTATTAGTGGTGAGTTTTAAGCCTACCGCGAGAATATAGAGAGAGCTCTTCTAACGTTTAAAACAATGCATTCACAGGAGGAGAGAATATATCCTCTGTGGCCCTCGAAGCCATGCTGGCCACGCACCCAGACATCCTCGAAGCCGGCGTCGTAGCTGTCTCGGACGCCCACTGGGGAGAGAGACCCAAGGCCTACGTTACCATCCAGACCGGCAAGCAGGTCACTGGCCCTGAGATCATCGTCTGGGCCAAAAACTCCAGCGGAATCAGTCGATTCATGGTGCCGCGGGAGGTTGAGATCGTCCCGGAGCTACCGAAGACCAGCACCGGCAAGATCAAGAAGAATGTCCTGCGAGAATGGGCCAAGGGAGCTTCTCCTGCCCCGTAGATCTCTTTTCTTTTGCTTCTACCCTTTTTCATGCTTTCTTTCGATGTCATCTTGTGCCTTTTTTTGATATCTAGAAGTACTCCGTAGACTTGCTGGCGCTCTTTACCTAGACCTCAGCATCAAAATCCGCCATATTTAGACCTAACAACGGTCATCCGACTGAACGGCTTCTCTTCATCTCTCATCGTATCCTCCTTGTAACTATAGTCATCATCATCATCGTCGTCGCCATCTCGCCTCGGTCACTCTGCCACACGCGTGACAGGGACAAGCCTCCTTCAAACCTCGAACAACTTCTGCAACACGAACCGAATTTGCCTTCTTCTTCCTCTCACCAACGCCTTCACTGCGTTCTCCCAGACCAGGAAGCAGCCAGCTCTTCACTTCCTTTGGATTCACTGACTTCGGCCGCTGCTTCTCGTCGCTGACGTCTTTCTTTCTCGCTCTCTTCCTTTTTCCTGCTTATCAATCTCAGCCCCTCCTATAAAACCGGGTGGCTTGGCCTCTAGATGCGCCGTTGGAAACGAAGCTCACAAAACAGCCTGCATGAATATCACATAACCAACACAGCCAGCCTCTCTCTGACACAAACGACGACGAGAAGCCTGAAGACGTTAAGAGGCGTCCCCGTCGCCGCCGTCCTCGCCCTGCGCTCGCTGCTGCTCTTACCACCGAGAAACCCTCGTCACAGCCGCTCCTATCGCTTGACGCCTGTAGTTAAATAGACGCTGCAGAGGTTGGCCCGGCGCCTACTTCCCCATGACCACGATCGTGTGGGAATCACTTCGCCCTCGACTTCACGCCCTCAGCCCGTTTCATACTCAAAGACCGACGATAAAAGGAGACGAGTTGTGCTAGAAAGGCAGAGAATCTCACCTCACTTCGACGAGAATAAACTGCTTCACTTGGAAGCCATCGAGTGATAACTACTACATACAGCCAACAACCAACGGCAACAGCAACGACAACAAACAACCCTCACACTCTCACGAACCAGAGCTCATCCATCCTACAATATCTCGCGCCTTCCTGACTCCCGCTACCTGCCTGAGGAATACCGTTTTCTCTCGAAACAAACACTTTGACCGGCTCGTCTCGTTTCAGCTATCATCATGGCTTGCCGCTCGCGTCCTCGAGACTCGGGGGGCGACTCTTCCTCCTCTACTTCGCCAGAGAGAGCGATAGACGAAGATAACGACTTCTTCATGCTCGAGGCAAACGACTCACAGTCATCGATAGGCGTTGGGAACTTCCGAGATCTCCGCGTGGACTCCAGGCGCGGTCAAGATATGCCTCTGCCACCGATATACCGACTGCCTCCAGAGATACTCATCGCCATCTTTTCGAAGCTTTCATCTCCGATAGACCTCCTAAACTGCATGAAAGTCTCGTCGGCTTGGTCGATGAACTGCGTCGGCATACTATGGCATAGACCACTCTGCAATACATGGGATAACCTTCTCAGGATAGCACATGCCATTTCTGATGAAGAAAGCTATTTCCCATACTACGACCTTGTCAAACGCCTGAATCTCACTACCCTGAAGAGCAAAGTCAATGATGGAACTGTCTTTTCATTCGTCAAGTGCAAACGGATCGAGAGGCTGACTCTGACTGGCTGCAAGAATGTCACAGATAAGGGAATATCGGATCTAGTGGAGGGGAACAGACAGCTCCAGGCACTGGATGTCTCTGATCTCGATTCCCTGACTGATCATTCTTTGAACGTCGTTGCTGCCAACTGCTCCAGGCTACAGGGGCTGAACATCACCAACTGTGCTAACATTACGGATGACTCTCTGGTCAAGCTAGCACAAAACTGCCGCCAGCTCAAACGGGTATGCAAAAATATTCAAGTAATAGTTTCTTTTACCATATTAACATGGGCTGACCTTTTCTATTTTTAGCTGAAATTGAACGGGGTCGTTCAACTCACAGACCGATCTATCCTAGCATTCGCTAATAATTGCCCTTCCATGCTCGAGATTGATCTTCACGGCTGTCGACATATTACCAACGCCTCGGTAACCGCCCTTCTTTCTACACTGAGAAGCCTCCGAGAATTGCGTTTAGCACATTGTATCCAGATAAGCGATGAGGCTTTCCTTAGACTTCCCCCGAATTTGATCTTCGACTGCCTCCGCATTCTAGACCTCACCGCCTGTGAGAGAGTCAAAGATGACGCAGTCGAGAAAATCATTGATTCTGCACCAAGGCTGAGAAACCTCGTACTTGGAAAGTGCAAGTTCATCACGGATCGAGCCGTTTACGCTATCTGCCGATTAGGAAAGAATATTCACTATATTCACCTAGGCCATTGTTCTAATATCACCGACCAAGCCGTCACTCAAATGGTGAAATCCTGCAATCGAATCCGGTACATTGATTTGGCATGCTGCAATCGCCTCACTGACACAAGCGTTGAGCAACTGGCAACACTGCCAAAACTACGGAGGATAGGCCTAGTCAAATGCCAGGCTATCACTGATCGAAGCATACTTGCATTAGCAAAGCCCAGGTTCCCACAACATCCCCTGGTCAGCGGCCTCGAACGCGTACATCTGAGTTATTGTGTCAATTTAACTGTAGAGGTACGTATCTACAACTTTCACTCGAGGAAAACCTCATACTAATTGGTATCGAATTTCAGGGCATACACTCTCTTCTAAATTACTGCCGCCGACTGACTCACCTGAGTTTAACTGGCGTCCATGCATTTTTGAGAAATGACTTGACCAAGTTCTGTCGGGCTGCTCCCCCAGAATTCACCCCTCTTCAACGAGAGGTCTTCTGCGTTTTTAGCGGCGACGGAGTCGGGCAGCTGCGGGAATACCTTAACCACTCTGTTCTTCGAGAGCGATCTGGAACGGCAGTGACCATGTACGATGACGACGAATCTCCTGACGAAGTTGACAGCCAGCCATCCGTGGTATATGGCCTGTTAAATGCCGCGGCTGCCAATGAAGGGGATGATCACCCCATGACAGCGCCACAACACTAGAACCACACACGCGTTAAATGTCACGATATGCAAATATACGCTGCCACGATCCAGCGATTACCAACGCGCTATTTAGCTCGCATGCTATATTAAAGCAACTTACAATACCCAATTTACCGTTGATGCTACATCCATCGATTACAGTCTCTACTTTTCGGCATAGGTTTAGGCGCGCCAGGCGTTATCACGGGAATGAAAACGGTAAACACGATATCCGCCTGGGCGTTTTGACCTTTTCACCCTCGGAGTTGTAACCCAACCTGGAGAGGGCTGGTTTCCTTTTTTCATTTATATCCCCCATTACTGCGTCTTTCTTTCAACCCTTTTCCTTTATCAATACCATCCACTCCCTCAACTCTTCCTTTCCATTGTTGAATCTGTTTCATTAGCCTTTTCCCTACTGTTTCATCTGGTTTGCCCCTGGGGGGAAGGAACTGGTGCTTATTACCAGAAGGCATAGAGTTACGACTGCATAGCGACGAACGGTGGTCAGTGCTAGGAACTGCCCCGAGAATGAGGTTATGAGGCCGGTTTTCTTATCTTTACTTTGTTTTTTTTCCTCTCTCGTCGGTAGACAACGTTGTGCATGGGCTGATAATATATCTAACGCACCTACTTAGCTACCCATTGCAGAATAGAAATCCAACATTATTAATTTTCTTATAGGAAATTGCATACCAAGCGTAATAGAATTGTAGGTCCTTAATGACTGGTTGTAGATAATCTTTATATCATGGACTTTGTCTGAAACAAACGATCAATTATCACATCGAAACCGTGCTGAGAATACCGGAAAGCTCTGCTGAAACAGTTGCCAAAACACACAATGTAAAACATAGAATAACGTACTTGTTACAAAAATCGGAAAATAGGGCAAACATGGCTGCCGATTGTATAGCGTCCAGCAATACTATAGCTTGAATGAATAACTTCCCTCAACAAGGCCGTCCCTCAGCTTCGTGATCGCAACCCACCAAGGGGCAAATTTGCGAATCATATCTAACTCAGGTATGAGATTGAGATCGTTGTCATCACTCCACAAGCACATCACCCTGCCCGTGCGCTCAGCGCTCTTCTTAGTCCATTCCACATCAACTGTCCATGTGTTTTCCCAATTTCGACTCCAGAGTCGAACTTCAGAAACGCCTTTTGATCCGGTGTGGGGTATACGTTTATCAACAACAGAGCCATGTACATGGAAGTCGGAAATGGGGCTATCAAAGAGCAGTTTGCATGCTCTGGTATTTTTGCCAGAAACTTCGAAGCGCGTGGTTTTATCTTCTTTAGTTTGAGAGATGTTGTAGGTGACCCAGTCCTTGTACGGGCCATCTACTACTGTCGGCCTGAGCCCGGGCCAGGAGCATTTGGTTCTTCCTCCGTAGCCCTTGGAGGTGCATGAGATTTCCTCGTCATTTACGAATGGGATGGCGTGAACGATATCACGGATATATGGCTCTACGCCAACGAGAGATGCTTGGTTCTTCCCAGTTCCAAGGTCCATTTCCTGGACAAATGCAACTTTCAATCTGCTGTTGTGGGAGAATGGGAACGCCGTCAGGTTGTACACCAGGGTTCCGATGAGGACGAACAGCATGAATGTCGGGATATGATAGGTGAATCGGTGGATGAAAGGGAAAAGTGGGAGGAGGATGAGAACGGACAAGACGGCGATGCCGATGTATATGATGAACTGTGAACCACCATCGGCACCAATTTGGTATGTTGCAGATGTTAGGAAGAGTCCAAGTTGGCCAAGAAGAATGAGAACAATAGGTGCAACGAGAAGGAATTGCAATATCCAAGCCGACGACACGAGGTAGATACTCCATTTTTGTTCTAGTCGGTTATTTTTAGGGTGTAACAAGCTGCTTCCCTGGTTAGAAATATTGCTCTCCTGGCTGCCTCTAGCACTGGCATAATTAGCAAAGGTTGTTCTCTGCTGTCCCCGAAGGAGAGACGTGGATTCTGTGGGCTCCTCGTCCTCAACATCTTCTGGGTTAAAATCTCGTCCTGCCACACTACCGCTGGATGGAAGTTCATCCGCAGATGGTGCGAGAAGGTGGCTATCTGAACTGGGTGTTCGATCAGAAAGGCGGGACTGTCGACGGGCATAATCCTGGGTTGTTGACAGACCAAAAAGCTCCAAGTACGAGATCCATGTTGCAACAGATACTCCAGCAAAGTAGAATACAATGAAGTAGCTACTTGCTATGCCGTGCTGTCGCTGATAAACGGTGGCTATCACAAGGAAAACCCACAAAATGCCAAACATCCAAGAAAATGCATACGCTCTGTGTAGCGCAGATGGTCTGGCAAAGTCCGCAACGCAGGAAATAAACCATGCAAAGAACATGCAAGTGGACAGCATCATGCTCCAGACTGCATATGGACTGCTATATATAATGAAAGGATTGACCTTCATTATCAGGAATGCCAGAGCAACAGTTAGAGCAGTGCTAATACCAAGGATTAGGGGAAAGCGGAACATCCCTCTTAAGCCGTAGAGAGATACTTGTCCACCTGATTCTGACAAGTACGTATACATGGAGAACATGTACATTTTGTCAACTGCGAAGAGTGCAACAGACGTAAGAATGAGTAGAAGAGGAGCAACAACCAAGAGGGCTACTGAGAGTCCAAAGAGAGTATTAAGCTGGAAGACCGCAAGAGACGAGCCGAAGAAGTCGAACCAAACTCCCAAGGTGCCGACACCGTTGTTGAGCTTCCCGCCCTCTCCGCTATCACCGTCAAATTCATTTCCGGTGTAACTGACCAACCCTTCTGTGGTTGTAATAGCTGCGGAAAGCATGTGCCAGACAGAATCAATACTTGTATGTCTAGCATCATCTTGGTCGGTGTGATATCTGCTTCTGGGCTCCATAAATGCAACATCAAGTCCACGCATACCAAAGACGCCGTCAAAGACATGGTAATCGGTTTCACTGCGAATAAACCCCAATTTGAACGCGTCTCTCGCAAGCACTGTGCCGAAGGGATGTTGTGATTTTCCATAGAATCTTGTAATCTCTGTGTCTGTACTACGGAAAAGGACAGCACGGCCGCCTGCACCAGCACCTTCAAGATTCAAAAACGTATGCGTGAATTTTGACATTGGGTGTTGGCTGTATGCATACGCGCCATTAAGGAAATCTTCCTCCCCATTGTTAAACAGCAGCACCAAGCCCTTTCGAGGATAGTGTCCGGGAGTGGTGAAGTACTTGAGAAGCTGCAGTGTGGTAATCACGCCAACTCCGTTATCCGTCGCTCCGTATCCGGTAGAAACGCTGTCATAGTGTGCATTGACGAGCACGCCTCCTTTCCCGGACGGTTCACCATCTGGAGATTTCCACCACTCCCCCGGCTCATCTTCCGTGCCTCGAATATAGACCACGATATTTTTGCTTTCGAAATATACGCCAGTAATGGCTGTAGCAGCAACTCCAGCGCTAGAAAACGTTAGGTTGGTTTGGTTATCGTCGAAAACAAAGACTTCTGGGCCTCCTTGGGATTCTGAGCGAGCCGAGGTCGTTGCGGAGATAGCGCGGATACGCTTAAGGAGCCACTGGTGCACTTCATCGTTTGAGTGGCTGTTGTAAGGGTGATACTGCCTAGTCAGGTGTTGGAGATCGTGCCAGGCTTCCTCTAGATCCACGCCTGGAGGGCTTTGCTTTGGCGCGGGAGGAACAAGGTGATGGACAACGATGATTGGGATTATCAGGGCGAGGTACACCAACGACGTGAGTATTGTCACTGGCCAAGGTGTGAAGGCTATCGGGTTGAAACCGCGTCTCGAAGAAACCATGGTGACAGGCTAGGTGCAGGTATTCGCATGAACAGAGGCTAGCTTCCAACAGTCATTGGACAACAGTATACCTCCGCCCATTTCCAGCTCCGGCAAGGGAGTCAAGACGAAGTTCGTGAAGTCGAGGTTCACGATGTCTCAAAATTGAAGCTTGCGCGAGGGCGGGGATCGGCTTAGTCATCATATAGCTTCCCCGTAGGTTCGTGGTAGCTAGCTCCTTCTATTAGGCTTTTTGATGGAACAATCATAGTACAGCTACCCAGTTAATCTGTTGAATAGATACACGAGAGAGGAGAGAGAAATTAAGTATTGATGTGATATAATCTATGTACAGTTTCCATCAGGTAGACGGAGTGTATTGTCCATTCTATCTTCGTCGTAAGTCGTGCATGAAGCTGGAGATCTACCTTGCAGACAACGTGTGAGGCGTAACTGTACAAGGCTTTGCCTCGCCCATGTCACACAAAGGCGGCACTTTTGAGAGCAAGCGGCTATTACAAGGTACTGCCGCCTTGAATAGACATCCAGGTACTTTGTGCGTGGGGAGCACAAGAGGCCTCTGCTCAGCCACAAGCATCGGCCAGCTTCTGGTCCGCTTTATAGTTGAGCTGATATACACAACCTCGCATCCTTCAGGAGCTCGTCAGACGTTCCCTTTCCGTCGTGTGATAAGCCGGGTCCGGGGTTTCAGATTCCTTGGATCTCAATTCCTTCAGGCTGGACAAAAGGAAGGTGGTGTGCTGTGGATAGGTTGTGATTGCAACAGCCAGAACTTCCTTCCTATTAACTCGGCCATTTAGGAAGGTTATTGGGTGATGTATCCTGGGAGGGTAGGGCATGTGTAACATCAATTGGTGTCGGTGCTGGAACTCCATTGGGGGTGCATGGGGTAATATGTGTCGTAGCCAAACTGCCGCTGCTCGAGGGCGCCACGTCTGTTTTCCCGCCAAACTCTAGATCTGAGGTAATAGGTAGGTGGTCTGGAAATGACCACGGCGGCCTGGGAGGGCTATTAACACATTGAGGTGGCCGAGTAATGTCAGTCGTTATCTGAGTTGGGTCCACGAAATCAGGGTAGCCGTTTGCTCCGCTGAAAAACTCAGGATTCCATGAATGTATGTTGACCAAATGGACAAGCTTGCCCAGAACAGCAAATTCAAGCTTCAGCTTAACACTGTATATCATGGCTTTGATTGTCGTTTCGATAACGTATAGGTTGGCATAAGCCGTGCCCAGGAGCGCGAGATCCATGACGATGAAGATAAGGTTGATACCGAGAAGTTGATACATGATCTTCCGGTTTCCATGTTTCGGTGCGATCCGTAGCATCTTCATTGTTTCCCAAATATAGAGGGTAGAGAGGATAACCTCTTGGATGAAAAACCCGGTCATCTGTATTTTTTCCATAATCTTGTATGCTGGAACAAACTTCTCTTGGTGACTCGAATTCGAACCGAAGGTAAGGACGGTCGTAGGTAGATGTAAGATGAAAATATTGCAAATTATCATCCATAGGACTCGTCGTAGGATCTTTTGGTCGCGGATAACAAGGTGAAGCCGAGAGTATAGGACAAAGGACTGGCCAGTAACCATGGTCCACCAGCCAATTGTGAGAAAAACGAGGGACAGCCAAACACTATCCATCAAGTTGTAGAGCTTGAGCAAAAAACCGAGTGCATACGGCATAACGCCGACGGTAGCTGATATCAAAAGACTCCAGAAGTAAAGGCCTCTATAATGGCTGAAGGTAACAAAGACCAGAACGCATAGTTCCAGTGCATTGTACCAGGAGATTCCAATAAACACCCCAATAACTATCTTAATAGCAAAATTAGCCCCCTTGTAAGCGCCCGTCAGCCCATCATCCTCCGACATGATGATTGTGTCTTGTCGGAAGGGAGTGTCATAAAACATAGAAAAAAAACTGCATGAGGTCCGGCACAACAATTACGTCAACTGTTCAGCAACGAAGATTCCTTGCAGACAGGCAAGTAGGTCCGTCAATGGGTTGTCCAGAATCATTTATATTGAGACCAAGAGGCGGCGCGGACTGTCATGTGGGGCAAACGGTGAGCGAGTGCCATATACGAAGTAAAGCTTGGGCGATTTCATCCAGGTTGTACGGTACGACAAAGGCAAGGTGGGAATTCACATATGATCCAAAGTCCCGACAGGTCTTTAAAAGTGCCTTCACAAAACTCAGCCTTGCGACGTATTCAGCCCCAGGGCTGCTGTGTATATATAGTCAAAGCCGGCTGATATGCATGTCTAAAAGATCGACACATATGGACATCTGGGTTCTTATAATTTCCGGAAACGTATAGTCCCAATTCTGGAGTCATTTTGTTCGTGGTCCTGTTAAAATTCATCAGTAATAGCACATGATTGCAAGTGCCGGGAATGGCTGCTGCTGCTTACATGTTCGTTAAGGAGGCGGAAGTGCTTTTGCTTTTGCGTATTCGCATGGATGCATTGCCATCTCAACGGGCCATGACGATTGGCCCATCCAGTTTTCGGATTATCAAACCATAGAATGCCTCCCCACATCGCAGTGCGCCCACGACTCGGGTTCCATGTCAACCAGATCCGTGGCTGCTTAAATGAGCATGCTATGGCGGTGGGTAACGGGGCATTTCACTATTTTTGGATGTTTTCACCTGGCCTTGGCAAGTTTTCAACGTTAAAGGGGCGTCCTTTGGCTGTATCTATACATCATCGGACGACTTTAATGTTCTTCCAGCGTTGACGAGAATTGACAGAGGAGGAAAACCAGGAGCATGAGAGTGTGCGAAAATTATCCATTGGTCCTGTTGCTGTTAACTGACACCAAGATGCCCTAGGTCGAGGCAGAGATACCCGATAACCCCTTACTCCATAACTCCCTAGTAAGTCCTGGCCTAATATTAAAACGCCTGTCCTAGAAGGGAAATTAGGGTCATAACTGTTGGGCATCGCCGCCAGTCGCCTTAACAACCCTTATCACCTCCTTTTTGCATTCTGGCATTGCGCTAGCCATCTCCCGCGCAAGAGTGTCTCTGAAAGAAGAGAAGGCCTCGGCTTTGCCTTTCAAATCCTGGTTTCCTTTTTGTACTAGCTCGACAAATTCTCGCGTGTATATGTCTGGGTTACGCGCTGCATCTACGTAGTCAACGATCTCTGGCGGTAGTTGGATGGTGTGTAGGGGAGGGTCCGCTTGTGGTAACGCAGGGTTGGAGTTGGGTTGTTTTGATGCAGCATCTGCATGGGCTGGATCGAGGGTAGTATGATCAGAGAGCGTTTTAAGGGATATGGTAAGAGACTTTCTATATATACGAATAGATATCAGTCGCCGGTAGCGAAAAAATTGATTGATAGACTACTGCATGCAGATATAAGGGGGTAACTAACAGCTTTCGAATGAGTTCAGGCTGTGTTTCTGGCCCGATATACCCATGGACCGCCGATTGAATCTCGAAGAAGTTTTGGATGACATCCTTTAGGTCATCTGCAGTATGGTTAGTATTTAGCCTGCTTCAGATCATGTACCAGTCTCACACTGGATACGTACCATCAATGACACTGAGTGTGACTTCGCTAGGCATGATTAGCTGCCCTCTCCAGCCGGATGTTGCTAGAGATCAAGTGCAAAACGGCTTCCAGTTCCATCCAAAGCTCCCATTATTGCCTACGAGATTATGTAAAAAATCACGTGCTTATTGATTATATAATAGATTTACGCCAATGAGAAGTTCTCTGGAGCCGCATCCAGATGCAGAGAATCCTCCAAGTGCTGGATTTGGTCATCATTATTGATATTGTTTTCTTTTATAGCCAGGGAGTAACTGTTGAACAGGATCACACTATGGAAATAGCGGGATGCCTACCCCCTATACTGATGGTAACATTAACTATCGTATTATAAAATATGCCATAACAATCCGCGCTCGTATCACATCAACATACAAAAGCATTCACCCTTAAGAAGCAAGCAACGCACTACCCCCAATTACTAACGTATGCGCTGGAGTCACTCTTTCAATACCGCTGCAGTGCCACTAGATGAGGCGAAGGAGTATCAAATATTTGCGCGCCCTCTTTGCCTCCCCCAAAATCTACCCATAACAGGAAAACCAAACAATTTGGATTTCCTTTACCTTTATACAACCCCCATATCCCCTTGCCTCATCTGTCGCAGTTGAGCTGTCGTGAAAAGGGAAGAAGGAAGAAGAAAAGAGTAAACCCTCGTAAGACATAAAAGGGTATTAGACACAATCAGATAGGTTGACACCGTTCGTCAACTTCGCCTTTTTTTCTCTGCACCCTTACAATCCGCTTGCTTCTTGAATCCAGCCATAAAGGACAGCGTTGGAAAGAGTGGCAATTGACCAAATCGACCCCCATCCCAAGGCTCCCTTAGGCTCTACCCCGCTGATTGTACCGGCCAATTGCACGAAGGTATTGGCAAGAGTCATAATTGCCAGCACCACTGATCGTGATATGAGGGTTCTCAGAGAAGGAGACAGCCCAAGCCAGGCCTTCTTATAGAGCGAGGCAATACATGACTCTTCCCCCTGCTCTTCCTCATCTTTTCGCGAATCCGATGATCGAAGCTGCCGGCGTGTCGTTTTCAACTCTGCTTTCTGTTCTGGCGGTTGGCTAGCAGATGCGACGAATAAAAGATCTCTCGCTCCATATCCTGCAGGCAAAAGGCTAAGGAAAAGCGACACGAATCCCTTTGGTCCGGCGTGAGCCGCACTGATGTCAGGGAGCCCGGTGAAGTATGTGACAAGGTGAGTTGGAAGCCATGTTACAAAGCTGAGGTATATAAGAATGGTGTACACAAGAGTTGAAGCCACAGTGGTGTACGCTGTAGTGAGACGATCCGCAAGAATTGCTCGACTGGCAGCTGGACTGCCACTATGTGCAGGGCCTAGCGGACGGAAGTAGGAAAATGGAATTGTGCATGATAAAACGGTAATTGTCGCAACAGTGATTATCGTCGTCGGTCGAATGTTATAAAAGTTGAGCAGAAGAGAGTACGCAGGAAGGTGAATAAGGCCGATAAAACACAGTGTGTCCCAGGCTAGTGACCATGGTCAGTATTAGATCGGTCAGTGATAAAGGTAAAGGGTAATTTTCGAACCATCATAACCCGAAAACCAAGGTACCGCAAGCTCAATAATACGCCATGCAAGCAGAGCCGTGACGTCCCTCCATGAGTCTAAGCGCTTGCTTGTCCATGCCAAATCCCCCTTCGTAATCGGGACGCTGAGAGAAAAGAGTGCTGTGCTCAGTAGCAGGCTGCTACCGGCCAAGATTGCAAAATTCAGTACGCTTTCCAAGCAACACGATGATGATTCTCTTGCGACAGCATGTTTGGGTGCTGGTACCTCGACCGACACCTTCGTGCTAGAAGCGGAGCCAGTCTTCGTAGGTCTCCCTCTCTTGCCGGGAGAGGTGGTAGAAGCTGATTTCGGGCCCATTAGGGCGTCGTAACTGAGTACTGAAGGCTGTGCAGGTATACGGTAAGTGCCTTGTTATTCAATTGAATATCAGAGGAATGTGGTGTCCTGGTGTACTGGCGGGAGGTTGGATTTCCTAAACAAATGCAGGTCGCAAGCTCGCTCTTGGCTTGTTTTGATTTCCAGCTGCAAATGAAAGCAGGGTAACGGTTATGGTGACGTCATTTCTGCACGTGACCGAGGAGCTGCCCACATATTTTGCCTTTTATGATTATCGTATAGAGGAAGGACCCAGTCTCTGCCGTCGACAAGAAAAACGATACCTCGTTGATAGAAGTAACCATCTGTAGTCAAAATGTTTGCAGGTGCCCAGGTGCCCGTTCTCACCTAACGTCTCAGTGTTATCAAACCTGTACGGAATACCTAGGTAAGTACCTAGTAGGTAGGTACTTCGCAGGCCTTAAATACTCCGTACTTTATACTAGTTACCTCAGGCTCAACATTTGCCAAATCTCTGTTATCACAAATCTGCCAATCAGGCCCTGCTTTCTCAGAAGCCCAAGGTGCAGCCATAGGCTGAGTATACCACTCCTTCGTCATTCATCCCTGTACTCTCCGCAGCCGCCTCTTCTCCGAGCTCCTACATTGACGCCGCAGGGATTTACACTGCCGGGACAAGGCACTTCACAGCTTCACCCTTGCAGCTACCAGCCATCCCTAGGTCAGTCTACTAGCTACGATATTGTACGGCCTCGTTGGAGTCCCGAGTCGACCTGGGCTTTCAAACTCTGAGGACCGGGGGCGAATAAATACCTAAGTTAGGCGTCCCATAGACATCATCACAGAGTCAACATCGTTATAGACTTGACATCGTCACAGAGTTGACATCATCAGCCGACTACCTATAACTCATTGTGATGAGACAGCTATCTAGGCCGCTCCCTGCTATAAAGCTGCACTTTTTTTTTCGAAAATAGTTGCTCATTTTACACACCTGCTTCCACCCCACCATTACCTGGTTGGTTACATCTACGTATCTTATCTTGCCTGATACCGAAATAACACGTTCATCCAGAATGACTACTCGATTTCTCATTCTTTCCGACACCCATGCGACAGATTATACACCTCCGGACCAGCATGCAGACGTTGCTCTTCACTGCAGCGATCTTACTCAAGAATCCAAGATCGACGAATTCCGAGCGACAATAGGGCTCTTGAAGGGTCTAAATGCTCCGTTAAAGCTCGTTATCGCTGGTAACCATGATTTTACTCTCGACGTGCCGATGTTTAGAGAAAAGGTCGCGGAGATGGCGGGACCAGTCGATCCCGAGCTTGTGAAAAGTGTTTACGGCGACTATGGGGAGGCAAGGAGACTTCTTAAAGAGGCAAGGGAACACGGCATTATACTACTAGACGAGGGCCTGTATACCTTTGATCTTGCAAATGGGTCATCGCTGACAATATACGCTAGCCCATTTACGCCTTCCGAGGGCGGCTGGGGATTCCAATATTCCCCCAGACAAGGCCACGGCTTTGATATCGAGGACAGAGTCGACATTGTCATGACCCATGGGCCTCCACACGGGGTGATGGATCGGCCATACTCTTCCTCAAGGGTCGGATGTCCTGATTTATTTAAAGCGGTCTTCCAGGCACGGCCGAAGCTACACTGCTTTGGACATATACATGAAGAATGGGGTGCAAAACTGGTTACCTGGCGCGACAACGACAACATGGACGCATCACATTTGACCGTCATCGAAAACGATCCTGGTAAGTCGCCGGTGATAACTAACTTGTCAAGGTTGGGCGGATCAAAATACGATGAGCCAGAGGCCAGAGAAGCAAAGCTTGAAAAACTGAAAACTTCCCAAAGAGAGGGATGTTATTCGACCAGATGCTCTGCTGAACCAGGAACCCAAACACTCTTCATCAATGCGTCTATAATGGGGGATCAAGACCAGCATTTCCATCTCCCCTGGCTAGTGGACATCGACCTGCCGAAGCCTCTTCAGATGCATTGAAAATAAACTGTACTAAAAGTGACCGAGTCAAGTATATTTAGCGATGAAGGCGAATAAGAAGGAACGGTGGGTTACTATCACATATAACAATTATATACCTTACATGGCTACCTTTTTAGGATCTGGCAGCGGTGTAAATAATTACTACCCGTGAGTAATTTATATCCTAAACGGGTTTACCCTGCACTTAATAACTAATAATACGTTGGAATTCCGCTTTAGCTACGACACGCACACATTACCCAAGGTATCCTTGGGGCATTGGACCTTTTCGTCCCTTATGGTCCAACATAATATAATGTCACAGGTGTTATTAATATTACAAGGGATTATTTTGGAAGGGTGTATTGAGCGAGTTCATGTAACTCAGCCCTTTCTTGAGGGTTCGCCTGCGTCCATGCCAGATCTTCTGAGGCTAAGGGCCGTGACGGTTGTCGATCGCAGGAGGGATTGGGAGACTGAGAATTTTCGATGGCTGTTGTCGGAAGTTGCTAAAGCGGGTGAGATACTCCCAGAGTTAGACTACGTTGAAGGAGAATGTGTTGTGGGCGCTGGGAAGGTGTCTTTGGGCCTGCTGGACCGGCTCTTGCTTTTAGCTGTTTTGAGTGCTAAAAACGCGGCAGTTGTGTTATCTCCTAATATATATATATATAATGACCCTGGAAGTACTCTATCTTCAAGTTATTAATCTCATATATTGTTACAACTAACTAAGGAATTTGGTAGAGTACTGAAGCAGTGTTAGTGGTTTATAATGAAAGGGTCGGGTATAAAAGAAAGCTATTTACGTAGTACCTAAAAACAAGGAAGAAAATAGTCCAAAAGAGTGAAAGAATGGAAAGGAAGGATACACAGACATATAATACAGACAAATGAAAAAGAGATCTAGTCATCGTCCTCTTCTTTCTCAGGCTTAACCACGCCAATCTCGAGGGTACCAGTTTCACGGCCCTTGGTATCACGCATGGTTGCTTTAAATTTACCGTCGTTCCAGAAGTCCTTGACAGTAATTTCTCGCGTCCTACCCAAACTCTCAATGGCCGAAATCCTGTCCAAAGTATCCTCGAGATACTGGTCGAAGCCGGGTTCGGCACATATCTCACGGAAAGCATTTTGCATGGGCACAGAGTCAGCTCGAACCCTTGCCTTGGAGTCAATGGTAAAGATGTTGTCATGATCGTATGATTGAATGAAGTCTGCTCGTGTCATGATTTGGCGTGCCTTATGGAGCGGTAGTTCTGGTAGGATATGTCCTTCTTCGTCATCATAAGTCTTGTCCATTTCCTTCTCAAGGTCTACCAGAGCCTTAGCTAACACCATTGCCGCAGACTATTGTTTTCGTGAGGAGTCAGTAGTGCTCGTTCTTTAGGGTATTGACAGCTGGTGGGCAAAAAGCACTTACAGAATATTTTTGTTCGTCCATCACATCATCATCCATCTCCTCGCCGAGGATCCAACATTTGTTTAAAAACCACGTTTTTTCGGCTTCACAGATCTCGTTACAAGTTGCCAGCATATCCTCGGATTTGGCTACACGGTTTAGGAAGGTCAACCTTCCGCCAACCTTGTTGTAAACCTCTTCTAAGACGGTCTGAGGCGGGTTTTCCTTGAAGTATCTTAATCGATACCGGCGGAGTGCACCCACTGCTTTACCCTTCGGTAGATCGGGGACAGGGATGACCTCCATTCTAGAAGCATACCGCTTTAGACGTTCGTAAATCCAGTAGTCATCGCTGTTAAATACTATTGTAACTGTTAGAGAACGAGGCTGATGAGACATGTTACCAGAGAGGAAACTAACCCATAGTCACTAGGCCGCTGGCGGCCCATTGCTCTGCACGTTGCTGAAGCATCTCAAGTAGATCCCTACCATCATCGTCGTCTCTCACCAGATGCAGAGAGTTGATGATCAAAATCAAGGGATTCTGATGGACGTTCCGGCGCCTAATAGCAACCTTCTCTAGTTTGTTCAGAGCACGTTCAATATCCAGCAGGGCAGTGGTATCACGGGGTCCTTTTATACTAAAAAGACTACCAATGTAGCTGCAAATGTGGAGAGTGACCAATTAGCACATCAGCATGGTGTGTCTGGTGTAATATAACAATCATATACATACTCTTCGTGGAACTCGTAGTCCAGCGACTTTCCCAACCTTATTCGGAAGATCTCGAGATTTGCGTGGGCTTCAAACATGGCAACACGGCTTCCATCAACTTTTCTCATTGCATTGAGGATCATAGAAGTTTTTCCAGTACCCTTCTCACCAATAAGAAGGTAATAATGTCCAATGGCACCGTTTATAATTTCGTCGATTTTTCCTTGCTCATCACGCTCGAGCCAGTGCTCAGGATCCCTCTCCATATCCTTGTCTCCCATAGGATCTTGCTTGGGGTCTTTAACACCAGCCAGCTCTAACATTGGATCACCAGGTTCAAAGGCATTGTCCATTTTCTTCAGAACCAGATGCTTATAATACTTGTGGTAAGAGAAGCCAGCAGCACTTTATCAAAAAAGAACAAAAAATATGTATACAATTCAAAGTTAGAAAGGAAATCTCTTAGATTCAATCTGCTGTATTGTACATTGAGCCAAAAGCCAGGGATGACATACCCAAGGACAGCTATAGAGGCGAACGTTGTTGCTGATGATTCAAACATCCGCATTATCGTCGCTTTTAGAGAATTATCTTGCTGATCGGACGACTTCTGTCGAGACGACGACGACTCATCTGGATCAGGACCCTCCTTCCCCGGCTGTGGTGGGCCTCCGGGAGCAACATCTTGAGACCCATAGTGTCGACGAAGTTGTGGGAGGGTGGCATAACGCGGCCTCAAAGCCTCCCTAAGACCAAACCCAACTGCTGCATCGCGTACCCGGATAAAGCGCATCACAAAACGATTGCATCAATCGATAAGGCCGATCGAGCTTTCAATCCTCCGAGATCCGTGAGGCCTTAATATCTGTTGGTCCAACAATACCAGCTTGCTTGTTTATTTTCAGGGGCGGATTCAGGTTCCGGATAAAGGGCGACTCAATCCTGGCCAAACAGATCGTGAATTGGGACGTTTTCCCGGGGATCAGTGAAAAGACATGGACAAGTCTAAGTGAACCGCATTCATGATATGTTTGTGTATGCACAGATGTTCGACGGACACTATTATTCCAAGTGGAATGAAGTCGCATCCGACAGAGATCTGAAATTTTTAAGTCACGGTCGTTTCTTTTTCGCGATCTCAACTCTGGCCCGTCTTGTCGCTCTCTAAACGGATCTCAGGACCGCACGTGATGCGCTAGAGTTGGGACCCTGGAAGCGATTTGACGCCACCGAGGAGAAACACCAAACGGCCAAAGTCGACATGGGGGAATTTTTGATTATATTCTTACTATCATACCCTTCTTTTAAGCCGGAGAAGAGGCTTAAAAGTATTAGGCGGTATTTCGGCTACTAGGCTATATTTGAACTGAGTAGTTACCTACCTAGGTACTTACCTGGTTGCTAAAAGTGACATTATCGACTCCATGACACATTCACTGCTTGAATCTATCTCATCTGGGGTGGTCAGCCTGTTTAAAAAGTACTATATATACCACTCTTCACGGCTGGATTTATTTTCAACAATTCTTTCCGACACCCATGCGGCTGAGGGTTCCTGTATTCTTCTAGACAAGGCTACGGCTTCAATATCAAGGACGGAGTCGACAGTTTTACGACCCACGGGGCAGGATCCCAAACCACCTTTATCAATGCGTCTATAATGGGTGATCAGGAACAACATTCCCATCTCCCCTGGCTAGTTGACGTCGACCTGCCAAAGCCTTCGAACGTCGGGATGGAGGTACCCTGAGAATCTGCAACCATCTTACATGTTGGTTCTTCAATAAGTTCTTCCATTGAAACCGTCCCCTTATACATACACAGATAAATGCTGTATAGGACGCTGTTGACTTACTCAACTATTTTTATTTACTGCCCAATTACTATGTTATGTTATGCAAGACAAGAGGTTTCATATATCTCATAAGAACGGTCAAGCTCGTCAGTTAAGAGTTTTAAGCCTTCTCAGTACTGCTAAGATTGAGATCTCTTAGCATTCATTTAAGAATATAACAATCAATGCTTAAACTGAATCTATATTTTTGTCTCCGTTGCTTCATCTGCTGACGTACTCTTTGCTGCCATCCGTTCAGTCTAAGCGAAACATAGTAGTAACCGGCCAGGGATCCTGCATGTCTGGGGCTCACAGGGCCATGGAAGCCGTAGTTAGTTTCGGCTCGCCTACCAGCGGCCACAAAACAGCGAATAATGTCGAACAGGCATGCTGTGGGTGAGTTTCGTCTTTGTTAATCAGGGCAGTTTTTATGGGGTAAGGCCATGGGCAGGGCAAGTGATAGGCACCAAATTAGCATCTCGTATATCCTGCCGCTGCCCTTGCTGCAGAACCGCTTGCTGGGATCAGCTATTTTGAACGCCTGTTTGAGTCCCCGATTGGCAAACCTGGGGAAGAAGAGGACAGATATTAGGAAGCGGAGGCCCGGTCCCCGAACGAACAGCCCTTTTTTTCCGTCGCGAAGATATTTATCGGCATAGGCGGGCATATATATTAACCACCTGTAGCTGTCCAGCTCCCACAAGCAAAGCATCCTACGCCTCAACGTCGCCAACTCGGGACATATAACTAGTTCGTTATACTCCGTACAGATGAGAACAATGGTCTTGTGATCGGCCCTGCAATCTGCGATCTGCCCTCTGCCCTCTGCACTCTGCTCTTGCTTGCCGGCCCCACGACGTTCGACTGGATACCTCGTTCTCGAACTAGATTTTAAGCTTCACCGAGAGAATCCCGTTTCCTTCCGAGCAGAAAATCCGCCTCCGTGAAATTTCCTCCCCAGAAGTCTCAACTCGAGAAACCGCCGGGCTCGAAAGAAAAATTGCAGCAGACAAGAAACGCACCTTTTCAACTCTCCTCTTGGGATCTTCCCTTTCATTTCGTTACGCTGTATATTGTATAATTTTAACCCTTTCTCCTTTCTCTCTTCGGGTCGCTCATTCAAAGGCAAAGGCGGGTTCTTTGGCTACCTTCTTAAGCTCGGTTTGTGTACGTTTTGTGAACTTGTACACTCGGCTTTTTATTCAAAATGGACCAGCAAAGTAAAGGACCAGAACACCCCAAAGGTACGATATATACCGTGAGGATTGCCATTGGCGGTCCTCGTTGCTTCAATGGCGGGCGTACAGCATGATGGTTGTGGTTGTGCAATTGGAGACTGATTTTTTCTACGTCTTGCTATAGAAGTGCCGGAAGACACCAAGCCTGAAAACACCAGCCAGGAGCTTGCGAACGGCAACAAGGCAGAGGGGGAACAGGATGATAATAACAATGCTGGAGGTAGGACTGTTTGTTTCTGTCTTTAACGGGGCGCTTAGTGCCTGTAGAAAGGGCTCTCGTTTATGGTCGTGTGCACATTTTAGGCCTTTTCCAGATCAGCGTAAAGCTCCCTCATGAGCCACACAACATCCAGGTTATGGTAGGTTTACTCTTGTCTCAGTATACTCACCAACTTGCCTAACAACAATTGCAGGTCTCCAGCCAGGAGCAAGTCCAAGATGTTCGCCAATCGATTGTCGAACTGCCTGGGACCTTCCAGTATACCTGCTTCCACTTGGAAACTGAGGGAAACCGAATCAATGATTATGTCGAGCTGTCTGAGGTGAAGGGCCTCAAAGCCGACTCCGAGGTCGTCCTGATCGAGGATCCTTATACCGAGAAAGAAGCCAGGATGCACGTTGTTAGAATCCGGGAGCTGATCGGCGCTGCTGGTAACCGTGTTGATACATTGCATGGCCTTTCCGCTGGCCTGTCTTTGTATGACTCCGTTGCTGCGGGCGAGGGGCTGCCTGAGGAGGCTAAGAAGACTCACGCTCTCGACGGCTACGATGTCAATGCTCCTTTGAGCCTGGCAACTGTGCTTCCACAGGACCAATCCGCGGTACCAAAGACCGTCAGATCAGTTTCTCTTTCGCCGTGGAACCCTCCACCATACCATCTCCGCCAAAAGGGACACCTCCTGTACCTGCTGGTGACTACCAACGAAGGCGAACAGCACCAGATCACATCTCATGTCTCTGGGTTCTACGTGAACAAGTGCTCCAATTCGAAATTCGATCCTTTCCCTCGACCTGCTCCCAAGAACTACAGCGCACACTCCTTACTAACCTTGATCTCCCTTATCTCCCCTTCGTTTAATGAGTCTTTCAAGGCTCTCCAGGAGTACAACAACAAAAAGGATCTCCTCACAACATTCCCATTCCAAAACTCGATACCGAACAACCCATGGCTTGTTCCAGCATCACAGAGCCAGGCTACGGCGCATATGTCGGATGCAACTCGTTCTCAGGAGAACTACTTGATTGCGGGTATCGATAACTCCGAGACCTTGAGAGACTGGAACGAGGAATTCCAAACCACTCGAGAACTTCCCCGGGAAAATGTCCAAGAAAAGGTCTTCAGGGAGAGATTAACATCTAAACTCTTTGCTGACTATAACGATGCTGCTGTTCGCGGCGCCATCTTGGTCGCTAGGGGCGAGGTTGCATCGTTGAACCCAATGGAGGCCAGGGATGCCCAGATCTTCGTTTATAACAACATCTTCTTCTCCTTTGGTGCGGACGGTGTCGGCACCTTTGCTGCTGAGGGTGGCGATGAAGCTGCCCGTATCGCCGTTGGAAAGGATGTCATGGGTGTTAAGACTGTTAACCAGCTTGACATTCCTGGACTCTTCACCCCCGGAACTGTTGTTGTTGACTACCTCGGCAAACGTATTGTTGGTCAGAGTATCGTTCCTGGTATTTTCAAGCACCGCGAGCCCGGTGAGCACCAGATTGATTACGGTGGTGTTGAGGGCAAGGATGTTGTCGCAAAGAACGAAGCTTTCACCCCTGTTTTCGAGAAGCTCTCCAAGGCTCTCCGTGTCAAGAAGCATGCCGTTTGGGATAAAGATGGCGTACGACACGAATTAGAAGGAAGTGTTGAGACCAAAGGTCTCCTTGGTACTGATGGTCGTAAATATGTTCTTGACCTTTACCGCATCACTCCACTTGATATCTCCTGGACTGAGGATGCTGAAGGCCATGACGAATACCCCCATAGGATGCCTGTCCTCCGTCACGAGCTCGTAGAGGCGTATTGGAGATACAAGATGGGCCAATACGTCAAGGAAGAAGTTGAGAAGCGCAGGGCCGCTGTCAAGGAGGCTAAGGCTGTTGAGAACGGTGAGGGTGCTGATGCCGAGAAGAAAGACAACTCTGACCAGGAGAGAGTTGATATTTCCAACTTCCATCTTGCATTGAACCCTGATGTATTCAGCGGCCAGGTCCCACAGACCGAGGAGGAGAAGGAAGAGTGGGCACAAGACGAGAAGGAAGTCCGTGATGCTTGCGACCACCTTAGATCCAAGGCACTCCCAGAACTTGTCAAGGATCTTTACAATGGTGAAGTTGGCTTCCCTATGGATGGCCAGTCTCTCAGTCAACTCCTCCATAAGCGTGGTATCAACATCAGGTACCTTGGAAAGGTGGCACAGCTCGCCGAAGAAAAGGGATCCAGACTTCAGTCGCTTGTTGCTCTTGTGGTTCAGGATATGGTTGCTCGTTCATTCAAGCATATTGCTAACCGTTACCTCCGAAACCTTCCTCCTCCATTCGCTACTGCCTGTGTTGCCCACCTTCTCAACTGCTTGCTAGGTACAGAAGTCAACTCGAAGCCTCGTGCTGAGATTGATGAGTCTCTCCGAGCAATTTACCCCGAAGGTGACTTCTCGTTCGAGGAGGTTACTCCTGCATCCCTTGCTGCAGATATCGAGAAGCAGATTAAATCTCGTTACAGATATACACTTGAGGCCAGCTGGACTGGAAGCTTGAAACATTTCCAAGTTCTACGAGATATCTCTCTCAAGCTTGGACTTCAGCTTGTTGCTAAGGAGTATGCTTTCAACAAATCCCAAGTGAAAGAGCAGTCCCCCGCAGGAAACGGAGCTCACAGCGATTCTCAAGATGAGAAGAAAAAGAAGAAGAAGAAGGGCTCATCTGCTCCAGCTGCCACCCCCGCACCTGCTCCGGCTCTCACTTTTGTGCCCGACGATATTGTGAACATCGTTCCAATTATCAAGGACGCCTCTCCTCGCAGTGCCCTTGCTGAGGAGGCATTCGAAGCCGGCCGTATCTCTCTTATGCAGAACCAGAAGGAACTTGGCCAAGAGCTTATATTGGAGTCTCTCTCGCTTCACGAGCAGATTTATGGCATCCTCCACCCAGAGGTGGCCAAACTATACCATCAGCTCTCTATGGTATACTACCAAACCGATGAGAAGGATGCTGCGGTGGAACTAGCACGCAAGGCTGTTATCGTTACTGAGCGAACAATGGGAGTTGACTCTTCGGATGCTATTCTGAGCTACCTCAATCTCTCCCTGTTCGAGCATGCCAACGGAAACACTCAGACTGCTCTGATCTACATTAGACATGCTTTGGAATTGTGGAAGATTGTCTATGGCCCAAGCCACCCCGACTCTATCACCACGATGAACAATGCCGCAGTCATGCTCCAGCACTTGAAAAAGTACCCTGATTCTCGTAAATGGTTTGAGTCTTCTCTCGCTGTTTGCGACGAACTGTTCGGAAGACAGTCCGTTAACACTGCCACCTTGTTGTTCCAGCTTGCTCAAGCTCTTGCACTCGACCAAGACTCTAAGTCTGCCGTAAACCGTATGCGTGAAGCCTATAACATCTTCCTCAATGAGCTTGGCCCCGAGGACCGCAACACCAAGGAGGCAGAGAGCTGGCTTGAGCAACTCACCCAGAATGCTGTCTCTATCGCCAAGCGCGCAAAAGATATCCAGGCTCGCAGACGGCGCCTCGTCAACTTACCCGGCCGCTCATCTCTTGCCGCCCAACCCCAACCTTCAGTCGGACAAACTACATCCGAGATGGTTGCCGGTGTCGACGGTGCTAACCCAAGCTTGGATTCCCGAAGCATTGACGAGCTTTTGAAGTTCATTGAGGGCGGCGATGCTGCTCGCTCGAAGCCAAAGAAGAGAACCACTCGCAACCCTAAACTTCGCGGCTCGAAGCAGACTTCCGTCAAGCAATAAAGTGGCCAATACCTAATGATGCAACCTTTTACGGAATATCCTCCACATCGCGCCTTGCATTATATACCATTGCGGTTTTTCTTCTTTCCTTATCTGTCTTCAAAGCGTGGAATTTTGCTGTGCCAAATGCAGGGGTTTTTGGACATCTCTTATTGGTGCCGTTGAGCAATTGTCATTCTCGTATAAAAAACCGCGAACGGCTCCTGGGCTATGGGAACGTCATTTTGTTTGATTGTATATATCTATCTCTACTCTACTTTCAAAATCCTTTTCCCTTTAATTTTCTCTTTTTTTTGGTTCTTTCGCCAGAAAGTCAACTTTCACCGTTCATGAAATTGCTGATTTACCTTGCTCGAGGGTTACTTAGCAAGGTTAACTTCCCAAGCGATCTCCCAAATTTCTCGATATATGATACCGAATATGAATTTAAACTACTTACGGCATTAAGCGTGCTGCTCCCATAGTGATGTCTGTTATGCACCTGGATACCTAGGGTAGTGTTGTAAGGTCCAATCAACCAGAGAATTTCCAAGGTTCAAAGGTTCCAATGTCAGGGGTAAGATAAGATAAGATAAGATATAGTTATCACGTGACTTGTCTTGGCGTAAACAACAGTTGTTTACCTTTTTCAGCTTTCGTCACTAACCGCCATACAAACAGCCCATAGCCCAGCATCACAAGAATGCAGCATATTTTATAGCGTACCTGGAACCATACCAGCTCTTAATTTTAGTTTATATTGTCCGTTTATCTTTCTTCGCGCCTAATATACCTGAAGGAACCACATTGGCAGCTCAATCCTATGTCTAATTTGCCCTACGATCCCACGCCGTGTGGATAGCTAGTATCGCAGCGGTATAATTTTACATAGTATTGAATATTTATTTTTCTAAAAATGGGACCTAGCCACATTAATTCTCGTGCAAAACCCCCTCCGCCGCAAGTTCCGATCAACCTGAGATGGTGCAATCGAGCCCTACGCCCGTTAACGTCGATATATTTACGACTGGAGAAACACTGGAGAATCTCCCCATTGCGAGACGAAGAATACATCCGGCGGGCATATGGCGGTGGTGAAAGCTCCTTCAGTAGCAGCCAGAATGTACGCAGGTCGATGTCAGCCTCTGGGAACGCATCGGACTCGGAATCGTCGAAGGAAGACCCTACATGGGTACCGGGCGATGCTTCACGAAAGCCAATAAAACACCGATATTCTGGAAGGAAAGAAAGTTCGCGTACAAGCTCACGTTCTAAAGCCGTTGTCAAAAGCCCAGAGACTGAAAGACTCCAACCTGGACAACTCGCGATTGCGACCCCTTTGATCCTGGGAAAACGGCGGATGATTCCCCTATCGAAAATGCCGGCACCCGGTGATGGCAGCACAGAAAATGAGATGCCACAAAAAGAGAAGATTTTTTCTTATTCGAGACGTAAATCTTTGGGAAATAGCTGGAGCCTCGGTGAAATCGCGCATGGAATAGAAGATACATACAACGATCCGTCCTATGTGGCAATTGTGCAAACCATTTTCTCTGCATGGGATACCCTTCTTAGAATGAGTGGCCCTCAGCAGAGTAATCCTCAGACAGGGGCAAAGTCCTTATTGTCAATGGCTCTAAGCACTACATCCAAATACATTTTACAGGAGCAAGAGCGCATTAACAGCCTCGAAGAAAAAGATGAGGAGACAGACGTCGCCGGGTGTATCATCACTGAGTTGGAAAAGATGTACACAATGGGTGGCAACGGATGGAGACCATTGAAAGAGCTTGTCCGATCGCACGGCATCCACTTGATGTGCGAAGCAATTCGAAGACGATGGCTCTCTCCTCAATTGAGCCGAAGGCTCGTCTTGCAATCTTTTTCTCTGCAAGCTCATGACGCTGCAAGCGCTTTATTAACAGCCATGATATCGCTCTCGCCCGTCATTCCACCTCCGGTTCGGCTGGATTCCAACCTATTTAAACCAAGTCATTCGGTTGCATTACACACTTTGGAAACTTATGTCAGGCCCTCAGGAAGTTTTAGTATATTATTCAGGGAAATGGCATCATTACTTGATCGAGGTCGATTACCAGCCGAATGGTTAGCGACCGACTCCATGAAATATTACTTGACTTCTGCTTTACAATCCCTTGCAACTGATGACGAGCACTCCTTTGCTTCACTACGCCTCATCACTTCTGCCATACTAGCAGCTGCTGGCTCTAAGAGAACAATACCCGCGCAGGTGCTTAACAACTTACGCCGGTCAAAACGGGGGACTACTCGAAACCGCAAGAGCGAGTCCGAAGCAAGCTTTACTGGCTCGTGTCTGGGGCCGAAAACCAGCTGTCATGATCCAATTTCTATCGCCCTCAGCAACAGTATTACAAGTATCCTCACCGTGCTTTCTGGCTCACATGTTGCCAAGTTTGGATTTGGAAAGGCAAAGGCTTCGTCATTGTATAACTTGCTATCCTTTCTTTCTACGATTGTGCAGCGAGATATTGAACGAAACCTTTTTGATAAGGGCAAGAATAAGTTGAACCTGCAACCAACTCGGGCTTGCACCATTTTGCTTTCAGATTTTTTGGCCAATTTTTTGGGTAATGGCAACAAGGAGAGCCAAAGGCAGGCGGCTATTCATGCCTCGCCTATTCTACACAATCTTGGATATTTAACTGGTATGCATAAAAATAAGAAGGAGCTTGTGGAGGAGTTGGCCGACTTTGTTCTACAGGTCGCGAGATGTCTAGGCAGGGTACGGAATGATAACGGCTTTGAGGTGGCTAAGCGGTTCACCTTAGCATTTAACTCCTCTTCTGTCAAAAGGCACCCTATTCTCCGACTAGTGCTCAGCAAGGTGGCTGTTGAGGTTGCTCTGAAGTTTGCTGAGGCTACATGCCTACAAGAACATCATGACTGGGCCTCATATATCCAAGATCAAGCGGCTGCCTGTGGTTTAGATATAGCTGATGTGCACGATATGCAACCATTGACCCCCTCCTTACGCCGCTCGGAAACTGGATTTAGATGGGAGGATGGCATTGGGGAATGGGTTGCAAAGACTCCCATCTTTAGTCAAGCCAAAAGCTCGAGGTCTACGTCGCCGTTGCCGAACTGTACCGTCCCCGCATCTCAGTGTGGCATGACTGATCATAAAATGGAAATATCAGATACCGAAGAGAGTGTCTCAAGGTCCTCGACAATGTCAAATCAAAACAAGGACAGCTCAAGTGTTTCATCGGAGTATTCTGACTCGCCTCCACCGCCCAAGAGGAAACGATTAACAAGCGCTTTTGGCGATCAAAACTTCACGAGAGCGACAGAAAGGGGCCAAAACAACCCTTGCTATCTCCAACGTCAGACCGCAAGACGCCGGAGCTCAGATATGGATTCTCGGCCGGACCATAATGAATCACGGCAATGCTGGCTTGGACCTAGGAAACCCGTTCATAATACAACCACGGACCATCGACGGTCGACTGGAGGAGCGCTAATCCATGGTAGCTCAAAAAATGTAGCTGTTGTGATTGAAGTGCCTCGTAAACGGAAGGCAAGCGACTCGGGGGCTGTGCCAAAAGAGCGTATCATTTGCCGCAGGAAGCGTCGTGCTACTGAACCGTTTGGATCTATATCAACGGCATTTGATACGACAGATAAGGAAGAAGAAACCGAAGATGAGGAGGAGGAAGATATCCTCAGTCATGCGCCAGCCCTCAGCCAACGATTTAAGCACAGGATACGGCATCAAACTGCTCCTAGACAACCCCAGATCCGTCACAAGGAGTTCAGGCGTGCCCGCCCCCGTCGATCAACTAGGTTGTCCCTTGGAGAACGTGTAATCCCCTGCTCAGACTCGAGTGATGATGAACTAAGCTTCTGTTGACACAGTGCTAAGACACGATGTTTTCCCTGTTTTGATATCAGTCCATCTACAACCCGGCAACGCTCCCATCGTCCGGCCCTACCGCTGACGTCTCATGTCAAACATGAGATAGTTCTTCCTTTTTCCTCCTACCAATACTCTTCGCAGAACCAAAGTCAGTTTTGATTCAGATTTGATCAGCATTCTTACACCTTTCTTTTTCAGTATTTTCACATGGCTCGAATACTGGCGCCCTCTCTTTTTTCGCCTGGTTATACCCATTTTGCATTGCTTTGGCTTGAAACTCGATATGTCGCAGGGAGTTCAGCGTGCACGCTTTACGGATACCAATTGTCGAGCGTCTTCGTTTCCCTTTATCTCTTTCTATCGTTCATGACTCTACGTGTATATTCTGACCCGAGGCCTAGATCCGCCCGGTTTCATGTATTTATACTACTGATATAGAAGCTTTTTTTGCCTGTTCGTATATTCCATGTGCCTTTGAAGCTTCTTCTATCGTCAGCACGCCAACAGCGGCTTGCAAACTTGATCTTCAGCTTGCGACGAAGCTGTGTCGAGGCCAGCACAGCCCCTCACTTCGATGGTTTTAGTTGCTGCCACTAGACGGAGACTAGGGCTAGTTAGCTCTCTGGATTGACTACTGTAGCGTGTCGTAGGTGTCCGAGTTGAGTGGCGTCTACGATTTCTCATTTACCGCGGTTCCCCAACCAGGTGCATTTTTGCGGGGGAAAGAATCCATCAGACACTTGGGAAACGGTGGAGAGAGGGAAAGAAACGGTCATGTCAGATGGAAGGCGCTGTGGGTTTCAGAGAAAGATGTGGTTTGCCTTCTGAGTGGCCGAGAAGAGCAGAAGCGGGTAGACTTTTGCTCGCTTCAACTGGCCACCCGGCGATTCTAGGTCGCATGAGAGTCTTTCCCCTGGTTCACTGAGTAGCTTTTGCCCTTAAGTTCCCACCAGCGTGAGTGAATTGGAGGAGGAGTCCTTTCTTTATCGCTGTCCGACATCGAGATGGGCGTTGCGTTGCTCCATGTAAGTTTAAAGTAGCGGCCAGGGGCTTGCCTGGTGCCGTTTTCCACCGTGCGAAGCGGCCAGTCGGCTACTTATACAGACCTAACCCATGGAGTGAGCAGGGATAATTAAGTACCTAGGAAGCTAATTTAGTTCGGCCTGGGCTACTGCAACGGAGGTAACAAGCTCAACTCCTCTAACCCGTGTAGGAAAAGCCTGTGTGGCAGATGGAGTCGGGAAGCCGTCTGAAGCTATGGCAACCGTATGTACTCATATGATTCCCCTAGACAGGAGCAGTGTATAGTAGCCCATGTCGGAGTTATATTAGTTAGAGCCTGGGTGGTATGCGACAGGAAGGACCACTGGGTGATACTCGGTCAGACCACACTCGCAGTACATACTCTCCACGCTGCCGAGACATGAATGGGGGAATGGGGAATGGAGGGCGCCCTGACCTGATATCCTGTAGCCAACTATCGATCCAGAATGCTCATCTACGACTTTGATCGTCGGCCGAAAATGCATATCCCAAGTGCCTTTCCCACCTTCTGCTACTCGTCAGATAGTTAATTCAGCTCCTTCTCTTGAAACAGGAGGCGATAGTTGGCCATCTCAGCGGACGATCCCCTTTGGATTTTGAATATCGACGAAAGAGAGACCGATCTCTTTCCTTCCTCTAGGCCGGCCTTCGCAGCATCTAGACCACCCCCGTACGGCATACGGAGTTGTAGTTATGCTTTCCCTTCGGTTTCCATGCCTAAGTATAGCTCGCATCCATCCCTCGCGGTGGTCCCGGTGGAGAATCTCATTCCTCTCCGTACTGTATCCTCGCCGTCAAGATAAGTCTTACGCCCAGCCTTCGGGCGTTTCACCTTTTGAGGGTCGTCTCCAGTCCGTGTCAGCCAACGAGCCATTGCCCTAGAGGATTTTCATGACTTACTCTGCTGCTGATTCGCTCATCTGCGCTTCTAACTTTTCGCCGTCCCTTTCTTCTGACTCGAACTGGCTGGTGGTGGCTTGATCGACGGCCGTACCTTGCATGGGCGCTGCAAGTCCCCTGACGGTATCTTGCCCGCTAGGCGGCAGCCCGGGAGTGACTTGCAGAGTACATGCAGGTGCCACTGGCCTCTGGGATCCGCAGCATACTCCTGCCGGTCCCGTCAGCTTATTAGACCTTTCAATCGAATCCGGCTTGGACCTGCGCAGAAGCCGAAGTCGACCAGGGGAAGAAATAGAACGCCCTTGGCCGTCTGGTCGTCTCGTTTCTCTGTCACCTCACGCTCGCTCTCTGTGTCCGTCTTTTCAAACGTCGACTCCCACAGTGCTCTTGTTCCTTGTCCCCTGTCCGAGGCCGATGAGAGCTTGCAGGGCACACTGGTTCGGGGGCTCCTTGGTCTCTGACATGCTATGCTAGTAAACTGACAAGGGCTGTGCCTTTTTCTGTCTCGACGACCTCAAACAACATTCGCGACTCCCAAAGACAAGAACATCAACTGCGAAGTGCAACAAACAAAGAGCAACCACGCTCGCCGTTTAAGAGACGCCAATTCCACTCTCTTTTTATCCTCCAGGCAGGCCGGGGCGGTTTCTCCCGTTACAATCTTTTTCAACCATCCAAACAGTGCAAATCTCACTCTCACTCTTTAAAACGACCACGAACGTTCATTAGCATACGATCTCTTTTTTATTTCACCATTTACTGCGTCCACGTCGCCGTCAAAAACGTCTTACTCTCCTTCGAATTGAACACTACAGCTGCTCATGAGGTCGTTACTCCTCCTGGCACCGCTGCTGGCGGGCTTTGCCGCAGCTTATGACGAAGAATCATCACACCACGAAGAAGGACCCCATATCCTGCAACCGCAGGAAGTGTACGATGACAAGGTTGCTCGTTACTATATCTTGTCCGGAGGAAGCGTCTTCGCCATTATCCTCATCTGGTCTGCGGTCATTCGCATGTCAGCACACATTCGACGCCTTACCAGTCTTTCAAATGATACCCAGCGGTACTTCGTTGCTGCCCATAGCTTCTGGGCCTGGATGAAGCGTCATGTCATGTATGCTCCTTTGCTCTGGAAACGTCACAACCGCGAGTACCGAATCTCTACGGCATTGAACATGGGTACTCTTCCCACTAGATTTCACACCGTGCTGCTGCTTATGGTGGTGGGGAGCAATGCATACCTCTGCCTGCATAAACTTCCCTTCTCGAAGCCTGAGAATGAGTTTCTACCCTCAATTCGCAAACGGACTGGAACAATGGCAACTGTCAACCTTATCCCCCTTGTTCTCATGGCCGGCCGGAACAACCCTTTGATCAAGCTGTTGGATGTCTCGTTTGATACATGGAATCTCCTTCATCGCTGGCTTGGCCGCATTGTCGTGCTAGAGTCACTTGCTCACACTATCTGCTGGATGGTAGGAAAGGTTCATACAGGTGCGATGTATTCTTTGTTCTATACTCATCTAAGACTTCTCTAACTAGAACGCCAATAGACGGCTGGGCTGCTCTGCGGGAGTCCTTAGGCTCTAGCAATCTGATATTGACTGGCATTGTCGTAAGTACATACTCTTTGATTATTACAATCTATGTAGGCACTAATTAGATCTATAGGGAACCATCTGCGTTGTGATCATATCCATTCACTCTGTCTCCATGCTTCGCCATGCGTTTTATGAAACTTTCCTCCATTTCCATATCCTTTTGGTTATAGTCTTCCTCGCATTCACATGGGCACACTTGGTTGGCTATTCCCAACTCAAGTACCTTCTCGGAGCTATTATACTATGGGCCTTTGAGGTAATCCCAACAAACCCTTAATACTCATCCTTGTCCTGTTCACCGGCTAACTGAGCCCCAATAGCGAGCATGGCGCATAATCACCATCGTTTATAGGAATTTCATACGTGGTAACACAACCGCAACTATAGAAGCTCTTCCAGGAGAAGCAATGCGCGTTACATTAAGGGTTGCTCAGCCCTGGACTTTCAGACCTGGCCAACATCTATATCTATACATCCCATCCGTTGGCTGGTGGACATCTCACCCGTTCAGCGTGGCATGGAGTGAAAATGAAGAAAGTGACACTGATGAAAAAGGTCTCGTCATGACCAAGCAAGACATCCTCGGCCTCCAACAGCCCACAATGTCCCTCGTCGTTCGGCGAAGAACCGGAATGACCAACAAGCTATACGAGAAAGCTACTGAAAACGGTGCTACAAGTGTCACTCTATCCGCCATGGTAGAAGGCCCTTACGGAGCCGAACATGTTCTCGATTCATACGGCTCAGTCGTCCTCTTTGCTGCCGGTGTTGGCATTACCCATCATGTCTCCTATGTGCGGCATCTCGTCGCTGGCTTTGCAGACGGAACAGTAGCTACCCGCCGTCTGACTCTTATCTGGATAATCCAATCGCCCGAACATCTCGAATGGATCCGGCCCTGGATGACCAGCATCCTGTCCATGAGCCAAAGACGAGAGGTACTCCGAATCATGCTCTTCATCACCCGACCACGCAACACCAAGGAGATTCATAGTCCCAGCACGACAGTCCAGATGTTCCCGGGAAAGCCGGACATTGGCACCATCCTTGACGGAGAAATCGAGAAGCAGGTCGGTGCCATGGGTGTCATGGTGTGCGGAACAGGCAGTCTGAGTGACGAGATTCGATATGCGTGTCGGCAACGGCAAACTCCCACCCATATCGACTTCATCGAAGAGTGTTTTACATGGTAGCCATTTCTTCTCCTTCAGTCTATCACCTTCTTTTGCATTTTTATTCATGGGTTAACGGCTTTTCTTCGGGTTGCTGGGGTTCATAAGGAGGGCGCATATCCAACTGGTTCGGTCATGGGGGGCTTCTTCACAGGGGTTAAAATGCACATTCTTTTACTTACGTCTTACTTCTGGCCCTTCACTCTCTCACTTCCATCTTTCACTTCTTCCCTTTTCCCTGTTTACACTTATCATTTTATTCCCCTTGCACATAAGTATCTGCCTAACATATCCCTTTCATTTCGGCCTGGAGATGCAAAGCAGCGGCGTTCGAAGTCCCGGAAATCTGCAGTCCAGCCTTTTTACTTCTTGTATTTACTTATCTATGCAGCAGCCATAACTCTACACCACCAGGCTTGTACCTGTTGCTTACGATCTGCTGCACGTTGACTAACGGATGGCTTTTTCTTCGTCTTCATCTTCGTCTTCTTTTCTTTTGCGTAAAGTCAAAGCATCTTGGCGTCGGCAAAGTCGCCGGCTTTCTAGGCCCTTCGACTTTGTGTGATGTAATAGTTTGAGAACCCAACGCGAGACTTTTGAGGGACGCTCCTTGCACATATGTAAAAAAAAAGAAGAGGGAGAAGAAGTAAGAGTAAATAGAGGAGGAAGAAGAAGAAGCCAGGGGAATATTTCAACCTTCTTCTGGCGATTATAAATCCCGTCTCGCGCCATCGCATCGATATCGCTGTATTTATAATTAATCTCCTAAGCTGCCCCGCCCCCTCGGTCGTAAATACGGACGAAGTTGGCTTGGTGATTAGTATCCGTCTACATATATAACTACCTTGACATCCAGGTTGGAGTAAATCAAATACAGCAGTTTTCATCAATTATTTGCATTCATCCTCCTATAATAAATATATGATCAGGCGCCTGGCTCAGTATACAAAGCAGCTCCAACGCCCAGTCACTACACTAGCGAACAGCACCGTCAAGATGGCTGCCCCCGCATCAGATATCACCCTCTATACCTCACAGACTCCCAATGGCATCAAGATCTCGATCGCCTTGGAGGAGCTTGGGTGAGCCTACCTCCCGGCTTCCTACAAGAGCGTGGAAAGCTGAGAAATAGCTAACACTCCAATATAGCCTCCCTTATAAAGTCGTGGCCATCGAACTCAGCAAAAATACACAAAAGGAGCCTTGGTTCCTCGAGATAAACCCCAATGGCCGCATCCCAGCCATCACCGATACTTTCACCGACGGCAGGAAGATTGCTATCTTCGAATCCGGAAGTATCTTGGAATACCTCGTCGACAGATACGATACCGAGCACAAGCTGTCTTACCCCAAGGGATCCAGGGAGGCATATGAAGTCAGCAACTGGCTTTTCTTCCAGAACGCAGGTGTAAGTCCTGATCCACTTCTCAAGCAACTACTTATTTAGTTGCTAACAAATGTCCTGGATTAGCTTGGCCCAATGCAAGGTCAAGCAAACCACTTTAACCGTTATGCTCCCGAGCGCATCGAATACGGCATCAACCGATACACGAACGAAACCCGCCGTCTATACGGAGTACTAGACAAGCATCTCTCCCAGTCAAAGTCAGGCTATTTGGTTGGAGATCATATCAGCATTGCTGATATCTCTCACTGGGGATGGGTTGCGAGTGCAGGGTGGGCCGGAGTTGACATCGACGACTTCCCGCATTTGAAGGCTTGGGAGGAGAGGCTACTAAAGAGGGAGGGCGTTGAGAAAGGCCGACATGTCCCTGAGCCACATACCATCAAGGAATTGCTGAAGGATAAGGAGGCTATGGAGAGGGTAGCGGCTAAGAGCAGGCAGTGGGTTCAGGCCAGCATGAAGAGTGATGCGAGCAAGTAAAATCTGCTTACAACATTCATTAGTTAGTAATACTATTTAGGTCATGTGATATTTTGGTGGCGCAAGTGACGAAAACTCTTAATTTGGTAAGAACAGCTTAGTAATAGGTTATTTTGAAATAATACGATTTCATACAATCAAATCTCGTTCAGCCCAATAAAAACGATCCATTTTATGTGTAATGATTTCACTTCCAGTATCGAAATTTACCGGAAAATCAATATCCCTAATAGTCACGTGTTGTATTGATTATATAATCATGATATGATAGTTTCCCTTGAGCTTTGGATCATCGACTTGAAAAAGCTCTGTCCTTCGCGCATCTTGCCACGACAGATATATCCTTCATTCCTCGTTTGATTGTGAATCTCAGAATCAACAACGATCATGGCGTGGCGTAATCAAGGTATTACTGGTTCTAACAATATCCCACTGGGTCGTCGCAGGTTTGGCGATGAGCCAGATGAAGCCCCAAGCTCCTCGTCAACTCCAGCAGCTCACATGGATGCTGGGAACAAGCGTGGTAGGAGTCCAGTGAGAGGTGAGTTCTATACCCAGCCCCATCGCCATCATAAGAACACCCATACTAACTGCTTGTGTATAGCTGATCCTCCTGCGGATGGAACAAAGAGGCGGAAGAAGCGCAACCGCTGGGGTGATGCCCAGGAGAACAAGGCTGCTGGCCTGATGGGCCTTCCGACTCTGATCATGGCAAACATGACCAACGAGCAGCTTGAAGCTTACACTCTTCACCTGCGTATTGAAGAAATTAGCCAGAAGCTTCGTATCAACGATGTTGTCCCGGCTGATGGAGATAGGTGAGTGACGGCCTCCCCGCCTTTTATGATATGTTTGCTGGACTAACACTTTTTTTTTATTTAGGTCTCCCTCGCCGGCGCCACAGTACGATAACCTTGGTAAACGTGTAAACACCAGAGAGTACCGTTACCGCAAACGCTTGGAAGATGAGCGTCACAAGCTTATTGAGAAAGCTATGAAAGTTATTCCTAACTATCACCCGCCCTCTGACTACAGGCGTCCGACTAAGACCCAGGAGAAGGTCTATGTCCCTGTTAATGACTATCCAGAGATTAACTTCAGTATGATAACTAACCCTCTAACTCCTAATCGTCCTACTCTTTCTTTATTTTTGCTGCAGGCTCGAGGCTTTCTCGACCTGCTAGTTGCTTTTCATTACTTTCTCTTTTCTTTTAACTTGTCATCAACTTGATGGCTTTTCTATTTCTTTTCTCTTCTCCCTTGCATACTAACCCAGTTACTACTAATCCTTCCCATTCACTACTTGATATAAAAGACTTCAAATACTAACACCGAGCTCACTTGTGAATAAAAGTTGGCTTACTTATCGGACCTCGTGGCAATACCCTCAAGAAAATGGAGACCAAGTCCGGAGCAAAAATTGCTATCCGAGGCAAAGGCTCTGTTAAAGAGGGTAAAGGACGATCTGACGCCGCTCACTCTAGCAACCAGGAAGAAGACCTTCATTGTCTAATCATGGCAGATACGGAAGACAAGGTTAACAAGGCAAAGGAACTTATTCACAATGTTATCGAAACGGTATGTTCTGCAACCTCTCCAATACATTGTTTTAACAAAAATTTTGAGCAAGGATTCAACTAATCATTCAATAGGCTGCTTCTATTCCCGAGGGGCAAAATGAACTGAAGAGGAACCAGCTTCGTGAACTTGCCGCTCTTAACGGTACCCTACGTGACGATGAGAATCAGGCCTGTCAAAATTGTAAGTCTCTCGACATGTCTGTCTATTATTTTATTTATATTATATGATACCTAACACTTCTACTTTTCAGGTGGTCAAATTGGTCATCGCAAATACGATTGCCCAGAACAGCGTAACTTCACTGCAAACATAATCTGTCGTGTTTGCGGAAATGCTGGACATATGGCCAAAGATTGTCCCGACCGTCAACGTGGTACTGATTGGCGTAACCATGGACCTAGCGTTCGCGGCAAAGGGGTTGGAGGTGGTGATGCAGTTGACCGGGAAATGGAGGTAAGCTTTTTCCATCCTCATTTGCACTTAAATAAAAACCTATACTAACGCTTTACTATAGCAACTCATGCAAGAGCTCTCTGGCAATGCTCCTCTACCTGGCGGTGAGGCACAGAAACGCATTGAAGGTGGACCTGGAGGATATGGGCAGGGCAACAACAACTACGGCGGTGATGACGTGAAGCCGTGGCAACAGCGTGAGCCTGCCAGCAACACACCACCATGGCAACGACGAGATGATCGATCCCGAGACGACCATGGTCATCATGACCAAAATGCACCTCCACCATGGGCTTCTGGCGGCCATAGGGGTGACCGAGACAACCGAGATCATCACGGTTACCAGGGGCGCGACTCTTACAACCCTGCTCCCTCTGCTGGTGGCCCTCCACCATGGCAGCAAGCTGCACAGCAAGCTCCAGCCATGGCCCAGGCTGCTGCCTATGGTTATGCCGGATATCAATTCCCCACAAACCAAGTCATGGGTGCACCGCCTGGTCTAAGTGGCATCCCTCCACCACCACCTGGAATGGCATCTATGTTCGCTGGCTTCCAGGGTGCTCCTCCACCTCCACCTCCGCCAGCCGATGGCCCACCCCCTCCCGTAGGTTCTCACAGCTTCGCAACTATGTTTAACCAAAACTAACGTCTATTTTAGCCTCCGAGTGAACAGCCACCGCCTCCACCTCCGCCTTCTGCCTGATTTCGATCACAAGTGTCGGAGTCCAATGGAGAGATTTTCCTAGGAGTACTCAAATGCTAACCACTAACCATGCCTTTTATCTTGTAATTCGGATTTTTTTTTTACTAACAGCCTATAGGCAGTTTTTATGCCCTTGAGGGATGTCATATTTGAATGGCCTCTATGGGCTCCCGTTATTATTGACCGGACACTTGTCGTTTGTAATTTTAAGGGAAATTGATGTCTGTGTTCTTATTTTTTGTTCTTCGTTATTGTCCCTAGGGAGTACTCGGCTCTTAGCTCCAATATCGCGTAGTATTTGGCTATTCGTCGAAAGAAGCTCCATGTACTCCGTAGAGGGGCACCTTACAAGCTCTCAAAACCATTTCATCCCTATGTAACACAGCCTTTGTGGCAACTATTTCAAAGCAGTTATAGCACCCAGCCATACATATTCTCCAGCATGCAAGCCAGTACTCGGCCTACTTTTTTCCGATATTTAACTAAGTACCATATTTTGCGGTGTGACTTGATCTTCGTACGGAGTAAATTTCCGCGATTTCCCATTCGCGGATCATGGTGCCAGCGGACAGCCAGTTGCATAAAAGAGTCAATGCCCCCAGTTCAGCTATAGCCCGAATAGCTGCTCATCGTACATCGACCATTTCCGTGAGAGCTTGTGAGAAATTCTTTCAGGGACACCATGGCAGCGCAAGCGCCTAGTGGTGAAGGGCAGGCGGCAACATCGAATGCCGCAGCATCAGATACGAAATGGTGGAAGATACGTTTCTTTCACGGGATGAAAAATGATATTAGAAGACGAGCACCGTATTACTGGAGCGATTGGAGGGATGCATGGGATTATCGTGTCATTCCAGCAACTGTATACATGTTCTTTGCGAAGTATGACTAGTCCATGCCTGCCCTTGCGATGCCTGACATCAACCGCTCGATTCCTCCGTTTCCCTATATACAATGCAAAAGCTTACATGGAATACGTGAAGTATTCTTCCAGCTCTTGCCTTCTCGCTTGATATGTTTGAGAAAACGCATATGAGCTACGGTGTCAACGAGGTTCTTCTAGCATCCGTTCTAGGTGCCGTTGTCTTTTCTCTCCTAGCTGGACAGCCCTTAGTTATTGTTGGTGTAACAGGTCCGTATGCACTCCGTACAACAAATGAAATTATAATATGCCTAACCATGACTTATAGGTCCTATCACAGTCTTTAACTACACGGTCTACGATATAATCGCACATAGAGGGACAAACTACCTGGCCTTTATGTGCTGGATTGGAATGTATGGGTATCTCTTGCCCTACGTTAAGAATTATATCTTACTAACGAATTATTCTAGCTGGTCACTTATAATGCATTGGGTTCTTGCTATAACAAATTCTTGTAACGGGCTGACCTTCGTTACAAGGTTTTCCTGTGATATATTTGGATTCTATGTTGCCTTTATCTATATCCAAAAGGGAATCCAAGTACTTACCAGGCAGTGGGGAATGGCTGGAGAAACATCTGCATACCTTTCCATCATGGTTTCTTTACTCGTTCTTATGTCCTGCTTTATCTGCGGCGCCATTGGGGAGAGCAATTTCTTCAATCGCCATATACGCAAGTTCATTGAAGACTATGGCACCCCTCTTAGTATCGTCTTTTTCACAGGTTTCGTTCATATAGGACAAATGAGGAATGTCCACGTTGAAACCTTGCCTACCTCCAAAGCATTTTTCCCTACCACCGATCGTGGTTGGCTTGTGCACTTCTGGGATATCAGCGCCAGCGACATATTTCTAGCGGTTCCATTTGCAATCCTCTTGACAATACTTTTCTATTTTGATCACAACGGTTTGTTTACCTGTTTCCTCCTTTTACTTGCAACCAATTAGCAGGAGTTACTTTCTAACATAACTTATAGTGTCTTCATTGATTGCGCAGGGAACAGAGTTTCCGCTCCGCAAGCCGGCCGGATTTCACTGGGACATATTCTTGCTAGGGTTGACAACTGGGATAGCAGGAATTCTAGGCATTCCCTTCCCTAACGGCTTAATTCCCCAGGCACCATTCCATACTGCCTCCCTTTGCGTAACACGGCAGGTAGCAGACGAGGATGAAAACCATAAAGGAAAGTCTGTCCGGATTATTGATCATGTCGTTGAACAACGTGTTAGCAATCTCGCTCAGGGACTGCTCACGCTTGGAGCAATGAGTGGACCCCTCCTTTTTGTCCTACACTTGATACCCCAGGCAGTAATGGCTGGTCTCTTTTTTATTATGGGAATTCAAGCTCTCCTAGCCAACGGAGTAACACAGAAGTTGACGTTCCTTTTGCAAGATAAGGAGCTTACCTCGTCTTCAAACCCATTGCTAAGAATTGAACGGAGAATAGCCATTTGGGTATTTGTTGCAATTGAACTATTGGGATTTGGAGCTACTTTTGCGATCACACAAACAATTGCTGCTGTTGGATTTCCAGTCTTCATTCTCTTGCTTATTCCCATTCGGTCATTCCTGCTCCCAAAATGGTTCACTCAGAGCGAGCTTTCCATTCTCGATGCACCCACTGCCAGTTCCTTCACCATGGAGAGTGTTGGTGGAGCTTATGGGGATGCTCAACCCGAATTAGCTGAAAGAAGCCCTCATAATGGTGAAGAGGTGTCTGGAGGAGGAGGAGGTGTTTTTGCAGGTGATTTAGAAACTGGGGAGCTTCATGAGCTACAATCAAACATCACTATCAGAAGAAGAAGTTGAACGGATAAAAATAAAACACTTGATATCTGCTGTTGATATGTCAATTGTTGTTGATACATGCGAATTCTATGGGTTTAGATAGGAGACTCGATATACATCTTGGCAATATATCATTACTATGCCTAAAGTTTATTATTAGGCAATAAGGACAATGCAAACAATACAAACAGGCCAAATTACTCAAAAATCAGTAGAAAACTTTATTATATAACTAATACTATAAGCTCACCGCTTTCGAATATAAATTATTTTCTGCCGCAATAATTTTCGAGACCCAAAGCCGAAGAAAGAACAACAGTTGAAAGCAGATGGAGTGAATGCGCAGCCACAGATTTAGAAGTGCTGCTGGATAAATACATTGAAATGGCTGGTACACTAAATGCAGCTTCGGACTCCGAAGATTCATGCTCTGAGATATCGTTTATTGCGCAAGATGAGATAGAGACAATTATACAAGACGAACGGCCGCAAAAAAGGCGACGGCTATCAGACTCCTCTGAAGGCTCCCTGATAGCTTCAAAGACGCCATATCCAGTCCAGACCCTATCGCGAATTAAAAAGAAAGAAGTGAAGAGTGAAAAGGATGAAGAGACCACATCTCAGGCTGATCCGGTTACCGCTAATGATGCGTTCGCAATGGGGCTCCAGTCAGCAGATTCTTCCTTTGCTTCTTTGGGACTTGCTCCATGGCTAGTTAGCTCATTGAAGGCGATGGAAATCAAGCGACCGACGGCAATTCAAAAAAGCTGTATACCAGAGATAATAAAGGGAAGGGATTGTATAGGTGGGAGTAGGACTGGTTCTGGAAAGACCGTTGCATTTGCTGCTCCAATACTGCATAAGTGGTCCGCGGATCCATTTGGAATATATGCTGTTATATTAACCCCAACGAGGTACGGGCAATTTACTTGAGTGGAAAAATGCTTATATAAAAACGCGTTGGATGATGCTAACTCTCAACGTAGAGAACTTGCTCTTCAAATTTTCGAACAAGTTAAAGCGATCTCCGCGCCACAGTCTCTTAAGCCTCTTCTAATAACTGGCGGGAGCGATATGCGACCGCAGGCGATTGGACTCTCGCAGCGACCCCATATAGTCATTGCGACGCCAGGCCGACTCGCAGACCACATTAAGTCGTCTGGAGAAGATACCATTATTGGATTGAAGCGAGTCCGTATGGTAGTTCTTGACGAAGCAGATCGCCTTCTTACAAGTGGACCGGGGAGCATGCTTCCTGACGTAGAGACATGTTTGTCTGCTTTGCCGGCGTCTACAGATCGTCAAACTCTTCTCTTTACAGCAACTGTTACCCCTGAGGTACGGGCGTTGAAGTCAATGCCTCGAGCAAAGAATCGACCTCCAATCTTTGTTACTGAAATCTCCACGGAAAATACAACAATACCTCCAACCCTAAAGCAGACATATCTCCAAGTGCCCCTGAACCACCGCGAGGCATTTTTACATGTGCTACTGTCTACAGAGGGGAACTCTTCCAAATCTACCATAATCTTCTGTAACCGAACTAAAACAGCTGATCTATTGGAGCGCATTCTTCGTCGCCTGTCACATCGAGTCACCTCACTTCACAGTCTTTTACCCCAATCCGAGCGAATCGCTAATCTTTCCCGCTTCCGCGCTTCTGCGGCTCGGCTGCTGGTCGCAACTGATGTAGCAGCTCGTGGTTTGGATATCCCTTCGGTTGGGTTAGTTATCAACTATGACGTCCCCAGGAACCCAGACGACTATATTCATCGGGTTGGTCGTACTGCTCGAGCTGGGCGAGAGGGTGAAGCTATAACGCTCGTGGGCCAGAGAGATGTCCAGCTAGTTATGGCAATTGAAGCTCGAGTTGGTAAACAGATGCTAGCATGGGAGGAGCCTGGAGTGAATATTGAATCTCGAATCGTGAAGGGAACGGTCTTGAAGGAAGTTGGCTCTACGAAACGAGAAGCAATGGGTGAAATTGACGAGGGAAGAGATGTACTCGGCCGCAGGGTTAGGAAATTGAAAAAGGTCTGTTAAGATGGACGGCATGATTCTTGGACAAACCAGTAAAATACACCCATTTTCGCTCTGTATACCCACCCTAGGCCTCTCCTTAACTCCCGAATAACCGAATACCCAGCTCTAAGAAAACTTAAACGAAATCGACGCTATCTACAGCTCATGCTTGAGTTGTCTTAATCCTTCGCTTCGCCGCAGGCTCCTTGGCCTGTTCATTGCCATCGTCCTGGCCCCTTTTACGTTTGGGAGCTGCCTTTGCTGCTACCGGTTTCCTACCTCTCTTCTTCACCTCAGGTTCAGACGGCGGTTGGTGACCAGCACCATCTTCCCCTTCCGCTCTCCCTTCAGCATCTACCCTTTTAGCAGCATCCTGATGGCCTGCATCAGGAGCTGCATCAGAGGCAACAGGTTGAGCTCGTGCTCGGCGATACCCTCCACGGCCTGTCTTTGCTTCTGCACTAGCTGCGAGGCTCGCTGCCTGCCGTTCTTCCTCTTCCTTCTGCGCCTTCTGTGCCCTCTCTCGCAGCATTACTGCCTTGTCAACCCATTCTCCTGTCTCAAACACCCACACAAACCGGAGGGGAGGGAGTTGCGCATCCTCTCCGGCTTGTGTGGGGTCTCCAACCGCCTCGTAACGGTGGTAGATATCACGGCTAAGCAAGTCAGTTTGGACATTCTGTATAAAATGAGATTGGAGGGGTGGGTATGCAGCTTACGGCTCTTCGTCTCCTGCCCAACCTAGCCGTACACGCCAGTAGTCGACATCTTCTCCCTTGTCTTCGTGGTTGCCGACAAACAGCATCAGACAACCCACTGTAAGGGCAATACTAGTCAGTCAAGTACTTCATACACGATATACAGAGTGAATGAGGTGATAAAGCAACTACCTCTTCGTGGGCGGCCAACGGCTTCTACCTCAGCCAAGCTTGTCTCTGCTCCAGCTTCTATGCTGGGCTCTGGTGTCTCTACCACTTTGGCCTTCTTAGAGGCTCTGGCCTTTCTTGGGGCCATTTCTTCCTTTCGAGAAAGATATTGTGCTGCTTATATGCAAGCAGTCGCAGTTAAATCAGTCTTTATGGTGGTCTTCCACGAGGGTAGATAGGTATAGCTGGTATGATTTGGTATGAGATCCCCAAGGGTGAAGGAAGGGAGATTCAAAACAGCTTTCAAGGAGGATAAAAAAGGAGTGAAGAACGGGATTGTAGTATATTTATACCATTACAAGTGACTTGTTCACTAACACTGAATATATCATTCTTAGCAATATTTGTAGCTATTTTGTCTCTCATAAATTGAGGCTGTGTTCCTGTTTCTACACTCTCTTCATTGTTATACTCAATGAAGCCCAATAACAAACAATTGTATTTCACACTGCTTTTTGTTTTCAATCCAATGAACCTATGAAAGACTCCGTCTTTGCCTATTATTGATAGGTTTATTATTACTAGCTGTTTGCTTATTGTAACGGTGTTGAATAGAAAGCAGCTCGGTCTAGCGAGGTTATGTACAAACACATGCGCTTCGGAGCTTGACGGCTGGGAGGCTTATAGCAAACAACTACCACCATTACCCCGAACATCAGATATATGACTGCTTCTGATGCATTTTATTTGGTCTATTCGACTGCGTACCCAACTGTAATCTAGCATAGCATATTTGGCAATAAAAAGAATAAAAGAGAGTGAAAAGAGTAGCTGCTTCATTTGATAGTAATGGTAAAAGTAAGATTAACGGGAGAAAGCTTCACTCAAAGGCCAGTTTTTACCTGCTGGAACAGCATCAAGCTCCACTTGCCTCTATTTTAAAAATAAATGGGAATGCACTGTGGGCTAAATTTGAGGGCGGTAGTCTGTGTTATCAACCCCAAATTTGTCTAGAGTGACACTAACATAGGTTGGCTTGCCCCCTTTCCCCTTGCGAGAAACAACTCCAGTCACCTTTTTAGCCGTCACTTTGTCACTAGCTTGCTGGTCCTTGGTATCCTCCGCCTCCCAGGCCTGAGGCAGTTGATTTTTACCGGCCAGTCGTCTTTTACTCTTATTTTCGAACTGGCGTTGTTTCCGTTTCTCCTTAGCAGCATCACGGCGTTTCCTCTCAACATACTCGTAGATATCGTAATCATAGTCACGGCACTGGATCTTGAACTCCTTATACTGGGCCCATCCACGCAAGCGTCGTTCAAAAACCGCATCACCAATGCTTCGGATAACGATCTGGCGTGGCTCTGATTCCTTGGGGAAGAAGTGGTAGATTAACATCACATCATCTACATGGATCTGGGTATTTGCCATCTTGTTCATCCGGTTAAGCATGTCTTCACAAACCAGGTCGACAGAAAGGATCTTAGCTGCTTCAAAGACCCTGGCGTACTTGGTGTAGTTCATGCGCTCGATCCAAACCAGGCCTTGACCTTCACAGGATTTCATCATCCAACTGAAGATTATGATGAAGGCTGGCTTCAAGCTACCGTATATAGTAGCTATTGTCCTTCTATCACATCCACGGCGGTTGACGTGGGCTATATTTGCAGTAGGGAAACAATCCTTGAGCACAGGAGAGAAGTACGCTATCAGATTCCGAGGAATAACGTTCAAAAGGACCTGGGGAGTGTCATTCGGAGAGGCCGCATGCATCAGCTTGACCTTGGGCCCGGACCAGAGGCTAAAGTATATGGTAGTGGATGTCAGAACAGTGGAAGATAGATTGCATATGGTAAAGAGTAACTTACCTACGAAGCTGGGACCCGTTGAGTCTTCCCATGTCCTCCTATTGTGCCGTGAAAGAACACTAAGATTGCCGAATGATCGTATGCTACTCAACGAGAAAATCGACCCTCCAAGACTCAGGGGATCCTCCTGTTGTAAAGTATCGAGCAGATGAAGTTGAAGGGTTCGTAGGAAAGCCGCCAGAAGCCTTATATCTATGGCGTATGCCCAAGTGAATAAAAGGGGTATATAAAGATATCACTCACTTTCGCTGTTTGTTCTATTAATTGCCTTGTAGTCACAGATTGCGTAATATTTGTTATTAGCACTGGCTACCAAGTCATACCATAACGCTGTAGTTTTGTGAATAGCTCTTCTGTCTCAGAGTTATAGAATAAACCTAGAAAATAAGTGACTTTGACAATGGTATATTATATCATAGAAGTCACTATTCCATCCAGTTTCTTTGTAGGTGATCAAAATATGAATCAAGATTTGCTAGTATTTAGTAAATAAAAGGCCTTCCTTGATAGCTGTAGACAATCAGTTTAGAAAAGTGATTGTTAAACAAACACCCACGGAACGTTCCTTGTTTGATATATTGAGTGGTCATTTGATGGTTTGAATATTGACCAAACCAGCATCAACAAAGAAAAGACAGCGAAGGCAGTCCTCGACACTAGCTCCTCCAATGGGTATAAGTAAGGGAAAGGATTTGGGGAAGATAGAAATCATAGTCTTTTCTGTATGGTTATTATTAGTAACTAAAAGTACAAGTTCTGCCTGTTAAAAAAGGCCAAGCCGTTTATCATATAGCTTTAACCGCTCCACTCATCCAGTGCATCGTACTCAGCAGTGGTTTTCATAAGTTTCAAAAGTCCATCTGCCGCAGTCTCCTGGTTAGCTCTGACTGCCATCTTATCAACCGTGGAACTTCCGTTTCGATTACCAGCGGGAAGGCTTGCCACATTACTGCTTCCTTGCGTTTGAACTGGCTGGTTGTTGGTTGCTGGTTGATTAGGCGAGGAAGCTTGGGGTTGGTTGTTTATTTTCTGTTGTGTTGGAGTGGAATCGTTATCTACATCCATCTGATTATTGCTCTGGCTTGGAGATGCGGTGGAAGAGGGTTGCCGAGCCCTTGGTGCTATACCAGAACGCACTTCAGGACGAGATGAAGAAGGGCTTGCATGTTCGTTTACATGCTGACTGAGAGGCGAAGGGGTATTCCATGGCTGGCGGCTCTGGGCCTCGAGTTCCATAACGCGGCGGTCGATTTCGCTGTGTTCCTTGATATTCTTCATTGCCGTTTGGACCTTTTCTCGGAGTAATCCAGCTTTCTGGTACGAGCGTTAGCTTGTAAAGGAATAGAGGGTATATGTGCATATATACGTATCCCTTACCTGCTGAATAAATAGCTTTCGTGCTTCTGGATCAGTGGGTATAGAGGAAGAAGAAGAAGCTGTTTGATGTCTTCTGGCATTTTGTGAGGGGTTTGGCGAGTTTAACGGGGAGTTCCGTTTGGTATTATTAAAATTCCCATTATTATAATTTCCACTCTCGGACTCAAAGCTCAGGTTGAGGAGTGATGACATGCTAGTGCTTTCCTGGGAGCAACCCTTCTCGGCAGCCTTTTCTTGTTCCTGGCTATCACAAGCCTTGTTATGTGAAGAATACTGCAGGAAAGACGCCTAGTTCTGTTAGCAGCCAGCACTATTCATTTACTTAGTTCATTTGCCAAAGGAAGAACATACTTCTTTATCAATATCCATACTAGAATGTGTGCTCTCATCATAGATATAAAACTCGTCTTCCCTCTTATTCTGGCTATTAAACGAACTGGTGGCTGTGCTAGGTCTATGTTGGTCTACATCGACCTGGTCTATGCTCCTTTTCTTCCCAACAAGTTGGGTAGGAGATGATGGGGTATTATTACTAGCTACCTCTTTACTAATGTTGTCTTCACTATTCATGCTCGGCTCCAGGTTGTGTTTTCGAGGAGATAGTAGCGCGTTTGTTGTCTTGTTAAGAAGAGCAGGTCGAGCGGCGGTAGACGAGGCTAGGGACATGTTTGAGGGTATTATCGGTCTCGAGTAAGTTTGAAAGGGAAGAGAAAGGCTGTTTGCGAGACGGTATATCTCATTTATAATATTCGACAATGTAGTAGCTGCTGTATGGGCTCCGCGTTAGATGCGATGAATTCGAGCAGGTGGTCACTTAGATCAGGGACTAACCGATGAAGGCAAGTACTCCGTACCACTTAGTATATACCAGGAATGGAAGAATATTGCTCAACGGCTGTATCAAAAGCGCCGTCTCGTCTAAAATGATGCTTGATGTAAACAGTCGCGTCTCTTCAGTTTTACATTCCACGCGTAGCTTGCTTTAATTATAGCGGCTCTTATCGATAAGCGCGGTTTTGCCTCTTAGCCATCATCCAATCATTATGCAGCTCACGCGGCTCTTTGATTTATAATCAAACTCTCTTCCGACGTGTTGTCACGAGCGGCTCGAACCTAACTACTTGAAGCCCGGCTGGCGCTTTGCCGCAGCCACAAAGGCGGACCGATGGTGCTTTTCTAGGCCCTCCTCTCTACGTCATAAATTGGGATTATATGCTTCGAGAGTACTGTCACCGTGTGGCAGAGAGAAACCTCCTGTTTTGTCTTTAATGAATAGTTATGTGTATGCCCTAAGTTTATGCGTACAGCTGCTTCCCAGGAATTGAAGCCTGGTAGGGAAGGCGCGTACGCGTGGCTGGTATTCCTCGGCCAACACTAGATGATTGAACTGGATAATAAGAGCCTGATGTTTCTTTCTCTATCGGGAGTACGAGGGATCAAGGGAATCCATGGGAGCTCATCCAAAGTACATGAAGCGCTCAGATACAAAGCTAACGCTATTGTGGGCGTTGCTAAAGTATTATATACCATTGAAGTAAACGGTGAGAAGATTTTTGGGGAGGTGTTATTAGGTAGCTATAGTACTAGAAGACAACACCCCTAAGCACTGCCTTCCTCTTAATGGCATCATGCGACTAAACCAAGGCTTGATCAAGCTCACGAAGTCGCCCGGCAAAAAGCTCTCCCCTTAATAAACCCTGGATTATTCTCACGTCGTCCATTAGTTACTGGTTTGATTGGCAACAAAACACAGGTAAGGTATTGTCTCTAGGAATAATTTATGGCACCAGCAAGGCAGTAGAGTACCATATATCAAGTTTGTATGTAAGGTGTTATATCAATTCTTGCCTGAAGCTTGTTCGGATGTGGTTTTGGCGGGGTGGGAATATTATTAGTTAATCAAAAATATCAAATGGAACGACTTATGTCACGTTATTTTATTGCAATAAACAGCCAATTAAAAAATTTAAACTTTAAAACATAATACAAATATCCAGCCTTAGCTAGTTATATTGTTGTAACATAGGTTTTCGTTTTATTTTCTTTTTCGCGGGGGTGTATTTCTATCTTCTTGACTCATGCATGCTTCACTCACAAGTAGCAACCAGAAACTCGGCCTGAACGAAGCAAACTGGGGAACAAGAGAGACTTCAAGACGCTGTTAAAAGTGTTGGGAAGAATATCTAATTGCTAGGCAGCAAGATAAGAAAAGAAATTGAGAGTAAGACACCCCATACCCCTCCATACGATGCGACGACACAGTCAATCTAACAAGTGCTTCCACTAGATGTCTGTTCTTACTGTTGCCCTGAAGGCTCCTGGAGAGACCATTCTCCCAGCTGTTGCCGTGGCCAGCTGTCTTATAGATGCCAACCCTAAGGCTGGACTGACCATTGTCTACGAGGAATCCGATAAGGTTGGAAGCAAAGATGGGAAAGTCGAGCTCAAGACGGATGACGGCTTGTTGCTCTACGACGTGGGGATAATCCCCTATTTACGCGACAAGTATGAGGTTCTTCAAGCTGGAAACCAGGATCAAGTAGGTTTCGCCTTTGCCAATGTCCGCTATGTGTAGCATTGAGCTAATATTAAACGCCCAGGTTGATGAATGGTTGAAAAGAGCCCTCGAGTTCACAAAGCCTGAATTCAAGGCAATGGACAAGCCCATGAAGGAACTGGAGTCCCATCTCACTCTCCGCTCGTATATTGTGGGCTATGGCCTTACACTTGCCGATTTGGTTGTATGGGCTACCCTCCGTGGAAACCGGGTTACCAGCGGAGCCGTGAAGAGGTTCACAAACAGCACTGGTAGATGGTTCAACTTCATCGAGACCATGTACCCCTGGGTTGGTCAGGGTGCTGCCGAGATGGCTGCTGGAGCGATGAAGAAGAAAGCGGCCGCCAGTGCAGCTGGTGCTAGCTACAATATTGGTCTTCCGGACACTGAGAAGGGGGTGGTTACCAGATTCCCTCCAGAGCCATCTGGTTATCTTCACATTGGCCACGCCAAAGCTGCTCTCCTCAATGATTATTTCGCCCATGAAGCGTACAAGGGAACACTTATTTGTCGATTCGATGACACCAACCCTTCCAATGAGAGCCAGGAGTTTGTTGATGCAATTACTTATGACTTGTCTTTGTTGGGAATCTTCCCTGACCGCATCTCGTTCTCTAGTGACTACTTCCAGGAGATGTACGAGGACTGTATCAAAATTATCAAGAGCGGCAATGCCTATGCAGATGATACTGAGAAGGAGCAGATGCAGCACGAAAGATTTGAGGGAATTGCTAGCAAGCGACGGGATGAAAGCGTGGAGGACAATCTGGCTCGGTTTGCTGAGATGAAAACCGGCTCTGAGGAAGGTCAAAGATGGTGTATCCGTGCGAAAATTTCTGTTGACGATACTAACAAGGCCATGCGTGATCCGGTTATCTACCGCTGCAACTTAACTCCTCATCACCGTACTGGAGATGCCTGGAAGATATACCCAACATATGATTTCTGTGTGCCCATCCTGGACTCTTTGGAAGGTGTCACTCATGCTCTGCGTACCAACGAGTATAATGACAGAAACCCGCAGTATGCCTGGTTCCAGAAGACACTCGGGATCCGCAGCGTTCATATCTGGGATTTCTCACGCCTCAACTTCATCAAGACGTTGCTGTCTAAGCGGAAGCTTACCAAGATCGTTGATAAGGGCATGGTCTGGGGCTGGGATGACCCTCGAATGCCCACCATTAGGGGCATCCGTCGTCGTGGAATGACCATCCCTTCGTTGCGCGAGTATATCCTTAAGCAAGGACCCAGCCGCAACATTATCAACATGGACTGGACGACCTTTTGGTCCAATAACCGCAAGTATATTGACCCGACCTCCCCGCGTCACACGTGTATTGACCAGGAGGACATGGTGCCAGGCACAGTGTCCGGTGCCACTGAGGCCGACCTGAAGCCCCAGGAGAAGCCAAAGCACCCAAAGAACCCTGAGCTGGGAACCAAGACGGTGTACTACTCTACGGACATTTTGTTCGAGCAGGAGGACGCCAAATCGTTCAAGCAGGACGAGGAGATCACCCTCATGAACTGGGGCAATGCAATTGTGCGCAAGATCACCACTGATGCAGCCAGCGGGAAAGTCACCGGCCTCGACCTCGAGCTCCACCTTGCAGGAGACTTCAAGAAGACGGAGAAGAAAGTCACCTGGTTGGCCAGAGACCAGAAGCTGGTTCCTGCCGAAATCTACGAGTTCGACTACCTAATCACCAAGGATAAGATCGAGAAGGACGAGGACTTTGAACAGTTCCTCAATCCCAAGACGGAGATCAAGCACACTGTCCTGGCTGACTGCAACCTGGCGAACCTGAGGAAGGGGGAGAGCATGCAGTTCGAGCGCAAGGGCTACTACATCCTCGACCAGGAGCCCAAGGATGGTCAGCCTGCCATCCTGTTCAACATCCCAACCGGTAAGTCTTAGTAAGTGTGTCGCCGGACGAAGGGTAAAAAGATTCCTAGGTAGATAATGGCCTGTGCATGCATGTAACTACCGAACAAGTTCTATATCAACCATCAACCACATGACTGAAACCACTGTAACTATGGTCCTCAGGATCTTCAGCACCCAGAATCAAGTAAACAGTGAGTGCTCCGTAAGACAAGATCGATCTGCCGCGGCAGATCGCCGTGCTCCCTGAATATCATCATATGGAGCGGATGTCGCATGGCTGGCAGATTTTCTGCGATGCAACAACACCCGACCTCGACCGTCCAACAGCCTTCCAACACCCAAAGCCACCGTCTGTCCAACATGCATAAGCGTATTGCAATCACAACCGCTGCGCGAGGGAAACCATGCTGTGCGAGGGCAGATGGGGACCACGCCGTCTCCAGGTGATACAGCCAGAAGGGCCAGAGCCATCGCCGTCGCCGTCAACAGCGGGCATCGACCATCGACCATCGACCAACAACCGGCATCACCAAACATGAAGCAGCTGCCGCCATGGCGCCCAGCGGTGGCTGCTTACTTAGTTGCCGACTTGCTGAGTTCCTTACTCCAGATGGCTGGCGGGAAGTCAATCCATGCCCGTCAAAGAGCTAGTCAAGCTGATCAGCCGTTTGCAGGAGCAAGTGACGCCGCCGCCTGACCCTCAGGCCTTCTCCCCCGGCTATGCACACCACATAACTGCAGCAGAGCGGATGGCCGAGACATAGACTCCCCTCCTCGATGAGTGACTAGATAACGGAGCCGATCCCCCGCGACAGCTAGAGTGAAGCAGTTGACTGGGTTATCTAGCTAGTTACCTGTTGACGACCTCTCTCTGGCTGGCTGGTTATCTATCCTGTGTTTACGCTACGATGCTGCGCTGGGTCCTGCTCGCGTGGGCCGTGGCCTACTCTGCCATCGCCGGGGCATCTCGACTTACACCCTCTGTGCTACCACTGATTGTTAGAAACCCCTATCTCAGTACCTGGCTGGCCGATGCGAGACATGAGCCGTGGTCAACATGGCCTATCTTCTGGACCGGACAACATATGGGCATGAGCATCATGGCCCACGTCCCCAGCACGGGGAACACTTATCCCTTGCTTGGCCGGGCTCACGACTCCCTGGGGGAGAATCATCCAAACAACGGGTGCGTATACCTATCTCTCTCGACCTGTTGCATGTATCTGTCTAACAAGTTGTAGATATAATGTATCTTACGCCCAGTTCCTGGGGTCAAAGTACGATGCCTCGACTACCAACATGACGTTCCTAATCCAGCCAGAAGGCAAACACCTGGCTGGTGAATCCGTGAAGATAACCATCACCTTCCTCTCGCCAATCACTCCGACCTCGACCCTACGTCAGTCCATTCCTGCCGGCTATGTCACTGTTCGTGCAGAGGGAAACATGAATGTCAACATTTACATGGACATGAACGGTGAATGGGTCACTGGAGACCGTGGAAACACTCTTATCTGGAAGATGGACAACATTGTTGACTCTGGAAGGAAGGAATCTCTCTACGAGTGGCAGGTCAGCAGGAAGACGGAACAGCTCTTCACTGAGTTCCGGGATCGAGCAGAATGGGGAATGCTACACTTCCTTGCTCCTCAGGTATGACCCCTTTCAAACTACTTAGAACCCTGGATATTAATGGTATGAATAGGGAACGAGATACGAATCTGGAACATCAAAGCTTCTGAGAACTAGATTTGCAAGAACCGGTGTCTTGCAAAACAGAAATGATGAGCGATTCCGTACCGTCATGGATGATGAACCTGTCTTTGCTTATTCCAAAGCATTCAACCTCAATGGAACAGATGATGAGCCAAACATAGAGACCATCCATGATGAAGTCACCTTCACCATCGCTCATACCCAGGATCCAGTTGTTCAGTTTGCCTCTGCCCGTGGTTTGACCCTCATGAAGCCTCTCTGGGAGTCGTATTTCCCAGACGTGAAGAGTTTGCTCAACTTCCACTACTTTGACTTGGACAACGCTAGGACCCTTGCCCACAGGTACTCGAACCAGCTTGCAAGAGATGCCCAGCTGTCTGCCGCTGAAGACTATGTAGATGTTGTCGCCCTTACTGCTAGGCAAGTCCTAGGTGCTACCTCCTTCTCAGGAACCTCGGATAATCCTCTTCTATTCCTCAAGGAAATTTCTTCCAATGGAAACTGCCAGACCGTAGATGTCATATTCCCTTCGTTCCCATTCTTCCTATATACCAACCCTAGATGGTTGGCCTATCTCCTGGAGCCGTTGATCGAGCATATGCTCAGTGGACAATACCCTAACAACTACTCCAAGCATGATCTGGGGTGCCCACTTCCCCAATATGACCGGACACCCTGATGGAAAGGATGAGTACATGCCTGTCGAGGAATGCGGTAATATGCTTATCATGGGCCTGTCTATAGTCAATTCCCTCAGGTTCCCACCAGAGGCAAACACTACTGCTCCCTGGCATCCAGGCACACTCGAGGCCCGAGCTGCTGAACCAGATGTTGTTGGACTGTTCCCTCTTCGTGATCTTCAAACAGTTGGTGGAATTGACAGACTCGACAGCGTCTGGGGTGTCGGTCCAGATGCCACAAACCTGGCACGGAAATGGGTTGAGAAGTCATACAAGCTTTGGAGGCAATGGACTGGCTACCTTGTTGAGTTTTCTTTAGAGCCGCATAACCAACGTAGGTTTACCAATACCTGCTGAAAATTTATTTATCTTGCTAACTGCTTCCTAGTTTCTACTGACGACTTTGCTGGATGGCTGGCACTTCAAACTAATCTTGCCCTCAAGGGCATTGTTGGTATCAATGCCATGAGTGAGATGTCCAACTTTGTTGGAAAGGCCGAGGACTATAGATATTTCAAGGTTAGCCACTTTTTATTGTTTGCAAGTACGGAACAATATTAACTAACCGGTTGTAGAACATTTCTGATACCTACATCACCAAATGGGAAGGCTTTGGATTCTCCAGAGACGGCACCCACGCCAAACTCTCATATGACTGGTACGGCTCCTGGACTACCCTCTACAATATGTTTGCGGATGCCCTTCTCTGCTTCCATCTTGATGGAACAGAGCACGACACCCACCCCCGTACGCTTGACGATCAGGAACCAATCACGCGACCCCCAGGCAAGACTGGTTTCATCCCCAGGCACGTCTATGAAAAACAATCAAAGTGGTATGACAATGTACGCCAGAAGTACGGCCTCCCCCTTGATAGCCGTCATCTCTATACCAAATCCGATTGGGAGTTCTTTTCCATGGCCGTTTCAAGTCCCTCCGTACGAGGTAAAATCCTTCAATCATATGCCAAATGGGTCAATGAAACCTCTACCGATCATCCTCTTACCGATCTGTACAAGACGGAAGAAGATGGAGGCTATCCAGGACCAAACTTCTTTGCTAGACCCGTTGTTGGTGGACATTTTGCCTTCCTTGCCTTGGAGAAGGCGTGCAATGGCAAGGCAACGGACGGGCTTAAATTCCTGGATGACAAGAAGCATAATTCCCCTGAGGATGAAATGAATGATGGTGATGTCGACAATGAAGACTCTCAATCGCCTATTCAGGACACAGACGGCTCAGAAGTGAAATTAGGGGATCAAGCTCAGATCCCCATCCAGGACGTGGATGACTCGCAGATAACCATCATTAGCGAGGATGATTAAACGACCCAGCATCGAAACCACTCATTGTTTCTGATATTGTTCCCTTTTTTTTTATCATCATCTTTACGGACACTGCATTCCCACAACTCATTTCTCCTTTATTACATACTGCTTGCTTCACATGGCGTTTATTCCGGACATTCGTTCAGATGTTCTACCAGTTAGGAACCACTCCCTCACTTCCTCTTTCTAAGAAGTGATCATGGTTCCGCGTCCTCCTTGACAAGGCGAGAATAGACCACTGCTACAGACTTGCTGCTGCGCGGCGAGAGACTAGATAGTTTCTTTTACTGGTCAAGTTGAGAGACATCATGACCTTCCCGTAGATCAGATATAGGGAATTCAATCAGTTCGTGATTATTATTTATTTCCCTCCTGGCGAACTTTAGTATAATACATCCATGGATAGAAAGAATTGCAGCACAGTCGGCGTAGACTTCGGTATGCGTGGGTTTATGTGAAAGTCAATTCCAAGTAAGCAATGGAATAGAGCAATTTGTGAAGATAGCATAAGAGGGTATGGTATAATGAAGGACTGGGCTTATTGTTGCATCGGGCATTAAATTAAAATAAAGTCGAGACTTCGATCAAGGTAAAAACAGAGCAACTTTCAAGTGAAAAGGTGAAGGGTTTCAGGGGGCATTTAGATTCTCGTCTCCTCCTTTTTTGCCTTTTGGTTGTTCCTTGAGGGAATGTTAAGGGGCAAGGGGCGAATCTTCAGTGAATCACCTTCGCATCCAAGGGAATGGAGGGTCGGGCATGGTATTGTACTGAGGAGGATGAGACTCCAAACGGCTGAACATGGCGGCGAATAGGCCCTCACGAGCTCTCTTACGAGCAGATGGCAATGGCTCGCGTCCTGGAGACCCAGCCACACGATCATACCAGTTCCGGCTGCCAATAGGCGAGCAAGGTTTTGGCTCCGTAGTGAATCCATTTGAACGGGCCTCAGCAACCAGGCCTTCAAGGGCATAAGGCGTTGGATCTCTCGCCTGCCGACCAAAAGGAAGATAATTGTATCGTGACACGATTTCCTCCTCGCCGTCATCATGGTACACAAGCATGGGCAGCAGTGGTTCGCGAACGGCTCTGCGGTGTGGTGGAAGCTCTCGAGCAGGCGGCACCAGGGGAGATGGGAAGGGAGAGTCAAGTTGAACCTGGCGGGGAGGTAGGCATATCTCTCTGTTAACTATTCGGCCCTGAGAAGACCAGCCGAGTTGGCGGAAGGGGAGTGATTTCTTGTAGACCTCGATACTGCCGCATGACGAGCCCTTGTTTGGCGGCGGGTATAGTTCTGGCTCTAGGACCCTATGCACAAGGGAGGGCGTAGGAGGAGGCGATGGGCTCTTGTAGATGCTATTTCCTTCGGGGGCTAGAGAATTAGTGCCCTCGCTGCGTCCCGGGCTGGCTGAGTGGCAGGTGGTGGGAGTGTCTCTGCCAGACGGAGTGGTGGTGGTGGTTGAAGTGCTCGTATCCGAGCCAGAGATAGGATATTGAATAGCATCATGTTCCCTGTAACTTTTTGCGGCCGCGTCTTCAACATATTTCTGATATTCGTGATGAAATTGACGGGAGTCTTGCTCTGCCAGGTCAGGAGCCGCTACTTCACGGAGCTTCGATGGAGATTTCTCCTTTTCTCTGATAACAGACGGGTACAGCGGTGCTGAACACATGTCGACTGCATATCCATTGGTAGATTTAAGCCCGTCGGTGTTCATGTTGCAAGGGTATTCGGGCTGGTATCCGAAGTTGACTATGGGCTGAGGACCTGGGCTGTCCGGGGCAAAGATAGAGCAAGTGGAATGAGCAGTGGTTGGCGTCTTGACGACCTTGTAGTAGAATTCCATCCTGTCGGTTGAATATCTAGTGGACATTTAGCAGTATTTGAGTATCAGACTGGGCTTTGAGAAGAGCAAAGTTGATAGCGATTAAGTGGTGGTAAGTATCAATTTGAAATTGGTAGATGAGAAAAAGTCGAGATATCAAAAATGTGCGAGTGTGAGCTCGCTAGGCAAGCAGAGATCGGTATTCCCAGCCACCGACAGGACAGCTCAACATGGCGAGCAACTCTAGAGGAGAAGTTCTTTGTTCAAAGTCCGCGAGGCCTGCAGAGTTTTCTCTACTGTTGAGAGTGAATCTATGATTTTCAGGGAGTTCAAATTCAGGGGGCTGGGAGGCAAGAGCAAGAAGAAGCTTCCGCAGGTTTCCAAGCGTAGGAGACAGACGAGCTTCTGTTGATAACAAGTATATCTCGCCTGCATATGCCTCAGTTGAAGGAGGCTATGGCATATCAGGTCATGAAATCGGTATATTGCCGGTATCTCTAAGGCTCTAACGAGACTTTGGCTCCAGTAGTACCTAGATATTCAGCCGCTAAAAAGGGGTATCTATACAGTATTTATGTAGTGCAGCAGGCAGAACCTGTCTATCTCTTTGGTATAATGGATAAAAATAAAGGCGAGCAAGAGGGTATGAATCACCAGTATAGATCGTTAGAATTTTCTTTCCATTTTGTTTTCCCCTAGTACATGTTAGAAACGAAGACTTGCCCAAACCCATTTCTACATATCAAACCGCCCGACGGCAGTGGGTTCAGTGCCGCGCCATTGAAAGAGAGAAACCGACACCAACAACCCTTTCCTGTAAGACGCAGACGAGCTTAGATGGTAAACCAGATAGACTCTCCCCGCCGTGTTTCCTGTAGGGAGAAATTAAAGAGGTCAGGCTGATGAGAAAGACAGAAAAGAAGGGGGAAAGCTGCAAAGAGGGGACGAGAAGAAAGAAGAGAGAGAGAGAGAGAGAGAGAGAGCAAGAAAAGGATTAATTCATGGAACAAGATAGTATCATGACGCAGGAGACAAGGTAAAAGGCCGGAGGAAAAGAAGAAAGAGTCCATGAAGATATGAAACAAAAATTCGCTTCCAATTGTTTCCCATGGGCCCTTTGCTTCCCCTTTTCCCACTATAGCTTTTGTTGTTGGAAAGTATTAGAAACAGAAAAAAGGGCCTTTTATTGATTCTCTGCTTAGATGAAATTTTTGTTAATTGCATCAAGAAAGAAGGAAAAAAGAGTTATTTGTTAGTTGAGCAGCAGCCTTTGTGTAAGACTGGCCTCGTTTCCCTTCTCAGGGAGCCAGTCAATGTACATGGAGGTGTAAAGATCTGCTCGCTTATTTGCCTCCAAGAGAAGGGAAGTTCTTCTCGTCAACGGTAGGGCCGGTAGAGTGGGAAGCACCGCCACGAGGAGCACCGCGAGCATTTCCACGGCTACCACGGAACTCACCGCGTCCACCACGACCGCCACGGCCGCGATCACCACCACGGTCTCCACCACGGTCACCACCACGGCCACGTCCACGGAAGGAGTCACCGCCACGTCGGGGAGCCTCAACGAAGCGCATGTCGACCTCGAGGACGTTCTTCTCCTTGCGTTGGCGCTCGCGCTTGGACTCCTTGTTCTGGCCCTTGATGTACTCGTCTTCGTCGTCATCACGCTTCAATTCCTTGGCGCTGGCCCATTTCTTGTCAACCTTGGCTCCCTCATTAGCCTTGCGGGTTTCCTTTGCGGCGAGTTCAAGCTTGGCCTGGGCTTGCTCAGCAAGGTAGTCGGCATATGATTTGCTCTTGTCCTCTGGCTCCTCAGCAGGCTGTTCAGCAGTCGCCTCAGCAGCTTCCTTCTCGTCACTGCGAGCAATGTCTTCTCCAGCACGCTCATCCTTCAGAGCAGACTCGCCAGAGCGGGATCCCCAGCCCTGTTCGACCTGCTTGTCTGTGATGCTGCAGACCGGCAAAAAAGAGATCACAGTCAATAGCCACTCTTTATAGCAAAATAATCGCGGAAAGGAGATAAATAATACTTACGCTCTATCGGTGCGAGAGTGACGGTCATCCCGAATGTTGTTACCACGGGCATCACGGTTCCTGTGGGCAGCCTGAGGAGCCCGGTCGCTGGGAGCATCGGTTGGCCGGTTGCGGTTGCTCTGAGATCCGGCATTGCGGTCACGGAATGCTAATATACCCGAGATCTTCTTGTTAGAAAGCAATGCCTAATTGATATTCGATATTTTGATGATGTGGATTTTGGGTGGTGGTCGTTGCTCATCCACGTGACATCATAGTGGAAAAGTCGCCACAGCCACAAAACAAATAGAGGAAAAGGTGGGATTTATTGATACGGCGGGCAGGAAAGAAAGACTGAGGATATCGTCTATTTACCTTGCTCATTTGCAGGGAGTCTGGGTCCACGGTTGGAGCGTGGAGGAGGAGCAGTGTCGCGAGCCTCGTTTGGGCCGTCACGCTTGCCACGGCGAGGAGCGTTCTTGTCAACGACCTGAAGCGGAGGCTCTGGCTCTCTGTTGGGATCGAGCTCTGGGTCGTTGCCTGTGTTGGATGTATATGTTAATATCTGCAGCTTCAAAAGGTAGCCGACGGCCTGAAGACGGGTATAGTGCGTTCGCGATGAGGCAGCAGTTGTCATCCGGTGGTAGCAGGAAGAGATTCATATTCATACCAAGAAGCTCGTACATGTTCTATATCAACGTAACAAAAAAACAAAGGTGTCAGCCAGCCTGATAGCTATCAAAACGATCCATCAAGCTCTCTCAATTGGCCTTGTAGAGCGCTTTCGAATAAGTGAACATGCGGCAGAAGGCAAGCCGAACGCACCTTGGACCGGACGTCCGCCATGACGCCTGGATTTGATATCGCCTTCCTTGGAAGGCTTTCTGTTTATTGCAACAATTCGGGGATATGGAGCGACCTGGACTCCAGAACAGAAGGCAGAAAACCCCTTAGCGAGCAAAGGAATTCGGCCTCGTGTGCTGTGGCGATGCAGTGTTGTCGACGGTGCGATGGGAGGTGTGTCTTTTTTTCGCTGTCGCTTCCTCGCCCGTCCTTTAATTTGCCTTCTTTTGCCTGTTCCTTTGCTGCTCTTTTCGCGCCCGCCCGGAAAAACAGCGGCCCAAGCCTGTTTCGGAGTGCAGCTTTTTGCTTCTTCGGGTTAAGCGAGTTTGTTTGGGCCGCGCGGAGGAACATCGGGCCGACGCTGCTTACGAAAGACTTAGGGCTTAGGGCAGATTCCCCAAAGAAGAAGGAGATAACATGCATACCTAGGTAAGTACCTAGGTAGAAGAGAGGTAGGTACTCCCTAGATATACAGAAATAGATAGATAGAGATAAGTTATATAAGACAGCAGAGAGAAGATGCCGATGCTTCAGCATTGTCCATACTTACATAAAGTGGGTATCGAAAGAAGTCTTTTTATATTTTACCCTCCTCCTCCTCCTCTTCCTCCTCGTCCCTTCATCCCTCCAGAGACAAACGACAAGAAAAAGCAAACAAGCAAGCATAACGCCTCGAAAATGCAGCAGACTCCCTCCTTGAGCTGATTGTAGATCCCTTCCTCCCCTTGCAAAGTAGCAAGCCCTTGGTAAACTAACGATACACTTCCCATCCGTGAAACACCTCATGTATCTCTTCTATGTTCGTAATCACATAGACCCATTTTGGTCAGGCCAGGTTGATCCAGCATGGTTAAATATCTTGCATAGCCAGTCATCTCAGAACTATGTATGCCAGAAAAAAATTCCATCCTTCCCGTTACTGCCGCCCGTGGCCCTGGCCATAAGTAAAGGGTGTGGGGAAGTGCATGCTAGCGGACAGGCCGAATGGATCGGGGTCCATCATGGGGTCGAATTGTTCAATGTAGGATGTGCTAGCTGTCATGCCTTCTGCGTCGCTGCTGGTTGATATCGGGTTGTGCCGTTGCTGTATCCGTGGCAGGGACTGCTGAGACGTATAGTCTGCGGCAGTGCTGCCCTCCGGCGGATCAGGCCCGTCTACCGAGCTTGAACGGGCATCATATTCCTGTTCTGCACAACCAGTATCAGCAAAATAGTGTTCAGGGGTAGAGACACAAAACAAAAAGTAGAAATCGGGATGCCCTGACTTGCCTAGCTGGTTATATTGTTTTTGAAAGGAAGAGAGGTAGTAGGTAGGGGGTATCCGGGATGGTAAGATAGGCGTTGGCTCAATGCTTTCGGTAGCAGCAGAAGTGAGCCCTGGCCCAAAACCACCTGATTGAGGGGGAATTTGGGTTCGATGGTACGGGTGAGGCTTGTACTGCTGCTGGTGCTGGTGCTGGTGCTGTATGTCGGCGGCAGTGGGAGATATGCCTCCTTGCAAACCAAAAGCCGTTGACTTAGTTGCTACCGGAGAGGATACATGCGAGGACGGCGTTGTTTGAAGCTGCGGAGAGTGCATAATGTAGCCCCCCTCGCGGTGTACTTGTGACACAGGAATAGGCTCTAACTTCGGAAGGTGTGTGGCAGGGCCTGGAGAAGTCTGCGCTAACGATGGGCTGTGAGATGGTTGACTGGTTGGCAGCCTGTTAGGGGGTAAATTTGGGCTGCCACCCCTGAGACGTAGCTCGGCCTGTACGTCAACACCTATGTATATCAGCATTCAACTACCATTTAAGAATAAAGGGTACAATGAAGGTTCCGGGAGGCTAGCTACCTTTCTCCAGCAGAATCCTTTCCAACAGGGAATTCTTATACCGCAGCATAAGGCATTCGTCCGCGGCGTTGCGGTGGCTCTGTTGCAAGCTATGTAACGCCTCTTCGTTATGCTTTATCGTGGTCTCTAACTGTTTTATGTATTCGGTTCTCCTCTCACGAAAGGCCGCCTGGGCCTGTCTGTTCCGTTGTTTTCGTTCCTCAGAAGTGGCATAAATCTGAATTAAACAATTAGCACAACCGAAAGGGGGAGTGCAAAAAGCACACCACCCGGTAGCATTTTGTTAGCCTCGTGTACACCTTCAAGCCCAATGTTTCAACATAAAAAAAAGGTTACATGAAAAGGGGAGACAGCGACATGCCAATATCATCCCCTTCTTCATAGGAAAGGCCAACTACCTACTGGCTTTCTTCCCCCCTTGCGCTTCTGCCTTTGCACGGGGTCCTGAACGACAACCTCCCCCTCCGGTTCCGGTGTAGATAAAGATGAGCTGCATGATCCCTCAACCGTATGGTTTGGCTCGGACTTCGTAGTTATTTCGTCCATGGTGACGCCATCCCTTGATCCACTATGGTCGATAGGCACAGATCTCATCTGGCGAACTAGTTGACGCTGGTATTGGATGACCTTGGTCCTAGCTCCTCAATAATGCTCTCTCCACTGACACCGACAATTGGTAGAAGGGAAGAGAGAACTGTTCTCCCCGGCCCGCACGCAGGAATATATAGATATATCAATAAAAAGCTACCTCGAGCTAGATTGGGTGAAGGATGAAACTGCCGTCACGGGTACGGCGCAAAGAGGATGCACCAATCGGTCATAGGCAAAAGAAGCGCGCGGCCGACGAAGGTAGTTGAGCACAACTGGTTTTGGGAAATAAAATTAACCAGCGTCCTCTTGACGTTATGAAGTCGCTTTTGTGTCTTCCCTAGAACTTCACTGCAGCGGCTCCAAGTCGATCTTGTGTATATCCATCCGGTGGGCTGGGGGACGTTAGGTGTGGAGCAGCGGACGATATAGACTCGTAGTTGAACTGGGGGAGGATCCAGGGAGGGAAAGGAAGCAGGAGAGGAAGAAAAGCCGACGGCTGCAAGTAGTTATAACTTAAGGAGTTACGGAGCAACTCGCCGAATTCTCCTATTCTTCCTGACAGATATGAAAAAAAAAAAAAGCTAGAGGGATTTGATCCGGCTCCAAGTGTATCACGATGGCTTTTGCATCAAGCAGTCGAGCGAGCGATTGAGCGAACAAGCAAGCAAGCAAGCAAGCAGGGGAGCGAAGGCCGTCCGTTTTCTATCCTTGCTCCAGAGCCTAGCTCCTCCAGTCCTTGTGTCTTTTCTCGAGATCTAGAAAACTGTTGCTTATGCTATCCCTTGTCTAGGTGGGAACTCTCTTGCCTTTCCTAGCACATCTTTCCCTCCTGTCCGTTCCCTTGGGCGCCTCTCTTTTGCCTGTCTTCTCTCTTCTCTTTTTTTTTAAACCTTTTGGCCTTTCTTTTGTTTTTCTTTTTTCAACTGAACCCAAGTGGACACAAGAGGCGGCCGTGATATGTGGGCAGCGGCAGGGCAGCGGAAGGTTTAGTTTTGGGTGGAAAGGAGCTGTTGGCCCGTCCTAGAGTTGGATAATATGTGCATCTTTTCCCCTTCGCTCTCTCTTAACGTCGTCGCTTGTCTACCCGCTGCCCACTAAGTAGGCCGCTTGCGCCCTTAGGGGAAGGTGAAATTTTAAAAATATCTGGCCATGGCCACAAGCTCGTTCAAAGGGCTGAATCTGGAAGGACGGAGTCGAGGCGATGATGCCCTTCGGCACTTCGCTCCAAGGAAATGGCACGACTAACTAGCCGCTTCATCTCTTCCCTCCTTTCTCCGCAAAAAATACGTGAATGCGCCCCCCAGAAAGCCTCCTGTACGAGCATCATGGCCAAGCACATGGACGAAGTATACGTCGGCCCTTCCCCAGAGCCTCCCTTTTTTGATTCGGTTTGCGCAGGTTGGATGGTGACAGCATTCGTTGGCCGTGTCCTTGCCAGCCAGGGGGTTGTGGGGGAAGAGGAGTTAGGCACTCGGCCTCTGCCCTCCTTGTTGGGGCCCCTTAGCCTTTCTATCCATATGTATGGACGAATTCCAGAAAAAAGCCTAATGTGATAGTCTGGAAATTATCCGGGGGAACCAAGTCTAGGAAAATCACTCAAAATCGATGATCCCCCTTGGTTGATCCATCAGCGTTGGAAAAAAAAAGTACGAGGTGTGCTAAGTTGCAACTCGTTTCATCGGAAACTCGAATACTTGGATTAAGAGTCCGTCTTCGTTTTGTATGAAAACCCTGCGTACTCTCTGCATTTTAATCCTGTGTCTAGGATAGGCAACGGATAACGGCCTCGTACGTTTATACTCCGTACCTCCTGAGGCTTCCTTCGCAAGGTCAGCCGGGAACACCCCCGTCAACACATTATGTATATGTATCAACAGAGAACTATATACCAGAGCGGTAGCAAGCGTATTATTGCATCTTCTATCCGTAATCCAATCGGATCGTGACTTTTCCCATCGGGAAACTCGAGCTGCTTCTTCTCGTTTCTTCTTCTGCTGCTTTCTCTGTTCTCTGCTTGTCTGTCACTGTCTGTCTGCGTTTTTTCTTTTCCTTCCTTTCTTTTCTTTTTGAGAGGGCGGTTGCTTTGCTTCGCTCGCGGCAAGGGTAGTTTATCTGGGCAAAGCAAGCCATCGCCAGGCATCACGGTACTTGGACATCCACTGACCTTCCGGAATCGTTATCCGCTGGCATCGATCAAGCCTTTCTGGTCAAGATCCAGAAACAAGCTTGCTTTTAGACCAAAGCGAACAATCTCCCTTTGACACATCAAGGCTAGAAGTTCACGAAGGTACACTAGTTGACTAGTCGGAGTCTAGTGCCGGCTGTGTTGACGAGAATCCCCCCTAGCCTCGATCCCCAAAGCTCGGAGCCGGGAATAGGCTATCAGTCAGCAGCGTTTCTGAGGATGATGCGCAAAAACACCCAAGATTTCACGAGACAGCCAGAGAGGATCATGACTGTGTCTGAGGAGGGAGAAATGCCTAGCCAAGTCATCACAGAGTGACAGGTTCTCTCTATCTCAAACGCAAGGCCAAGCGCAACCCCCATGCTGTTCCTACATCTCTTGGTGCTGCATGAAGGACTGCGAGCCTCGCTTCGAGGGGTTCGTGGCGGCCATGCTGCTTCTTCGTCTCCGTCTTCGCCATCCTTCTTCATCTCCTTTGTCTAGATCAGCTTTGCCGTCCAGAAGCCGCCCGAACAAGGGACGTCTTCAATATATTGATCTGGCCTGCGTCGTTTAGCTGGCTGGCTAGCTAGTTAGTTACCCGTCCACCACCCAGGTCTTTTCCTACCCGAAAGTGTTGGATAAAAACGCCACTCTTTCTCCCATGGATGTGTCTCCCTCGCTCTGAACGAGGTTATTTTCTTCTTATTTGCATGCACTGCCCAGGATCATAGCCTGTACTGACTTTTCTTCCCTTGATTTGCGGAGTTTGCTTTGCTTGTTCTTGTGTTGGGCTTTTTCTTCTCTGTTAACTTAGGTACCTTAACTTGTTGGTTATCTCGGGCGAGTCGCTTAGTCATCATCGGTCCTCATCGCCGACGTCAACATTCAAATTTCGGCTTTGACGAAGTGGAAGATAAGAGACGTCGATGGCTGGAGCAAAGAAAAGAAAACATAAAAGGGAGAGATGAGGTGGCAGCGGCAGCGAGGAGGAGAGTGTGAGAGATGCTGAGGAGATCCTGCAGGTGGCTGGCGCACTTCCTCGGACCATGTTTTATACAAACTGTTGGTGGCAGTCATCCCCGGCAATGCGCATGGCACCGCAGGTTCATCATACTCAAAGAATATGCAAGCTGCAAGTAGCTGGAATCGTACTCTTCATAGGTACATAACATAGATACAGAGTACTCCGTGTGATGTCCGTGGTTGATGTACCCTCCACAACGGTCCCTATACGGCGACGCACGAGTCACGTCAACCGTGGAGTAGGTGAGGCATGGTCCTCATTTGATAGGCTCCCACACGCAAGAAACGGCCCGAGTCTGTATCCAGGCCATACTCTGGTCACGAAGCATAGCATGGGATATATGCCTCTATGTACATGTGCCCTCGGCGTACATAACATATATAATACCTGTACGTATACATGCTGTGCACCCAGCTCGATACTAGCGGGAGATCGCACTGTGCAGTCGTTTTTGACAGGGGAGATCGAAATCACGGATCAGATATGAGCCTCAGTATCCAGAATGAGGGGATCGGCCTCTATCACACGTTTGGAATTACGGGTAATCCTAGCTCCGTGGACTGAGCTCCCCTTGAAACTGGTTAATCTCATCAGAAAAGCCTTGCCTGCAATGATAGCCATAACGGCGATGCTGCTGCTGATAGACCGCTCGGGGAAGAGTCGGTAGTGCATTTAGAAGTTGGTTTGTGCTGCCAAGATGATGACTCTATGGAGAGCAATATATCGACGACCCAAAGATCGACTTCTTCCGGACAACGGGAACGAAGGCGGGGGCGGAAACTGTTCATGGTTCATCCTTCAATATCCAAGGGTTGTCAGGAACAAGGGTCTTGCGGGTAGCGATGCATATAAACACATGAGTGCCTTTACCGCCACTTTATATGTATGCGGAGCGTACGGAGCAGTCCATCTGATAAACCCGAGTTTTCTTTCTAGTCATGAGATCCATTTCTTCCTATGTATTCTCGGGTCTGCGGCATGGTAATAGGCGATAAAGAGACTTTTTTGACATGGTAGACACGCTGCACTGCCTACTTGTTGACACGTAGACGTGTAACAATCTGCGAAAAGTCGAAAGAAGTATGGAGAAGAACTTGGAGTCATCTCCAAATAAACCATCATAACCCTAAATAAGAGTAAATAAAACCTAACCTCGGCCCCTTCTATAAGATTATATCATCAATACACTTGTAAGAGGCAATATAAGGAGGTAAAAAAAGCGCAGATGAAGAAAGAGTATAAGAGCAATGCAAGGTAATGTGGAACTCCGGAAGAAGAGGTATACGTCATCTACTTTACTTCTCTGGGGCATGCATCCTGATGGTATCAGAAGCCGAATTTCGAGCCAAGAGCTAGAGAATTTAACATCAGTGTTAATGCCGCTTTTTAAGCTTGTCTTAGTGATGCAAGGAGCTATCGACTTACCTCCCAAGACCGCCTTCTTCTTTTGGTTCCTGACAAACTTGTTAACGTCATCTGCTAAGCCGCTGCTGCTTTCTCCAAGGCGATCCATGCTATCACCCATAATGTTCAGATTCTCAGTTCTTTCTTGCATTTGTCGTTGCATATACGCCCAGTATGATTCTTGTGAGCCCTGGGAGTTGGTTGTGTCGGTTCTGGGGAGACGCCCTTCACGCTCTGCTCTTTGACGCTCTTGCTCTTCGAGGCGCATTTGCTCAAGCATGCGCTTGGATGGAGGACGATTGGGTCCTCCAACTACATGTAGAGATGCGTTAGCCTAGCTATCGACAAGGACCTAGTAAAATATTGGGGAGAGCAACTCACCTAATAAATCAATATCCGCCGTTGATACGAACTGGGTACCAGATATCCATTGCAGATTCGAGATAGTTGGTCGAGGTGGTGTGATTGCTTCGGGGTTGTATAACCTGTCTGCTGACCGGAGCCTATATAAAGAGGTTATTTCGTCAGTTTAATAATCGCATAGGGATTGTACAAGGTTTTCATTTACACATACAGTGGGCTGCCGACACCCCAAACGTGAAGCATAACCATTTCAGATGGCCCACTCCATGCAAGTATATCTCCCGATGGTGATATCCGGGCATCACCCAGCCTTCTGGTATCAAGTATCTTTGCAATACTTATAGAGCCGATTTCCTTCAAGGCAGGTATAGAGTATGCTCTAACTTTCCCGTCACCAAACAAGCCTACCAAGCTATACCCCCCAGGCGAGTGAACAACAGAGGCAGCATCACATATGAAGTCGTCCCAATTCTTATGGGCGCCTTTAGATGTAGCCGGCTTGAAGATACGGCAACCAGAAGGCGTGACCGCAACTATAACTCCATTGACTTTACCTCCATTTCGTAACTCTGCGACAGCTTCCTGTGTAGCTAGTGCCGGAGCTCCAGTTTCCGAGTTGATAGGGCATATAGATAGCACCCTATCTTCCAAACTGCATGATCCAACAAAAGACGCGGTATATGTTGCACTAGATGAAGGAAGAATTTTAAATGTAGCTAAGTGGCCATTGTTGGTCCCGACAAAGCAGGTGATACTTGAATAACCTAGGCATAATCAGCAAGAGATTGATTGAAGGAGATTTCAACAAATGAGAGATGGATAACTGAGATGGAGAGCTTACTGTCATCTTCAATTCTTAAAACACCAAATTCAACGCAAGTTGGCCAATCCGCTCCTTTTTCAGTTGAAGAATGGCCTCTCCAGCTGCTTCGCCGTGATTGTTTTGCAAAATCTGTCAGGTTCGCAGAGTATATTACAGTAGGGCCGCGTAAATCTAGGAGTGCGACACCTCCAGATTGATACCCAACACAGATAAATCCCACATCACTGTGCTTGAGAACAGTGATTGACCCCTGGCGTTGATCGAGCAGTGCAAGAGGAAGCAGCCCTTCCTTCAGCCCAGGATCAGCTCTATGAGATACACTAGTAATCTGGTCTGGCCCATTATTCTCTCCTAAGGGCACATCTCGACCAGCGTTTTCATTTCGGCCCCATTTGAAAATAACTAACTCTCCACTTTGAAGGCCAACGGAAAATTCGCCTGCTGATCCAGAGAGTGACATCTGGATGGCCTCTATTCTATCATACCTCCCAACGGCGCGAGCCAGATCCACCTGAAGGACCGCGGGATTCTCAATCTGGTCATCATGTCCAGTATCCCAAAGACGTATGAGGCCATCTGCGTGGGCAACAACAGCGATATCTCGGTTCTCAAAGCGTTTCAGTGCCTTCTTTGCTGCAGCGCCTCCGATAAGTATGGGCGGACCTTGCGCTCTCTTCTCTCGCCAGCCAAGCCATCTTGTCCTGTCGATGCAAGCAAGGTCGAATTTGGTAGCAAATGGGTGGACCATTGTCAAGGAAGGGGGGAAAACATTGGTAGGAGTTATAGGGTATCCGCTTGGGAAACTTAGAGTGACTAACTCCCCAGATGATAGAAGAGCAATAACCGCAATAGGGTCTTGAGCGCCCCCAAAATGGGGTGATGCTCGGGGAATTAAACAGAACTGAGCTACCTCTGCATTTGGAGGAGTCGGCAGTGTTGACTGGCGCTTTAAAGACGAGAAATGGCCAGACAGTACTTGCCAGGAAGAAGTCTGATAGTTTGGAGTGTTCCCAAGGTCAATAAACGTGAGTCCTTTTGTAGTTTCGCTAGTAGGAGTTCCGCCAGCTATGAGTAACCCTGTATCGTCCGGATTTTCCTTGCAACACCATGCAATTTCGAAAATGGGCGCCTTCAGTGAGAAAGTGCCAGGAGTTGAGCCGGATGTAGACGTGAGCTCACCCGGTTTATTCACATCTATAGCTTGTATTGTTCTAGCCATAACAACTCGTCCGTCTTTCGGGTCCCAAAACACAAGAGATGAATCATCATGTACTGTTAAAACAAAAGTGGCAGTTGGATGCCAGAGTGCTTTGACAACTTTCGGCCATCTTGCCTCACGGGCCGAGGATGGGTCTGAATCACCGCCTGGAGCGCCTTTTGGTACCTCATACTGGAAGTGCTTGAGGGGCACATTTTGTTTGATGGAAAATATCACTGCTCCATCTGAGTATCCGATCAATAGGGTCCCTATATCCTTTGGGTGAAAGGCTAGGGATATTATAGGAAAGAATCTGGCCCGCGAATTCCTCTCTTTCCATAAATTCGATACTTTGAACGGAGCTACCATATGCCGGTCGAGATCATATGTGACGAGCTCGCCTATCGCCATTTTGTGGTCAGCCGGGGAAAGTCAGGCATAGCAACGCATGGCAAAAATAGTCATAACCGACCGTTCTGTAGCCCGATAAATGCATAATCTAGTGCCGGGTCGGTAAGGACACACGTAACATGGCCCGGCGGCGCATACGACGTGATGAGCTTTCTTTCGTCAAGCGAGAAGACGTATAGCTCATTCTTTGCAACGGCGAGGAGTTTATCCCCACAGAACTGAAGGATACTCGTTGACGCCTTGCGAGGAAGGGAGAAAACGGCAGAGACTCGCTCTTGTCCAAATACATAAATCTCCCCGCTCCCGAACTGCGTCTCGCTTGTGCCGGCAGCGAGTAGAGATTGAACTGGATCATACGCTATGGCGCTGATTCGGGAGTTTATGCCATAACGAGCCACCTGAGAGAATGCCAATATTAGTTTACATTCCGCAGCATTTATTGAAGAAGATGGCGCGCATCCAGGCCTGCCTAACGCAACGAACTCACCTCGTCTAGAAGGAAGCTTTCTGGTGAGAGGCTTCCGGAGAGGTCGCTCTGGATGCCTGCCTGCTTTCCTCGTAAAAAATGCGCCATCTCTACTCCGTATAATCAAAGCGTTAACGAGCGCACGCACTATGATACCTGGAGGGTTTTATTCTTAGATCGCCAGCAACCAAAAATACACGAGGTCGTTCGCGATTAGAAGCAAAGGGTGTTTCTGGCTTGCGCTCTTGGCGGCTGACGTCAATTAAACTAAGTTTAAGCTTTCCCGCTCAACGCACGTGAAAGGGCATGGACCTCACCTTGATAAGTGACTATCCGTCAATATAAAGCAGATGGGGCGGGTGGTTGGGGGGAAGAGAGGAAGGGAGAAGAAGAAACGAGAAATGTTTTGAAAGTCATCTTATATCTCGCCTATCTTAAAAAAAAGGGTCAGAATCCAAATGCCGAGTAAACGCCTCTCCAAAGCCAAAGTCCACTTTTCCAACTCCCCAAAGTATTCTATTATACACAGTAGCAGTAATCCAATATTTCCCATATCCAATAGAGATAGTCCATGCACCTCAATCAAAAGTGTGACAAATAGGGAGGGAAAGAATTAACATCATGGGCAGTACTCCGTTATAGAGGCAAGGTTCGACATCAAGGCCTTTCGGACTCGAAGTTCCTCCTCATGTCCCTGGTTGCGATAGTACTGCTTTACTATCTTGAGGATATTGCGGTAGCAGGAGTAGCTAAGGATAGCCGTTAGCATTAATGACATTGGCACGTCCTGTCAACAAAATCCACTTACAAGAGCAATCGAATAGGTGCGAATCCATCCCGAGTAGGGTCTGACCCGTACCCCTTGAGAATGTCCGCGGAAGGGTTTTCAAATATGTCAGTCATGAGGACATCACCCCATGTCGCAGCAGTGAAATCGATAATACCACTGATATCTTTAGTTTCGGGGTCGATAATAATATGGGAAGGTTGACTGATATTATAGAGAATCAATCGTGGTTCCGTAACAGCATCAAAAACAGCAGACAAACGGCTTGCTTGATGGCGAATCTCGAAATACGGTAACGAAATAAGCATATTTTCAGCATTCCATAAAAGCGATTCAAGAAGGTTGAGGAACGCGTGTTTCCAAGTCCGTTCCCCCCTTCCCATGCATATATCATGGACGGGGCCGAATTTAGTAGCGGTATGTTGTCCAATTTGATCAACAGCAATACCAAGCTGTTTGTCAATCCGGCTCAACTCCTCTGGCGTCAATTTCTCTTTAATTTCTGAAAGGGGTGTGCCGGGGCATTTATAGCGCAGAAGACATGTTACTGCGGGAGACGACGGAGCCACCTCACATCGAATAAGCTTCGGGATGCACCATATTTCACTTGATTCAAGTAACAATAGGACATGAGCCTCAACTTCGAGAGCGTGCCGTTCGTAGTATAAGACAGTTTCCGGCTGGCGTGTCGACGTTTTCAATGCAAGCTCAGTTCCTCCAGACATATGTAGGAGATAATGTGGATGCGGATCCTCGTCATAGGTCTGTATGTCCAAAACTTTCTGGTTCGGGAAAAGGGGTTCGATAAAACCGTCAAAAGAGGAAGTATATGGGTTATTGCGAGTCATCTTTCCAGGAACACCAACTGAGACTGTTGTTGTGGTAGAAATTTGCATAACATACGGGTATGGCAGAGTGCTGCGCTGCCGTTGCATTGTCGATAAGTTATGATGGCTATGAGGCGAGCTTTGGCGAACACGTGGGGATGCACGGTTCTTGGTAGGGAGGCCGAAGGCAGTCATTGTGTTTATATAAAGATGGTACAGTATTTGCTCTAGTTCCTCACTCGCGTCAAAAGGGTAGTCTTCCGTGATAGACTTGCAATGTGAGGCAGTCTTCCTGTCTATATAAGACGAGCCTTTAGGACGCTAAGAGGTATCAAGCTGTCGTGGAATGTGGGTAGAGCACGGCAGCGAGATTTAACGTTAAGGGAGTCGCTTGTGCTAAATCCAAGCGCCACAGGTTTGGTAAATTATGCTTTTGATCATCAGACTAATGCTCCAAGCATCCACAGGGTTCGATATCTGGATAGTTTATAGGGTATCTATGTCAGGTTGTCGTTCTATCGCGTCTTTGATGCAGTGTATTGTACCCCGTACTGAGAATTTGTGATAAATACTGTGTACTCCGTAGCTGCACCCGTGAAAATGGGTATGAAAAAAGCCAACATCGAGCAGCCTGGTCAATACCGAGGACCACCGAGTCCGTCCAGGCAGCATCACAACTAGCGGTCCCGGCCGAACGAAGGGAGGCCTTTGGCCAGCCTGCTCAGCATTCAAACGACGATAGACTCGTGTTTGCATCTTGCTAGGTCACATCCTGGAGGTGCCGCAGGAACGGGCTTAGGCTGGAAGCTCTGGCTGGAGTCCTTGACCTCCATGGTATCCGCACTCTCTGAGATGTGCCGCTGGAAGGGTTGGGCTACGCCTGTCCAAAGTAACCTCGCCAGATTTTGCTGTGTTGAGTAATAATGCTCGATGCATGTTTCGAGGTGAAACGGGACGACGCCGATTATGCGCCGGGTTGCACCAATGAGAGCCGCGAATTTGGCGAGATTTCAGATTCGGAAATCCTTAAAACCAAAATGCAACGCAGGGTGGATCGCATCCACCATCCCGAGCTTGCTTTCCTTGGTCTCCTTTTTTCTTCTTCGTCCCGCACGTCGTCATGGCTCAGCTTCGACATCGTCTGTCATTTCTTGGCGTGGAAGGGAGCCAATCGCCTATCTATCAAAATTCCCAAAGGTGCGATCCTCTACCAGCCTTTACCCGCAAAGGAGATTGGCTGCAAAGCGAGAGCTCGCGGGCGGTGCGAAGCGAAGAACTAACATCAAATCTCGTGTTTACACAGGCGGGCGATTTAACTTGGTCGATGAGGGTCGGCTCGAGAACGCCCGAGACTACCGAATCCATAATATAAACCTGGTCATGTCTAGTGTTCTCCGCATACATGGCATCATGCTATGTATCAAGAGGCCTCCCCCCAAGTTATTTTCAATTGGCGGTCAATGCGTTCTCCCTGGTCCTGATGCAACATAAATCCCATTCCCTCTTGGACGGGCGGGCGGCGAGTGACGGATAACGAGCGGTGACGGGATCTTCCAACCGTAAGTGATCATTTGGCGAAGGACGAAATGGGGCCAGGATAATCTTTATATCTTTTCTTCGCGTATTGTGTATTTTTTTTTTTTTCAATCCGCTTCACCCTGTTAAGCTTCCTTCTGCACCCTGTGCACTTTCTCGTCGTCCTCTGGTCCCCTTTCCGGCTTTACTTCCGGCCGTGGCGTTGGAGAGTATATTTCAGAGAGGTTGTACCGTTTTAATTCGTCATAATCACCTTCAACCACACTCATACCACACATAGTCTAGCGTAGTTTGGTCAGCCATCTCCGCGGAGGTACAGGAATGGTGCTTACAAGCGCAAGGTACAACCCACCTGGATAACATCGACAAGAATTAACAGGTCATAGTTCTTCAGGTCCACTGAATGCTCACTCCCAACAATGCCAGCGATGAGTTTGATGACCGAATCCCTCTGGCAATCCGTGTTGTTTCTAATAGTTGGTCGAATGGCATACTACATAACACACCACCGGTTAGTAATGCACTTGCAAGGGAGCCAACGATATCTGGGCCTTCCCCAGAGGGTAGAAAAACCATCATACCTTTCTGGGAGGGCCGCCAGAATGGAAATGCGGCTTCAGTACGTCACGAGCCAACTCCTCCAGCCCGCCGCCGAGAATCTTCCTCATGGATGTAATTGGAGTCAACCGTTTAACCCAACGGCTCCTCTTCCGTTCGGGGTGTGTCCGGGCATCAATGCATAGGCGATGCACAATATCTACCGGATTCAAGGTATTGCTGGACTTGACGAATATAACTGCCATCCTTAAGTCAGGGATTCAACCAATTTCAATATAACTCCCATTCTAGACATCTTACGACACGGGACATCCAAGCTTACGAGCCTGAACGGTGCTTTCGATCGCTTGGGCTGCATCAGCTCCACCTCACGCTTTATCTGTTCCTCGATATCAACTTCATCGTTCTCATTTTCATCGCCTGTGCTGTCATTCTTTTGATCGGGGTCTACGCTTGGCACTTCCTGTGATTTCTTGTCAGATCATTTGCTGAGAACGTGCTGTGATAGAGGTGAAAAGGGAAGGCTGTAGCGCGTACCTGCGAGAGGAGATCTAGGATCTCAGCCGAACATTTTCCTTCCCGGCCTCTATCGCAGCTAACAAAGATTCCAGAATCACCGCTCGCTAATTTTTCTTTTGAATTGGATTTCCGCTTATCATGGCCTTTCCATTGACCCTAAGACGCGTGTCAACACAACATTCAATCAGCCCACTGACGGCAAACTCCGAGAGTGACCCTTGTCAAAGTTGGCACTGATTGGGTTTCTCATCCCAGGAAAAACTCACCTTTTGTCTCTTCTTATCACGAGAGTCGGAGTTGCTTGCTTTCCTTTTACATCCGTTATCAGCCATGCTGTCGCTTGTCGCTATTGAGACTGATTGAGATGGAAGAAGCAAAATAGAGGTCGACGCAAAAGGATACCCTTGCTTATCTAATATAATAATAGATAAGATAAGATTCGGAACGGATAATACCTTTTAGCCGCGTGTCTGCCAAGTGACGTCATGAGCTGGCCAGACCCAATATGGAAAGCAAGTTAGCTGCAGTGCCAGGGAATACGTGCTGCAAGATGTTTTCCCTGATTGTCTACATAAGCTGAGGGGTTTCCTTTCATCGAGCTATGCTGCTGCTGCTGTATTATCTCTAATCAACATAGTCATTTTCTCAGCCAGTTTATCTGACAGCCATGGCTTCGGATATTGTCACCAGAGAGCTTGAAGAGCCTGTCGATGTCGCGGAGTATCTCTTCCAGCGACTACATCAGATGGGGATTAAATCCGTCCATGGGGTCCCTGGTAAGCTGATGGCTATCGAGACTTTCTCAGTGCCCTTTCTTGTGTATCCTAGACTCTAATTGTTTTGGTTGTTTAGGAGATTACAACTTAGCAGCTTTGGACTACCTTCCAAAATGCGGCTTGCATTGGGTAGGGAATTGTAATGAATTGAATGCCGGTACAGTCAATAGCTGTTGTTGATCCTCTTTATGGATTCAATACTAAGAGTAGAACAGGGTATGCTGCTGACGGTTACGCACGCATCAATGGAATGTCAGCATTGATTACAACATTTGGAGTGGGAGAACTCTCGGCTCTCAATGCCATTGCTGGTGCATATTCTGAATTTGTCCCCATAGTGCATATTGTTGGTCAGCCGAGCACGGCATCCCAAAAAGATGGAATGCTTCTCCATCATACTCTGGGCAATGGCGATTTCAATGCCTTTGCCAATATGAGTGCCGGGATCTCCTGCTCAGTAGCAAAGCTGAATGATCCCCGTGATGCTGCAGCATATATTGATAGCACATTAAGGGAATGCTGGGTCCGCAGCCGACCAGTGTACATCACTCTGCCTATTGACATCGTCAAGCAAAAAATCGAGGGAAAACGCTTGAAAACCCCTATAGATTTGCAACTTCCTGCTAATGACGAAGAAAAGGAAGATTACGTGGTAGATGTTGTGCTGAAGTACCTGCAAGCTGCTAAAAAGCCGGCTATCATTGTTGATGCATGCGCTATACGTCACAATGTTTTAGACGAAGTTCACGACCTGGTATCAAAATCGGGCCTCCCCACGTTTGTTGCCCCCATGGGTAAAGGAGCAGTTGATGAAACCCTTCCCAATTACGGCGGAGTTTACGCAGGGGATGGCTCCACTGTTGAAGTTCAAAAGCATATTGAAGCCTCTGACTTAATTTTGAGTATTGGCGCAGTCAAGTCAGATTTCAATACAACCGGATTCACCTATCGAGTCAGCCGCCTTAACACCATTGATTTTCACAGCAACCACATGGTTGTTCGGTACTCGGAGTATCCAGGTGTCAGCATGAAGGGAGTTCTCCGGAAAGTCGTCAACCGCATGGGCAAATTGAATGTTAGTGCTCCACCAAAGCATGAGAATTTACCAGAAGAGAACCCTCAGTTTCCTGCTCCAACAATTTCCCACTCCTGGCTATGGCCAGCGGTCGGAAATTGGTTGCAAGAGAATGACATTGTCATCACAGAAACAGGAACCTCAAGCTTTGGTATCTGGGGGACAAGGTTCCCCAAGGGAGTAACCGCTATAAGTCAAGTTCTCTGGGGTAGCATTGGCTATTCCCTCGGAGCTTGTCAGGGAGCAGCTCTCGCAACGAAAGAAGGGGCATCTCGCCGTACCATCTTGTTTATTGGAGATGGTAGTTTTCAGCTTACTGTTCAAGAGATAAGCACTATGATTCGAAACGGATTAACCCCAATAATGTAAGTCTTTCCTCAATACCATAGCCTCATCGCGTACTGGACTCAGGGACTTAGCTAAATACTGGTCCCCAGCTTCATTATTTGCAATAATGGATATACCATAGAACGATACATTCATGGGTGGAATGCGGCCTATAATGATATCCAGGAGTGGAAGTTTAAGGAAATCCCATCCGCATTTGGAGCGCAACCGGACCAATTTACAACATATCAAATTCGGGAGAGACAGGAACTCCTTGACTTGTTCTCCAACAAGGAATTTTGCTCTGCAAAGCGTCTCCAGGTAATTTCCCCTCATATCCAATTATAGAGTATATAGTATTGTAGGTTGCTAACATGTCCATCTCGTTTTATATAGATCGTAGAAGTTTACACTCCCCAAGAGGATGCCCCTTCCACGTTAAGATTGACTGCCGAGGCGGCAGCTAAGAGAAACGGATGATGGAGAATTAATTCGGGTTAGGCGGCTGCATCTAAATAATCTCACCTCTTTATGCCTGTCTAGTTATATGACACTTTGACATATAACTTAATAGTTGATGGGAAAATCAAGCCCAGCGGTTTATTGTAATGTTTATTATTAACTAGCTATCTGAAAACTACAGAATGAAAACAGTCAACCTCAAATGAATTTGAGGCTCATCACATCCAAGTAAACGGATAATTGTCGAGAAAGGGAAAAGGAAAAATTTGATAACAATCCGACTAACATTGTACAATGGCCTTTCAACAATAATTTGAATGGTATCAAAAGGGGTGGATAAACCAAGGGTGGCCTTTGAGTATCATCCCGTCTATTAAACAGAGTAATGAATGGGCAGAGAAACAAACTGGATGCCAAAATTAAGAGGTAGGTGCAAATCAAGGGATACCGCCATGCGATGAACCGGCCAGGTATAGTAATAATCATTCAATGAACGCATCAACACACATGAAAGCACAGGAAAACATAGGGTAGAAAAACATGAGCTAAAGCATGTACTAGTAATCAAAACACCACGGCCAGCAACCCCAAGACCAGCAAACACAGAAACAAATATCGTAATTGGCATAGAAACGCCAGAGTCGGTTATTCCATGTCACCTAGGCAATGCGAAAGATGCAGAAAGGAGAGAGAAAATAGAGTGGACAAGAATACAGGGAGAAGAAAGGTAAATGGTCAACATATATGGGCAGAAGCAACCCTTTCAACGTCCACAATCAATAAGATTGTAAGGGTAGAAGTAAAGCTGAAAGCTTGGGCTCGAGAAATAAACGAAGGGAGAAAACGTAATAGGAAAAGGTGTTGGTGTTTTTTAGGCCATATCACGGATCTGTTGTCCTGGAGGCTATGCCTAATCTACTGCAAACATATACTTTCAATTGGCGCCAGGGTATATCTCAGATGTTCACGCACTTCCTTTCAAGGGCTGGCTTCCTATTGGCTCGGAAGTAACGCCATTGGTATCATTAGCATTACCATTCATACTAACATGGCCGTTGGGTGCATCCGTTAGTTTTGGTTTCACGATGCCGGCCCCTTTACTGGTCGGAGTAGTAGTAAGGGTCGAATCTTCAGCTGCCCCCTCAGAACCAAATATGCCAGTCGGAGCACCAGTACTCTTCTTAATTTTCTTCTTGCTGGGCTCCAAAACTATGCCTTTGGTGGAGATGGAGGTCGAAGGGGGTGCCGGGCGCTTTTGGGGACTGGATCCAATACCTAAAGAAGGCTGTGGCGGAATCTTTCCTGATGCTGGGACACGAGGCCGTCCTGCCATGGGTCGTTGTTTGGGCGGTAACTCATAGTCTTCAACCAAAGGCTCGTCTTTGTTGGCATGGAGCTTAGCCAGGAAGAAGTTCCGCGCAAGGCCAATTTGTGATGGAATGGAGTCTAGGGTGATCTTAGGGTATTGCGGTGGGGTTGGGAACAAGTCAGACGCTGATTGCGCAGAGCTGTTGAAGGATTCAAAATTAGTAATTTGTCAACGCATAAGTGATGAAGTAATGACTTACTTTGCATTCTGAGCCTGATGAGCGTTGAACATCCTGTTCTGGAGGAGATGTAGGGGAACACTGAGACTTGCAAGGCCAAATTCTTTGTCCAAGCCAAGCTCTTTGAACCCAAAGAAATCTTCGTCGATGTCATCCGCAAAGTCGCCTCCAACAAATTGTTCGCTTCCATCGTTGAAAGCTCCAGAGCCGTCACCACTAGTGTCGGCGAATGCAGGGCGCAATAATTCCGTAAGATGGTTCTTTAATCGCTCGTGGATAACAGCAAGTTTCGCGCCATGGCGGTCTATATCGTCCTTAACATAGGTCTCTAACGTGTCCACATCCGTGCCAACGGCCTGCAATGTATGCAAAATCATTTCCTCGGAGGTATATGGCAGCTTCCATCCTGATGTTCCGGCCTGCTCTGATGAACTGTCCGGGGCAGGGACTTTTGGAGCTTCCATATAGGATTTAAGGGTTTGTCCTATCTTGGTGAAGAAGTCCGATGCAACGTCCGTAATGGCATCCAAAGCGGAGGGTTGATATTCTTCAAAACCGGTGTGGTAGAGAATCTTTCCAATAGATCGCTGAAGTGCAGCTCTGCAGACCCAAGGGTTAATAACCGGCCCCTCACCGTTCATGACATGAGGTGCGATATCCTGCTCAACGAGCCGTTCAGGCTGGTACTTTTGAAATTGATTTTGGTACATCTAGACGGGCAAGTTAGAATTGAAATAGACCTAAATAACGCTAAACGGGAGTATGCCTCACCTGAGATTGTTGTTGCATTTGCTTGACAATACTGATCTTCGAACAAGCCTTTCTAGTCTCTTGCATTTGCCTCACGTTTGCATCCAACTTTTTTGAGAACTTGCTTACAGGAGCCGTAAATAAACCACCTGGGAGAACCCGAAGGAACTCTTCTGAGTGCTCTACCACATTCCCTTCAGCGTCTTCGGCCCAGTGAAGGTGTTCAGGTAGATCAGGAATGGCCGACATCACATCATAATAATCAGGAAGCATTTTATCTTCTTCTTCCTCAATCCCTTCAGCAAGAGTCTCTCCACTAGGTTCGGCTTTCTCCTGTGAAGGAGCGGTCTCAGGCTTATCCACTTCGCCTGGTGTTGCTCTGCGATGTCGAATCCATCTCCTCATACCCGGCTTTGTTCTGAGAAGGGCCTGCTCCTCTGGGTTAATTTTATCTCCTTTGAAGAGTCGGTGTCTTTCAGCAGCGACAAGAGCACGATCCTTCTTTGTCACTAACTTCCAGACCTTGAATTCTGGATCTTCAAACTCAGACCCAAGGCCTAACAGGGCAGAACATTGACCAGCAGGAGGTGGTCCGATGCAATCTATGTCCATGCTATCACCCTGGGTTGCAGGAAGGCCAGTATGATTTAAGGTTAGGGGCGTAAGGGTGCCTGGCGGCGGCGTTGAAGATTCATTTTGGCTTCCTTCCAAGAAAGAGTCCTGTCTAACAGTCGGCAGTTCCTGAGCTTGGGGTCGAGAATCTGTCACCGATGTAGTCTCTGACTTTGTCTCGGGGGCAGTTCGCGCCGTCGTGGTGCCCTTTTTCGATTTCTTTCCTGGAGCCTTCCGGCCTCGGGACGACATGATGGGCTCGTCGTCACTCTCTTCCGCACCATCAAGATCAGCAAGTTGGAGCCTTCGCTCCTCTGCCTCAACCTCTGCCCGGTCCCTGATAACAATATCCGGAATAAGTGGCACAAGCTTTTCTGTTTCCTTCCTCATGTAAAGAGCATGCTTCCGAAGGAAATGCTCAGGGTTGGCGTTGTATTTCAAGCAGTTCGCCCAAATTAGATTAAGGTCATCAACAAACTCCTGTTTGGATTTGTATTGGATGGCCTTCAGCTTCTTGGTCATGGTGCCCAAATCCATAGGCCGCTTGATAACTGTTCAGTAATATTAGTAAAGTGTCCAAAAAATAAGACTCATGAATTGAACTTACTATTAACATAGTCTGGCGCATCTCGCCGATTGACCTTTGTCAAGAATGCACTGGAATGCTCCGTCTGAGCTTTGAGTTCACTCAGAACCTTCTCCAGAGCCTCATATAGTTCTTCTTGTCCAATCTTCTCTTCACTTGCCCATTTACTCCTATTCTTCCGAACTTCACTCATTAAGCTTCTCAGCTCAGCATCAGAAGCTTGTACTTCATGGCGCTTCATGTCAATTCGAGCAATAAGATTTTTGAGTGTTAAGCTCGATGCGCCGAGATTGGCGCTGCTGAGCGTTCCATGTCCAGGACCCGGAACTGTAGCGGAATCATTATGCGTGTTATTCTGGCTGGACATTTCGGCCTCAACTTGTCTTTCAGACTCTTCTAGGCGTTGTTGGTCCAGCATCGCATCACGGTCATTCTCAAGAGTGTAGAAAATGGTATGGAAACTCTGACGGGCAGCCTCCTCAGTGGCCTTTTTGTCTTGTTCCAATCGCTTCCGGATATCATCCGCTGATTCTTTCTTCGCGTCTTTAGGGTTCTCCGGTGCAGGGCCAGGCTGCGAAGGCAGCCGAGGAGGTGATTGAGTCGCGTGCTTTGGTTCAGGGGGGGTTGGCGCGCTTTTGGATTTTGGCGGAGAAGGCCCTTGGGCACCAGAATCACTGCCACCCTCATCATCATATTCGTCATAATCGTCTTCGTCTAAATTCCTCGCCGGCTTCCGAGGCGCAATTTGAGATCCTGGCTGCGCGGATTCAGGTACGGCCTCCACGGCGTTGGTATCACGAGACTCCACGCTCGGCAGGCTGGGGTCCGATGTCCTCTGTTTGCCACTAAATAAAGCATTTATTTTGGCCTCACTTTTCTGGTAGCTGTTTCTAAATGCGACTATGCGAGGGTCTTCTTCGGGCGCGGGATCAATTTCTGATATCGACATGCCGCTCTGCATAGACTCCAAGGTGGCACGGGACCGCAGCTGAGGTGTACGCGGGCGGGAAGGGGTTCTTGAGAGGCCATTGACGGAGGAGTGCGTGTCATATATATCGTCGGGGGGTCTGAGATGGCCTGGAGGAAGCCATGTGTGGTGGTGATTGAGCGACATGGCCGCGCCAAACCCGCTATATCGGGCGGGCGAGAGGGTTCGGCCCTCCACGCTTTGAAGCCAGTTTCAGCAAGCAACAATAAGGCGTTATGACGCGGAAAAAAAGCATGTAAGATGGCTGTCTGGTAGCGACAGCAGCTCCAGCAACTAGCTGGATGACAAAATAGATGAATGTGGTGAGATATTGATGGCCCCAAAGGAGCTCTTTTTGGTGGTGATTTTTGCGGAGGTGCCCATGATGGAGGCTGCCCAGACTTTGTTAGAAGTCAGCCAGTCACGTGAGACTTTCCGCCCATGGCTCGCGCAGAAGGACGAGAGGGAGAGAGCGCGCTTCCTGAAGACGGAAGATGGAGGAAGTAAGTCAGGAAGGGGTTAGCATGGAGCTGTAGGGTAGAGGGTGTTGTCTGTGATGCACTGCTACTTCGATGGCACAGCTGCGAGTCTATGTGCGCAAAGTCTACACAGCCTACGTTCATTTGCCAGGCTGCGAAGCCTGGTTTTTGATATTACAGTTGGTATGGTCAAAGAAGCAGTGCTACTCCGGTGAGATCGGGACACCAGTAAAATAGTTATTCTCTATATTATTTCCTCAGCAGAAACAAACTTCTTTCTCTTCAAACAAACCTCGTTGCTGGCATCTACAATATCTTTTTCAGCCGCGAGCTTGATGTTGGGCGCCAGGGGATGTCACGTGTCAGAACTTAGTCATGTCACTTCGTTACATAATCATGCTTACTCATGCTTCTTCCTTGCCAAAGCTCGAGGAAGCAGTGGAAGAAGAGTACAACTTGTAACTGCAACAAGGTACTCCAGGCGAACAGCTCATGTTGAGCTACGACGTTTCGCAGAAGATTGACCAGGCGATCTTCCATTTAAATGACTAATACCAGGCTTTGACCCTGAACTGAGAAGCAGAGCAGACCTCTCGGAGCCTGGCTTCTAAAGAATCAAGCAGCCTAGAACTGAAGGATAGCAAGCAACTCTATACAACATCTTATACAATGGCGATGCTCCGAATAAGATACCCGTTTGCCGGTAGGTTCGCCATTATATATTACCTGCTGCTTTTGCCCCCTCCAGCTTTGCGGTAAAGACGGTAATGAAATTCTGACACGTTGAAACCATAGGAGCGTTTGCTTCCCTCTTCCTACTATCCGCCTACATAGGCCTTCTACCGCAAGCCAAAGCACCGAAAGAAGGAGAAGCTCCGGCTCCATCGCCTCTACAAGTCAACGATAAAGTGTTACACCTAATCACCTTCTTCCTCCTCTCTATCTCATTTTACTGGATTCTGGACACCACTCGCCGAAGAACGCTACATCTGACGCTTATTGTCTGTACGCTGGTCCTTGGAATAGGTGCTGAGATAGTACAGTCTCTCGTACCTAATGGCCGCTCCTTTGACCCCTTTAACATCCTGGCGAACGTTGTCGGAAGTCTCGGGGCTGTAGGGCTATGTACCTGGTACCACAAGCGGATGCTTGAACGGAGGAGAAAGGCAAGGTTCGGTGCTCTGGTAGGAAATGCTGAGGAGGATGTCGAACTTGGCTTGGCCAATGGCACCGGAGAGCAAGAGACGGGCGTTACGAACGCGCAGTCTCTTGAAGACGAAGTTGATAACTGGGATGAGAATGCCGAGGATAACTGGGATACTGCGGATGATATTGAAGGTTCCGGAGTCGTTGCTGGTTCTGGTGATGATACCAGTGGAGATCTCGGTGGAAAACCCTCGACTAACGGGGCAGGAAGTGCTGGAGAGAATGGTCACAAGAATTGATGTCTCTCTCCCCGTTCTCCGTCTGTCTGCGCCTTTAAAAACTCAACCTCCTCTCTTGTTATGGCTATGTTATATGACTTTCCATCGATGTATACGGAGTACGTTCGGATGGGACTGGGATATGTAATTTTTTTTCTCTCTCTTTTGGAGCCGGTGTACCAAAGCAAGCGACGCCTTTGTTGCTGTTTCATGTTTTAGCCCTGCCTGTACTCTTGCTCTTAATATATGTGACATTATTGTTTGACTGGACTTAATGGAATAAATAATTTTCAACTCAGCCCTACGGATGTAACCAATGCCGATCAGATGTTCTGCAGCTTGTCCTGACCTCATTGCTAATTTACTCGTTGCTTTACCTCACCAGTCCTTTTCGCAAGACGCCACCGCTTAGTTAGTGGTTAAGGAGTTGACTGCTTGGCCGTTGATGGTTCACTAGGGGAAAACGTGTACTCAATGCTTGATTGTTGAAGTTGTACAACCAAAAGGCTTTTGCAGCACGCAATAAAATCATATCCAGCCAAAAGAAAAGAATCAAACCGATTGAGGGTATTGTTTTCCTCCATACATGCACCAAGGAATTCTATCTACTTATGCAACATAACCATCGTAAAACACATAGAACAGGTAAAAAGAGGAGGGAGAAGGGAAGGCATAATAAAGTTAAGAGGAAGAAACAGTCTGTCTGAGAGACGGCAAGGTAGTGTTTATGCAAGCAAGAAAAGCCATTTAAAGCCCCCAATGGAAAAACAGTCGGAGTCACGGTATATGAAGACAGAAAATGAAGTTTCATAAACATGCAAAAATGCTGTGTGGGCGGGATTTAGGTGGACAGAGTGGAAAGTGGAAATGGAGGTCGGTACGGAGTATATACCTATGATGGGCCAAAGAGGGTATGGAGGTCTATAGTATCAGCCTTCGTCTTCATCCCCTTATTCATCTTCGTCATCTTCGTCATCATCATCGTCGTCGTCGTCGTCTTCATCGTTATGGCCGTTGCCATTACCATTATTTTCCTCAGTGTCTTTGACTTTTCCGTCATCTTCGGCGGCTTCCTTATTATCTTCGCTCTCCGGATCGTCTGGCTCAGCAGCAGTGTTGATATCCGCCGGACTAAGAGCAACCAGTTCAGGCTTAAACATCCCGTCATCAGGTTTCGCTATTTTCTGTGGACGAGGCTCGATCGGAGCAGACTGGATTCCCAGCTTGATCTGAGTCTGTTCCTTCAAAACATCGTAAATGAATTGATACTGAAATGCGTTGTAGACCATCAGCATCCGCTGCTCTCTGAGCCGATTGACAGTGTTGAAAATAGCATCTGCAGATTTGTCATCTGCGCTCAAGAGTTGTCCCGACTGTAGCTGTCTCAGTAGATGGTCAAGGGCAATGAAAGTTCCGGTTCTTCCTACGCCAGCACTGCAGTGCACAATTCGAGGATTGGAAAACGACTTCGCCTTCTCGGCTGTGGCTGTCATAAGGTTGAGAAGAGCATCCCTATCAGGTCCCTCTGGTGTACCATAATCAGACCACCCAGCAAAGAGGAAATGCCACACGGTCTTGGTGTCTGATCCGACGCGGAGCTCAAGTTCGCTAACATTTGAACGTATTGATTCATCGTAAGTCGTATTTTTAAGCGTAACCGAGCCAGAAAAATGAGCAGTTGGGGATTCTGTGGCGCTGTGAGAAGAAAATTCAAAAATAGGATTCTCCATATCCTGTGGGAAATACTGGGCGCATTTCTCCTTTCCAGATTCAACTGTTTGAGTGAGCATGACCAAAACGGCCACTTCACCAGCCTCATGGTATATCATATTCCAGAAATCAGCGAGTCGATCTCGTTTTGGACCCTGTACACAGAGTTAACAGCGAGTCATGCATAAAAAGGCCCAGTAAGCCGTATATATGGTATACGCACCTGGCTAGCAATATATTTGTACTCCCCGTCCGTCTCCGGATCCTTGAGTACGATGGGAGAAGCATTGATGAAATCACACTCCCCCGCAGGGACCTTGAGATGAACTCTGCAGTTATCCCATGCCTGCACATCACCGTAGCGATTTCGAGCCTTGACCTGCGGGCTTGTGTCCAGCGTCCACTTATGGGTGGGATCCTGGGACAACGCACCGGCAGCCCGTCGATGCCGCTCCATCCACTCCAGCTCGCTAAATTTATCTCGTACATCTACACACGGTGAGCCTATGCGAAAAGGAAAAAGACGAAGAAGAAGAAGAAACAAAGAAGGAAATGAAATGGATCTAAACCCACACTTTGCTGGTTGGTTCAGGTAAGACGGAACCGCTTGCTTGCCGTGGGCCTGTTTACTATCTGTATCAGAGGCTTCCGAGCACTGGCCGGCCGACCCCCGACTGTCCGTAGATCGACTTCGCTTGGACAGGGACGCCGACAGGTTAACCTCTGCCATCCTGACGGCCGCAGCTCTGCTCAGCGTCCGCGCCTGGTCAACAAACTGACGCACCTTCGCAGCGGCAGCGTGGTTCCTGGAGAAAAGCGCCCTGCGAGAGACACTATGCAGGCTCGCGGTATCTGAGACAGACGGCACCGGGGAGACCGACGGCTTGTCTGTCGCAGTGGCACCCGGGTTGATATCCAAAGAGGATAAATCCGGGCAGCTTTGCGAGCCGTCCGCGCCGGGTGAAGAGGCCAGGGTTTATGATGGAATAATGGAGATAAACGCCGTATTGGCGAAAGGCGAGGATACCAGTCTTCTCTGGTGTATTCTTCCTCTTTCTCTATTGCTTTAAAGGAGAAGGAAAAAAGGGGTATCGTGGTGTCGCAAGGCAAGGCGGGAAACGAGAGAAGAGAAGTTGAAGGAAGAAAAGTCGGCTATTTAGAGGGGCAGACGGCGAGGACAGCTCTTCTTCACGCGAGCAGTCATTGCCAGCCAGGCAGATTCACGTCGAAGAAGCAAGCCGAGAGGCAGGAGAGAGAGAGCGAGTGAAGAGCGTAAGAAAAAAGCGACGGTCAGTTCGACTCTTCTTCTCCTCCGCCTTGGGCTATAACTAGATACAGGCCCGAAGCAGCGCTCCCAAGTGACGACACGATAAAAAGACGAGACCTGCGAAGGACGCCGAGGCTTTTTTTTTTTTTTTTTTTTTTTTTAGGGGCCAGCGTCTTGCAGCGGGCGAGATTTCCGCAGGGTAACTAAATAGTTAACTGGTAACTGTTCAATAGTGATTGTATAGGTAGGTAGTTAGCTACGGGAGAAGGCGTCGGGAGAGACACAGTTTGGCTACCTGCCTCCTCCTAGGTACGTACTTAGCAGTCAACAGCCGGCCTCTTCTTCACTGCTCCTCCTTCTTGTCCACTTCGACTTCGACTTTTGGCAAAGGGAAATGACAGGCAGGAGGCGGAAAAAGCAATTTAATTAGTTAAACTGATTAATTAGCCTGGTTAAAATTCGTTAACTCGTTTGACATGCGCCACCTTCCGAAGCCACAGGGACTGGAGCAGTTGACGCAGTTTGCTGATCATGCGATGGCGGATGGAGTCAGGCAGTTAGTGTTGGTTAGATCTACCAGCAAACAGCAAACAGCATGGCTGGCTAGCTAGCCGGCTCGTCAGGGTCAGGCCCACGGGAGAAAGGTGGTGTGTTAAGAAGAAAAGATCATGAAATGATTGATTGTGATGACTATTCTATCTAGCTAACCTCCCAGAGGAGTCCTAGCAGCGCGCCGAGCAACCTCGAGCCGCCGCCTGGGGATCTTCCTCTGGGGAATGATGCTCTCATCCCCTCCGGCATCTCCGTCATAAAAAGGAAATACTGTTTGTCCCGAATTTGGTCATGATATCATTGTTTTTTCTTTCGCCCACTTGATGATGCATCCCACTGAGTAAAAATGAAGGGGGAAAGCGCGCGAGAGAGAGTCAAAGTTGATGCAGACTTAGATGTACCATACTTTGAATCCGATGCGGTCGTTATTGGGCATGGGAAGCAGCTGAGGTGTATCCGACTCACGGGGTCCCTGACGTGCCTGGCCTTGCTTGATTCCTGGCCCGGACTGTGGTCCAGAGCTGGCTGGGACGTCCTCGTGAGATCGAGCACGAGCAGAAGCCAGGTGCGCATAATAAACCGCTGGGACTAAAAAAAGAAACAGCTAATGTTAGCAAAGTCGCCTGTGTATCAGGGTACATGGGGCCAACTTACACAACGAGACCGAGGTCGTCGACCGCATATACTGGTAGCAGTGGTCGTAAATCATGTTTTGAAGCTGGTTAGGATTGTGCTTCATGTCATCAACAAGGACATGGTAATGGACTGGGCGGGAGGTCCCCTGAAGCGCAATGTGGGAGTATATCAAGAAGTCCCAGTTGTAAGGGTCAGTAACATCTCGTTCAACGAGAGTACCGGGCAGAGGGTTGCCGTTCTTGTCGGCAGCCATGCGGTCGTTTGGTTCAGGGAATGCTCGTACGTGGTGACGTTTAGATGCTACAACGATGGTCATCTTTCCTGGCCAATCGCTGCCCATGATCTCGCTAAAGATATCTTTGATGTGTGGTATTTCCTGCTGTAAACAGGCCTGGAACTGCCCGCTCGAAAGCCCATCGCGGAAGTAATAGACGTTTTGTGGGACACGGCCTTTGCCAACTGTCATAACCCACTCACGAATCAATGGGGAGAGAATAGACTTGATGTTGGCCTGGCTAATAAGCTCCACACGCTCGCCATTGGTTTCGCATCCAGCAGTGTATCGACCACCAAATGTATCCATAGAGACTGTCATCGCAGCCATAGAAGGAGAAAAGCTACCAGGAGAAGAGTGTGAAACATCTGCACCAATAATCATGGTGTAGGGAGGCAGATTGCTCTGCTTTGAGACAGCTCTCGCAGTTGTCCCACCCAGTTTGGCATTAATCTTCATCAGCACGTTGGAGATATACTGACCGTTGCACTTTACCACTTGCTGGCCCTGTAAAACCTGGGATGGTACACCAAAGCGGCAGTCGCAGGACTTTTTAATTCTCAGGTAGTGGAAGCTTTGCTTATCAGCTACCACAAAAATCATTAGCTCTGGCCGAAGGTTGAATTTGTTGCCAGTAGCATGGAACAGTTCAAAGACTGCCTTAGCTGGGTCAGCCACAACTTCCATGATTAGGGGACGACGGCTCTCAACATCTCCTCCGTGGCCCTGATAAGCCCGAACAAGAGCATCACAAAATGCTTCAACCTGAGCCATGTTGATAGGGTTGCGTCCCTTGAAAACACCAACACCCCAAGACTTTAGTGGTTTGGTATTTTTCGAGTAGAACTTCTTTCCTCTTAAATCCCAACGTCCATTGGTTCCTGGGTTGACTTTTTGGTTACCCCCAAACATAATTTCTGGATTTGGCATTAGCCGGGCTTTTGTTTTCATCATATTGTCACCAATCTTCATTCCATACGCGTTAAGCATAGGGTCTGAGGGGTGTTGCAAGTTCTTCTTTGATTCTTCAATTGCCTTACGACGTTCCGCAGGCCGGGTTACCGCAAATTTGATCATGGAGGATGTCTGCAAGTCATTCAGTTTAAAGGGGTATTTTTGCGACTTGAAAATGACCAGAACCTCCATAGGGTACACCACGTCCTTTTTAGTCATTTGGACTAATGGAAGTTCCCAATAGGTCAGGGTGACGTTGTAGCGGTTTTTGAAATAATCGTAGACTGAGATGGAGTTTATTTTCCCCGTGGCTTGGTCCTTTATTTCGAGTTTGTACTCCTTAGCGTTCGCAAGCAGGAACTCTCTTATGGTCCATTCCTTATCTGGGCATGGACAGCCCGGGTACTTTGCTCTCACGACGAGTTTTCGCATTCTGTCCAAGAGCTGGAACTTCTTAGAGCCCTTACGACCACCGAAAGCATCTTTCTCTGGTTTGCAGTTATAGATTAGCTGCTGGGGATCCCGGAGTTCGAGGACCTGGACTGCAGACACAAGCAATGCGTTTCGTGACCAAAAACACGCGTTTGAGACATCCACATTGACTGCAAGCGAGCCAGGCTATTACGTTATGGTAAGTAAATACTCATTTAAGCATGATATCAAGCGGCTTCTTCTCACCTGGACAACTCGTATAGCTTGGAAAATTCCCTTGTAAGCATGCACACCACAGCCAACTGACATCTGTGGGCTGTTATCCGAAAAAAATGAGGATTTAATGGCAATGAATTTCTGGCTGGGAGTTTCACGCAGCAAATGGTTGAAAAAGGCTATATGGCAACGTTAGATAACCGTGACTAGAATTTATAATGATAGACACTTACTAAGACACTGAGTGGTCTCCTTGTCTTGGCTAATGTCTCCACGAATTGCAGATGCCAAAGTCTGCAACGAAATTGTCTTGGTATATCGAACGACCAACCGGAAAGCGTTTGAATTCTTTGAAGGGGGACGTCCTTGCTCGGCATCAAGATCCACTACAAAGTTGGCATCTCGGTCAAGCTTGGTCATAGACCTAGAAGGGTGAAATTTACTGTGAATATTCATATTGAGCGAATGTTGACTTAATACACTTACCACGCAAGCTTGCTCCCATCGAATATGAAATCACGGGATAGTTTGCTCTTGCGAGTCTTTGAGTCCCAAACTTTTTGCATAACAATACGCTTCTCGGCACCGTTACCAATCATCACCTATGAACATGTAAGCACCAAATGTAATAAACGGCATGTTTGAATAAAGAGTTAGACTTACATCATACTGGTAAACGTTCTTCTTGGGATATTCCAAGATCGGGTAAAAATTCGTCGACAGGGCGATTTCCTTGCCGGTGGTATTGAACCCAGGTCGCTGGGCTAAAGGCACGGGCTCGAAGTACTGTTCAGGAGGCGTATCGTTAATATTGCAGTTTCGGAGATAGATATCTGGTACTTTTGGCATAGGAGTAAAAGGCATGATGGGCAGAGTTGTCACGAAGAGAGCTGCTGGAAGAGAGATAAAGTGGAATGCTGGAAAAGAAATAGCCGGAGAGCTGCAGAATGGGAGAGGGTGATTGAGAGTCTTGAGAGTTAAAGGAAGAGAAATTGAAAAGGACGAAGAAGAGAAAAATGAGCCTTTTTATGCAACTTGGGATAAGGGGCGGTGAATATGGAAAGACAATGAATGTATCCTGTCACTCATTCGTTATGGAATCTCGCGGGTGAATGCATCAAGGAGTGACAACGAATATGGGGGAACATAGTGACCCGACGTGGCAATTACCCGATACCGTGAATAAAAGTATTGGGTATGCGGGATATTGAATGAAAATATTCAATGTCTCACTATATTCACCGACAAATCCAGTGATGTAGCAATGGTGAAGGAATGGATAGTGAAGACAAGTTGAGTAAAAAAAATATTCATGGGTCAAGATTTAATCCCAACAAACAACCAACTGGGAAATTTAGAAATGCAAAACAGGAAGTGGGCAGAATATGTTCTCATCATCATCAACAAATTTTATGAACAGTTACTTACTACGTCATCCATAGAATATGGAGTTATATTGTCGCGAGCCGGATCTCCATGTGGGATCATAGGCGCAGGAAAATTTGGGTGTACTGGGTTTTGGCCTTGAATACCCCTAGAAGACGACATGCCTCGGGGACTCATCATCCCAGGGCTCATGGGCGCTGAGGCACGCCCACGAGGAGAACCTGGAGGGGCCTGTCCTGGCGCCATAACTTCTGGGTCTGCACTGATATCAGATGTCACAGGTCAGCTACTGTTCCTCGATGGATAGACAGTGTCAAGCTTGGGATAAAAAAGATTGGAGAGAAGACAGACAGATGATAACGTTGAATGATAGCTTCGTGGCTGCAGAGAAGTCTGTGACAGACCCGCGAGCATCAAATGAGAAAGGGTCTCGGTGACAGCTCAAGAGATACGCGTCAGTTGCTATTGCTGGTTGAAAACAGAGAGAAAGCGATGTTGCTAGAGAGGAAAAGAGATGGTAAAGAAAATGAAGCAGAAGAAGAGAATGAATGCGTTGCTGTAAAAGCAGTGGTTCCAGTTGATGCTGTGGTTGTTATCGAGGACGAGGTGGTTGGTTGGAAGAAGGCGAGGAGGGGTAAGATATTTATTTGTGGAAGGAGCTAGCTGAGCTAGCGGCGCCGGTAGGTAGCAGAGCAAAGTGATGCCAGCCTGAGATACCAGCAGCCGGCCCTCTCAGTCAGGCAGTGAGCAGCTAACAACTAGTTTTGTAGCGAAATGCCGCCCTAACTGATGTGATAGTTAGGAAAGGCGAAGGATGGGACTGAGAGGAATATGAAGGGAAAAGTTGTTTACAGGTATATTCAGTAGATTCTGGCGCGTTGTATGCAGATGCCTGTTGCTACTGGAAGTTTCCTCTCAGGGAATGCCTTTACTATGGGCTTCAGAGTAAGTAAAAGGTATGTTAAAGTCTGTCCTGCTTCCGCGCTGAGGCTTGTTTTGTGATAAGTTTTTGAAGTTTAATGAGGAAAATTTGATCTCAGATTTTGTTGCTCGGTAAGAGACATGTTGCTCTTACAATAGATTTCTATCAAGGAAACGAAATATAAGGATATCCGCTCAGGTCCAGTTTTAAGGGAAGTCAAGAAAGAAAGAAAATGATGAAGCAAAGGACTACAGAGGCGGTTCGGATGCCACAGCCGGGGAATATTACTATATGATAGTAAAACAGGAAATCAAGCTTTTGCCAGTTGGGGGATATCGCATCTTGACCATACAGGGTATTCTAACGCAGCTATGGAAGCATGCTTATTCCACCAGCCAAACAAGGCTTGAGGTGATTATTTCTTCATAACGTGAGTGAAATGTACCACTATAGCCAGGGTAATATAGAAGGTAGCCAATCCTACGGTTGTTAATCAGAACAGTAAAAGGCCAACAGCAATATACAAACCATTGGTTAATGGTTAAACTGTGCAAAAGTGGTGGTGTACGGAGTACTTGGGCGACTTGAGGAAATACCGCTAGCTCAAGGTACAAGAATGGCATCAACTGGGCTGGTGCCAAATATCCATAGTGTCAGTGTCAGGAGGGGTCGTCCGAAACAGCATCGACAGGAACCCGCGTCGTGTTTTACCGCAGAATACCTTCTGAAAGAGCAGTTAGCTGACGGTTCTCAGGGTGACAAAGAGCGGCACTTACAGGGCAGCCTGTGAGGCCCATGTGTGTTCCTCATCTGGAAACCGGCATCACAGCCACGAAGCTCCCTCAGCACCATGTGGTTGTTGCGAAAACGTTGACTCCTTTTATTCCTGACGTTGGATGAAACTGCGTTTGCCTGCAGGACACGAAAAGTGGGTCCGCAATATCTGTGTCTGGGCAAACCAGTGGACATCAGCTCAACATCCGCCATTTCTCTTCCGTAGCCTCTCTCTGTCCACTATGGCTAAGTGTGGAACTGCTCTGCGGCTGATTCTCTCGTGCTTCGTGAAGCTAACCAAACTGGGCCTCGGCGCGGTTACATCACGTGGTTGATTGACGCGACTCTGGCGCTTAGTCGCAATCGAATTCTGACGTCAGTCTTTAACGGTTAGGCCATCGAAGTAGTACTTTTCCTAGGAACTGCTGAGTGTTGAACAATGATACCATCACGCAAAAATTACCCCTCATTGGCCTGTTTAAGGACCGTGATCTGCTACGATCCACCATTGGGTTCACCTTACTCCTTCCTTCTGGATTAAGACTTTCTCACCAGTTATTCAAACACCCCTTTCAAATTGTGCATACATCAAACATTTGCTACGGCCTTGTGGCAACTTTCGGGTGGTTGGAATTTTGCAGTTAGCTGTTTAATATCAGTACAAACAATATCTGTAACCCTCCCTGCCTCTGGAGAAAAGGATTGGACAAAATACGGATGCCTTGCATATCTAACGCGTCCAGGAGCTGGTCTAAACAAGGAACAAAGGGTATGGGCTAAGAAAATAAGCTTCTCAAGGTTATTTAGATGCAACGCTATCTCTTTCTTAGGGGGACAATTGTTGCATATGCCAGACTTGGAAACTCGACGTGATGAAGAATTTTGGTCGTACGGGAGGAAACATAAGCTACATAACCTGTTCGCTGGTATTGGGTCATATAAGTCTCGCGTATGATGCCACTAACAGTGCACTGGAAGGAACTGCCATACGACAGTACACACAGGTTACCGTAAGTGGTATGCCATTTTAAGGAAGTGTGAGTTCTTGAGTGGCTCGTGGGGTCCTGCTGCGCAAGAGTATGTCTGCTGTCTGGGGCCACGCAGCCTATATCCTGACAGGATATTTTATTCCAACTATTATATCATTACCTGTAAGTACTATCTTCTAATTGCGGGTTTATTAACCTTGATAAGGAATACAGAAAAGTTGAAGGGCTTACTAAGGTTAAGGATAGAAGCTTTACAATTAAAGAGCTGAATAAATATATTATCAAACCGATTGCTTTATAAGTGGATAGGATCTAGATCTAGAATATAAAACCTAGTGGGGCGATTTACTTTCTGGATAAGACGGAAGTCTACGTGGAGACAATAACCTGACGATCTTGTTTCTCTCTTAAAGATGGGCTTAGATATTATATATAAAAGATTATCACAGATAATCCATTGAGTGAATTACGATGAGCAAAGACGGAGTATGTCTACTACCCGGCTGTTACATGATGCCCGGGAAAGACCGTTGAAAGAATCAGCAATAAGTTGTAAGATAATCTGTGATTATAGTAGTAGTACCAGCAACATCACTATCATTGGTATTAGCAATAGTAGGAATGATAAAAATACAAAAGTACAAGGGTCAGGAGAGATCGATTCTATAGTATACTTGTATGGGATATACATGACCATAACAATATGCAAGCACTGTAATCGAAAAGGTATTAGATAACTCCCTCCTTCTGTTGACTTGACATCTTAGGATGATAAGACCAAGATAAAAGTCCTGAGCAGGAGCAGAGACTACTCCTTATACCTGAGCCCCATGAAAGGCCATTACCCCCAGGAGAGTGTTATGGCTGAAAGGCACGTTGGAAGAAGTAACATCAACGGGCTTATATAAGCAGAGGTTGGCGTGCGGAGAAAAGGCCGGCGGTCCTTTTATATCTCACACACCGATCTTCGATCCAGTAACTCCGGAGAAACTGGGGAAGAGAAGCTGCTTTATTTGTTCGAGAATATTCGCCTCGACCAGAAGCCTCGCTTAAACGGCAAATTACTGGATCTGGGGCTCTTTTGTGACAGCTAGTGATAGAGAGAGAATATCTTCTCACCCTGCGACCCGCGAAAACCACTTATCAGTTGGTGATAAACTGGTTGCTGTTTCACTTTGCTTCCGTGATTTATTTCTGTGGATGGATGGATGGTATCTTTTTGCCGTCCAGCTAGCACGGCCACCGTAGCCTTGCATCACCAGACTTTCATCGCCTGGCCACTTTGGCAATCCTCATCCTTCCAGTTGCCCTGTTTAGTTGTAGTAATATAACCATGGACACCGTACGGAGTAACCACTTTGTCAATGATGTAATTTCCTCGTCAGGTCGGTAATAAGGTAATTACGGAGTAACTTCATAACATACGACAAGGGGGGTAGCGGGAAGCGAGTGGAAGGCCGTTTGCCTCTGCCTTCGCTCTCGCTGTTTACCGTTGTCGGCATAATGCCGCGCCGAAGGATCAAAAGCCAGTCAGATTACGAGTATTGGGCACCTATTGGCTAAGATCGTCCAAGAACGGGGCCGGCTGAGTCAAGCAACGACCAAGGAGCTAGCGGGAATGCTTGCGCCTGACGAGGGTTAAGCTTGCTTAGACGGTTGATATATGGGAGTTCGTGGTCAAGGCCACGGTAGAAGGAGGGAAGCCTTTCCTCCTACCATTTCGTTTCAATCAACTGATATATGGAGCTTTCCATGCCAAAGCTGGCCTGTCAAAAAGGAAACCGAGACGAGCTATCCTATCCATGCCAGTTCATATTACCAGGTGGAGGCATGTATTACGTTTACTTACATGGCGGTGGAGCAGCACGCAGAGTACCTAGGTAACTTAGTAGACGCTGTTTCCGTCCTCCTCCTGCCCGTCTGGGTCACTCTCTTTCTCAGCCCTTCTTTTGCTGCTTGCTGCTTGCTGTCTCTTTGTTCTTGTCGTTCGAGTTGGGAGCTTGGCTGGATGCTCAACGATGCGTGGTGGAGATGGTGTGTCCGGGGTCAAAGGCCGCAGGACGCAAAGACACAGCATGATCGTCATATCCATCCATCAGCCTCGAGTGTGACCCGATGTCTTCGCACTTCGTATCCCGCCAGTCTTGTCCCTTTTTCCCGCCTCCTGTTCTCTGGTCTGCGCCTCCGATACCGTTGTCTCTCTCTTTCTGGCTTCTTCCGCTTCATGCTAGAAATGCCAAGCAGGAGCAGGCCTGACGCTTGTAGTATTGATGTGCACCCGCGATCTCCACTCGGCCTGTATTGTCCCCTTCCTTACAGCCCGTGACCGAGCTGTGACAGCCGAGTACCGCAGCGGTAGCTGCCTACTTACATGGGCCTTGGACGGTGCCGGCCAACCAGCGCCGCCAGCCACTTACCACCATGTAACAGTGGTGGAGGGTGATGTAACGGACGTCATCGTATCCAGGCATTGGAAACCCAAGCTCACAGACACGACGGAATGACGACCATGAGCAAGTAGAGCAACGCCAAAAGAAAAAATCCTGGAGCCCGGGGAAGTGGGGAGGCAGAGAGTCTGCTTCCCTGTATAAGTAGCCATTATATTTAAATTGATCGATGGGAGGCGGGAAAGGCGTTTCTTTTTGTTTTATAAAGTCCTCCTGGTCATCTATCTTTTGCGCTATTTCTAGCTTGACTGCTTTGCTCTCTTTGTTGTTGTTGTTGACACGAGCAGGTGTATACCTATTTAAACACCAGATAGTCGAACAGGCGTAATTCTTCTTTACACTGCCTTTCCACCTATCTTCTTTTCTTCTTCAGGTAGGGCTGTTGCAGCTATACGTCCTCTAGCGAGCCTGTCTTTACAATGGCCGAACCCGAGCGCGGCAACGAGCCTGCCGCCGACACGACGCAGCCACCACAGCAAGCAGCTGCACCACAGCCGGAGAGACAGCAAACCGAGTCTCAAACTCAGTCAGCTCAAGTTGAGCCGAAGTTGAGCAATGGGAGCTCTGATGTTGAGGACGAAGAGCGCGGAGAGAGAGACCATATCGACCTCCAGAACAACATAACCGCAAAGTTAGTGATACTATACATATGCCTACAAACTGGAGAAACACCAAGTTAGAAGGCACCCATACTGACGAAGCTATTGGAACATAGAGTACAGAACCCACTTGCCGGCATCCCCAAGAGACGGCTTCTCCGCGATGTGGATGAGTTTGCGACCAGGTACGGAATCGAGGATTCTCTGCCGTTGCTGCGAAAGGGTGCTCTCATAGCAAAGGATCCCGCCAACTTCGAGACCGTCGAGGGCCTGACTGAGGACGAGCGAGAGTCAATTCGCCGAGAAGTCACCCACAAGTGGCGCCAACCATGGGCGATGTACTTCACCATCATCCTCTGCTCTATCGGAGCTGCTGTCCAGTGAGTACTATCTATACCACGTTGCCTTGTCTTGTCTGGTGTGCAGTTCTAACATTTCATGATTGATAAAGAGGATGGGATCAGACTGGCTCCAACGGTGCCAATCTTTCATTCCCCAAAGCTCTGGGTATAGATGATTCTCCAGGAGCTCCCAATGCTGAAGTGAACTCCTGGCTTGTTGGACTCGTCAACTCGTATGTTAACCGAAACCTTAGCTACCTTAACGTTAGTATCTGTACCTGCATGCTAACACCTCTCCAGTGGCCCTTACATTGGCTCTGCTCTATTGTAAGCAATTAGCCCAACTTCAGACGAATGCCCATTTTCGGGTGTCCTGTTTTCTTGTTTCCCAAGTGCGCCGTCTAACTGATAAATAGTGGCTGCTGGCTTTCCGATCCTCTGAACCAGTATCTCGGCCGTCGTGGTACCATATTTGTTTCCGCCGTCTTCTGTGTCCTGACCCCAATTGGTTCCGCTGTAGCTCAAACATGGGAACAACTGCTGGCAACTCGTCTCCTTCTCGGGGTTGGAATGGGTACAAAGGCCTCCACTGTTCCCATCTTTTGTGCTGAAAACACTCCCGCCATAGTCCGTGGTGGCCTTGTAATGAGTTGGCAACTGTACTTTCTCCCTCCCCCCCTGGCTCTTTCATGTGTTAGAATCTGGCTAACTTCTTTCCTAGGTGGACTGCATTCGGTATCTTCCTCGGATTCACTGCTAACCTTGTTGTGAAGGATATCGGAGCAATTGCGTGGCGCTTGCAAGTCGGTTCTGCTTTCATCCCAGCGGTCCCCCTTGTGGCAATGGTGTATCTTTGCCCCGAGTCGCCGCGTTGGTATATCAAGAAGGGCAAGGTCTCCAAGGCATTCAAGTCTCTCAAGCGGCTGAGAAATCATGAGATCCAGGCTGCTAGGGATCTTTACCTGATCTACTCCCAGATCCAGATCGAGGCTGAGCTCGCCGGAAACAGCAACTATGTAACCCGTTTCATCCAGCTCTTTACCATCCCTCGAGTTCGACGTGCAACTCTGGCTTCCTTCGTCGTCATGATTGCTCAGCAGATGTGCGGAAGTACGTACCGTCCATACATACATACCTCTCCTTCTCAGTTGCGTTATGCTAACATGTGTATGTAACCAGTCAACATCATGGCTTTCTACTCGTCGACTATCTTCAAGCAAGCCGGTGCCAGTGAATCTGAAGCCCTCATTGCGTCCTTCGGTTTTGGTCTCGTCAACTTCGTCTTTGCGTTCCCCGCTATTTGGACCATCGATACCTGGGGCCGACGAGCTCTGTTGATCTTCACCTTCCCACAGATGACATGGACTCTCCTGGCAGCTGGTTTCTGCTTCTACATCCCCGAGGACAACAGAGCACATCTCGGTCTCATTGCCTTCTTCGTCTTCCTCTTCGCTGCTTTCTACTCTCCTGGCGAAGGACCAGTGCCGTTCACCTACTCCGCCGAAGTGTTTCCCCTGTCCCATCGTGGTAAGTTCCACTTCTCCCTGCCATTTAAGGAAAGCTACAGTTAGTAACCAAATGGGTTAAACAGAGGTCGGCATGTCCTGGGCTGTGGCTACCTGTCTTTTCTGGGCAGCAGTGCTCTCTGTCTCCTTCCCCCGTATTCTTCAAGCCATGACCCCAACCGGTGCCTTCGGTTTCTATGCGTAAGTGATTTCCCTTCCCCATGTTCAAAACCAACCAAGAATAAAAAAGCAAAAAACAATAACAATAACAATAACTAATAATAAAACTAACAACCCGGTTGAAACAAAAACAGTGGTCTGAACGTTGTTGCCCTGATAATGATTTATCTCTGGGTTCCTGAAACGAAACAACGCACCCTTGAAGAACTCGACTACATCTTCGCCGTGCCCACAACGACGCACATGCACTACCAGGTCTTCAAGGTCCTGCCTCACTTCTTCCGCCGTCACATCCTTCGCCAGAAGAATGCTGATCTCGAACCCCTGTACAAGTTCGATGAGCTTCACCGAGATGACGACAGTGATGATGCCCGCCACAGTGTCCAGGCTGACAATGGGGCGACAGAGAAGATGTGAGAAGGGCCTCTTGCAGCATCTTATCTCATCTTATCTCATCTCATCACCTTGCCTTGTTTAGATAACTAATGCGGATAAAGGGTGTCATGTTAAGTATTTTAATGTCTCTCTTTTTTCACCCCTCCTTTTTTTACAATTCTGCTACTCTTGCTGGCTAGTTAAATAGACTGGCCTCTTTTCTTTTCATCTTATCCTTTTAAGTACGGAGTACCTAGGTAGACTACTATCAAGACCTGGTAGCTACCTAGTTGCCGAGATGGATATAAAGATAACCCTAGGAGAGTGCTACTGTAGACGGTAGCAATAGCTAGAAGAAGTAGCTCTAATATACCTCGTCTCTCTTTACCTCTCTATCTAAGTAACTAGCTACCTCCCTACACCGCTAGTTAGTTATCACTCCTACTGCTCTAGCTATTTAACACTGCTTTCCCCTATCACAAGATATCAACATCGACATCAACTGCCCACGGTCAGCGGGCGTCTATCCATTGTAAGTGTACATCACGTGGCTTCCTCTTTCTGCCAATCCAACTTTGACCCTTTTTGGCTTTGCTTTTGTTGTGGCCGAAAAAAACGTCCATCTCCAACTTCAACTTCAACCGTCAACTTCTTCTTCTTCCTCTGCCTCTTCCCTTTCTTTCTCTCTCTTTGCCTCTCCGTCTTGACGCCAGACCGACACCCAGTCCATCGACCCTCGTCTCTCCGTCTGCGCTAGCCTCGATACTTGAACCGTACGAAGCCCAAGTTACTCCCATCCTCCGCCCAACGCCATCTGCAGCTATCGCCCCTCGACCAAGAAGCAGCTCTAGAGGCATTTTGTGGGTTCCCGCTTTTTGTCCCATACAACTTCCGTCAGCGGTGGAGCTTTCTTTTCCACCAGACAGTCGGCCGCCAACACAAACAGTAGCCCAGAACAAGAAGCGAACGCGGACAACTCGCAGACGGGGGGAACTGTAATTCGGCCTTCCGTACTTGCGCGCGCATACCCCCGAGCCTTCCTATCCCTTTTAATCCTCTACGAGAGACCCGGCAGCGGCCATCGATCTTCATCTTCACTGGACCAAGGTCTCCTTGACCGCTAAGAGCTTTGACCATTGTTGGATCTTGTGCCCTTTTTTCTTCTTCTCTTTTCTTGTGGTTTTCTTTATTTACCTTCTCTTTCTTCCTGGCTCTCTCTCCCTTCTCTCCTTGCCTTAACGACCACGGCCGCACATTTAGATGATTTGAATGTCTGGGTTACCATAGTACTGCGATAACTTGCTTTATTCTATTTAATATCCAGTGAGTTGGCTTATTAGTGAAGAGAAAAGTGGTGATTGATATTCATATTAATGCTCGTTTGCACTAACATTTACTGATTTTAGCCACGACTCTTTCCTCAACTTTCTAATAACACACATACTCTCGCCCGACCAACCATTACGACTTCTCCCTTTCTTTTTTCTTTATCTTGGCTTCAAATTTCCTACGGCATCTTCTGTTGACACCTGCATAATCAATCCCTGGCTGTTATTCATCTAGTTTGGGAGGGGTTATAGAATATATCGATCATGCCTTGTTTTAAGGGCCTTGCAGTCAGCATTCATACGCCCAATGGGCCACTTGCAGAATACTCAGTTCAGCGCCATTCTCGTGCTTCTCGAATTGCCTGCTACATCCCAGTACCGCCTCCCAAACTTCCCAACTCGGCTACTGGGAAGCCAGAGCAGTCGACATTCGCCATATCAATCACCCTCCTCACACCGGGTCTGACGGTCCCTTATTCCACACCAAAAGCCACGCCAGATAACCCTTACCCCAGACCGAAGATTGTGGGAGGCCTTCCGGACCAGCCTAGTGCTGGGTCTTCCATAGGCCCATATCAGCCCATGACAGCCTCGCCGCGAGAAACGGTTGCAGCATATATCTACTTTGATGGTAGACAGAAGGAAGAAGTGGCCACATTATTAAGAAGAGGTGAAGAGACCTGGGTCAATTCGAGGTGGGTGGGTGTTCCGCTGTCTGAAGGTGGCGGGCTTGCCGAACGAGAATTCCTGTTTCGTGAAGTCGGCCTGGAACGGTGGCTTAATGGGTTAGATCTCGAGGGCAAGGATGCAGCCGAGAAAATCGAACGAAGACGCCAGAAATTGGAGAAGAGGAGGCGGAAACGAGATCTGCAGCAACGCAGTGAAGATGCTGCTAATGCGACTGCGGACGAAGGCATGGATCTAGATGACAAAAAGCCGAAGCTATTGCGGGAGAAGGGTGTTCTTCGATATGGAGCAAATGATCAGTCGCCCGTGGAGCAGCTATCTGACGATGCGGATTTGCTATCCTCAGACTCGGACCTGGAGGATGACGACCCTATACCAGAAACGGCCGGTCAGATCAAAGTAGCCTTGTTCCGGGTCTTAGCTTCGGGAGAAATCAAGCGTGGAGAGTACTCCCCTCAGTTTGATGCCCATGACGATGATGAAGATACGCATGGTGGCACTGGCGGTGGCCAGGAGTCAAATGGAAACGGCAATGCTGCTGATGTAGATCATACCACCAGCTTTGCGAAACCAAAGTCGCTAGACCCGAAGTCCATCAGCACTCAAACGGTTACTGGAATTGACCCCACTGACAAGCCGTATGCTGTCTTTACATTCATGTATAGGGGTGAACGTAAGTTTTTATCCTCTTTTTGGATAGTTGTCAATTCTTGCTAACATGACCTCCCTTTTGATTTGCGACAGGCCAATTGCAGAAAATGGGGATATTAAAGGATCCCAAGTCTCAAGACAAGGAACCTCTAAAGTCAGCTCGTCGAAAGTCTACACAGCCTGATTTTGCGAATATCAAGCCCCTGAAACCGGGTGGCACCACCGGTTTTGTCGGCTTTCGAGATCGTGAAAAGGAACTGAAGACCGGCAAAAGGAAGGGTCCCAATGGAAGCGAGGTTGACAGTGACGACGATGAGGATGACGAGGGTGTCTCTGTTTCCATTGTTGGTAAGGCAGAGGACGAAGAGGAGAAAGAGGGCAACTCTCTCCTAACCCCAGATGATGCCAAGCGGCAGGGTGAGCTTGCAGAAGGTGTTCGGCAGATAAAGGTATGCATACCATGGATGCCTCTTTGTGAATTGCACCATTGCAGGACGCTAAGCTGACACTGTAACCCTTTTTAGCTCAAACGACAGCACTCTGCCGAGCCTTTGTCCGCCGCGGCCGGTCTCGCAGATCCCGCGAGAGCCTCGAAATCAAGCACTCCTGGGTCAAGGCTCTCCCCGCCGGTAACAACCAGACACGACTCCACACCGCCTCATAGTAGTCTACCGAAGGAGACAAGTATGAATCTACTCGATAATGACGCCTATGTTGGCAGCCCGCTCAAGAAGCAGAGGGCAAGCATATCTGAGGATATTAATCGACAGGGGGCAGTGACCGGCTTATCGTCTAAAATTCACGAGATCATGGATACTACTGCTGCTGCTACACCGGCCACAGCTGCTGGTGAAACCCAAAGCAATTCGAGCTGCATGACCAACCACAATACAGGCACCAACGTCGCTAACGACGGTCTGCGCGGGGGTCTGCTCTCGGAGGGTATAATGCAGTCTGATATAAAGTCTCCTGGGTTAGAGGAGGAGTTGTAGCGAACGGGCCCTCTCATAAACACTCCAGGGTTCAAAACAAAATACATGCAGTTCCCTTTTACCGTTTCCTTCGCACCTTACTTACATACAGGCTCCCTTTTTCTATTAATATTTTTAACAATCTCTTGCATTAGTCTGAAGAGAAAACAGGTCTGTTCGATTCTTCATTTCTTCCCCTGTCCTTTCAGACAGACAGGACGAAGTCCACCGCCCCAACATGCTGAGATCATTCGATCATTCCGACCCCCGATACCATGGATAAATGGATAAACGGGAAAGATGGAAATAAATCTGTTGGCTATTTTTTTTTGTTGCTTTGGTGCTTCCACTCTTCCTTTGGTCCTCTGCACGCGCGTACCTCTCTCTAGCTCCCCGTTTTCGCTTCCCTCGGCCTGGCTGGTGCAGAGCAAGCGTCGGCGTCCAGGGGTTAGTTAGGTGAGGGTGATTGTCCCAACTACTCCGTACTCCGTACGTCGCAAAGAAACAAAAGATCTTCCTCCCTATATAGTTATAACCATAAGTTATAAATATACGGATCGTCGTTCCGTAACTCTGATTCATTTTGTGAGCTCTCTCTTTTAGCTCCTCCGGGCATTTTCTTCGGTACTCAGTGCTGTGCTCCTGCGGCAGTTAACATCACCCCCTGACTTCGACTATTATGGCTAGAATCAGTTGCGACTGCCTACTGCGCCCCTTACATACGGAGTATTGACACTTTGGCTGCATTTAGCCATCTGCTGGAGGATGGAGTACTCCGCGCGTTACATTATATATCGATGGTAGTGGTGATGCTTCCCTACGGCCAGCAAGGGGTCCCACCAGCTTTCTCTCCGGTACATTAAGCATATACTTACTCTAGTTATTATGTCCGGAGTTTAGGAACAGGGGAGGGACAATATTCCCTGTCGACGCAAAAGCCCGCAAAGAACCCATGCATGAGCCATGCTTAGCAGAGCCGTGATATAGACTCTTCCGAGGTCCTTTGTACGTACTCCGTATCAGAGACAATAACAACCACCACCAGCGCGCGAACCCCTCCATCTGCATCGTCGATCAAGATAATCGTGATGATGTTCGGGAATATCTGGTAGTCAGGTAATAGTAATAATAATAATACTAATTGTTGGGCGATCGAGGAGGTCATCGCTCTCTTTCTCTCCCCCTTTTCTTTCCGCTGCTGCATCACATCACCGGCCACCGGCTTTCATGATCGAGTCATTTTCAAGCCACTGACGAAAGAAATGGGAGAAAAAAAGTAGAAGGCAATCTTTCCCTTTTTCCTTTCAAGTCGGCGGCCCTATCTTCCCTCCTTCCCTTTATTTGTTAGTCACGTTTTCCTGTCGGTGGCCAGCTTCTGCCAATTCAGTTTGGCCCTATAGCGCACAATCCGCCCT